CACTATCCATGCTTATTTCATGTTATTTCTGCATTTATTTCTGTAGTTTGAATAAAGTGTTTCATTTTGCTGCATTTTGATACAGTTTAGAGTATATAAGAAAAATCGATCACTTATCATTAATAAGAAGAAATCTTTGAGTGAAATTTTTCATTGAGGATACAGATTAAGTGCCTTTTGTAAAGGAATTCCCAGTTGCAGTCTTCATTAGTAAGTAGTTTTATTGATTGCTCTCTGAACAGACTGTTTGTGTTCTACCAGATCTTCTCTTGACTCATCATAACTCCCATCATTTTGGATAACACTATCTGCTTCATCAATGTCTGTGGACTATCAGTTTTGTAATCTTGGAGATTTCAAAGGTATCAAGATGGTTTACTAGAAAGGTGATTGGCATATATCATAGTTATCATCTACTTTATACTAATAGCTTATGTTAGATAGATCTTGTATCTTTACACACTACAACAGCTGCATCCTTTCTCTTCAATTCCTGGATCTTTACCTTGTTATATTATCCGTCTGCTGAAACTTTACATGATTTTTCTCTCTAAAATTTGAATAAAGAATATGAATTTCTTGCATTTCTATACAATTTAGATTGATAAGTATATGTTTGTTTATTTTATTTCTGGCTGATTTCCCTCTTTAACAGTTTATTTTACATTTTATAACGTGACCATCTTAGAATTTTAGTTGCAGGAATAAACACACTGTGCCCTCCACCCAGATGGTAGTAATAGACACTTTGCTCTCTTGAGAATAAAATATTATAATGCCTTTCCTTGAATGAGCAACATTTCAATGTTACAAAATCAAGCCCTTGTGCTTCAAACCTATGTGACCTACTCCTAAGCACCTTACTTGAGTTAACAATTGAAATTAATTCTAAACCTCTTATATAAAGGGTGGTAATAAATGTGGGAAAAAAGTAAATCTTCCTATGAAGCTATTTTTGAAATTGAAAATCAAATTTTGGTAGCAAAGGGTAGATACATGTATATACAGTAAAATCATCCTATTTGATACACAAATGTGAGAAAACAACTCAACACCAACCTGGGTGTAGGTGTATAATGATTACTATAGGGTCATCTGGTCTGGAACCCTTCATTTCTTAACTACTAACACCATGCCAACTGAGATATATGTGTTACTTGAAATAGCAACATATATATCACTTGAAGCAGTCATTATACATGTACTTGACAAATGTGGTCAGGAAAAACATTAAGTCATCTCAAAAGCTGGTGAAGTAGAATTTTGATTAAGTCATTAGGAAAAATGTTTAGTTCAGGGGTGCTCAGTTTAGAAACTTGAGCCCATTTTCAGGAAATTTTGAATTTGCCATCTTGCCACTCATACTGTAGCAATGAAGCTACTAAGGTATATGTTTCAGAAAATGTTATGAATAACCTGCTAGAAGTAATCACAGCTTTAACCTGAGATGTAACATGTTTTGGTATCATTTTGATTTTAGAACAAATCTTCAGGGAGCAATACCATTTACACACTTAATGAATACATAGAGGTTATTTAATGGGAGGGATGGAATACAAATTTTATCTTGAGGGAAAATATGATATTGAATAAGGAAAATATCGTATTGACCGAGGGCAACAGCCCAATATGATATTTTTCAAGGCCAATATCTTATCTTCTTGATGAAAAATTCATATTCTATTACGAACATAACCTATTTATTCTATAATATTTTTCTGAAACTTGTTTTGGATGTCCTCACCTAATGATGGTGACATAAAATGATACAATTTACTTATCGAATGCCATTTTCAACTTTTATTAACAATTAAGTTTTAGAATAGAAATAATTTATGATACTAAAATGGATCATGATATTCTATAACAACACAATATTTAGTCTCATTAAATTTTCTGATAGTTTTGATACGGGATCTGATATTGAATTTTGGCTGATACGGGATCTGATACTGGATTTTTTGAATATCTCTTTTATTCCCAATTCATTTCCCAGGGAAAACATGTTATTATGGAATAATTATTCGATATTTGTCCAAGTTGATTTCGAAGACTGGTCAGTTAGGATTATAGACAAGTATAGCTCTATTCTTAGATACATACAGGAGTCAAAGTTTTCTAAAGTACATGTATAGTGTTCAGCTTGTTAGGATAAAAAATGATTCATTTGAGCTCCTGGGATTTACGCAAATAACCTTTGCCTAGCATCAAAGCTCTGGTCCAAGATGTTTTGATCATCAGCCTGAAGAGGATACATGCTCTTATACCTGATAAAAATAAACATAAAACAAAATGCTCCCTGGCTTACATGAAACAGGTACTGCTAACACTACAGATCTTTTACACTATAATTGATGGACCTAGCTGAGAGATTTGGAAAACGTGTACAGCTTATTGTATGTAATATAACAGAGGGGCACAGAATATGTGCTGAGGTCAAAAGTGAATTTCAACAAATAAATATTGTTGCAAATTTGGTTCTTTATTAGTTAATTTTGTTTGAATATCGCCAGAATTTGAGGATAGTTACAGGCACGTAACCAGGCATATGCAAGGGTAAAAAATAAGTTGCTCATGACGCACCAATTTAAGGTTTAAAATCAAAAGTTTTCTGGGGGGGGGGCAGGCCCGGTTCCCCTAGTTTTGCTCCCCCTTCTGCACCACTTAAGGTTTAAAATCAAAAAAATCTGGGGGCATGTCCCCGGACCCCCTAGTTTTGATCGGCTTTCAGCCTCGCGTATCTGCTATCAAAATCCTGGTTACACCACTGAGTTACATTCCAAAAACATCCAAATCCTTGTTAAGCTTAGAACCCATTCTGGTTTACCCCTCTTATCTGATGTTTTTTGCACTTTGGAAATAACAAAAAGAAGGTTATCGCTATATAAAGAACCATGTACTATGCTACCATGATACTAAAATTTGAGAATAAAAGAAATAATACATACCATTGCACCTTTATCCCATTGGATACTACCCATGGAATTTGCTTTACTAAGAGGTTGTTCGGGTCTATGTATTGGATTGTGGGTATAAAGGGAAGTGGTCTTTATTAAACACTTTGTATAAATATATGTTTGCTCAAAAACAATTGTTTTTCTACAATTATACAGTATTGTTTGGTAGCATATAGATACTTTGATAGGGGGAGGGGTATACAAGGGGTATAGGCATAGGATTATATGGGTTAATAAGGAAGGGTTTATGCCACTTACATTTTCTACAACTGTTAAAACACATAGATCATAATATTCCCTGTTTAACAATGAAATACAAGGAAGCATAGTGATAACTATGGGAGGTTACATAGCTGAGTACAATCTTGTCAAAACATTGCATTTTTCAATGCTAGAACCTTACCAGGCCAGATGTTGTTACATTCTAATGGATTAACCCTTTCATGGCCATTGGCAAAAGTACTGTTAGAGTAAAGACTCATTAGAAAGCACATGGAACCAAATACAAACATAAATACATAATATCAACTGATGAAAATATCTTATGAAATACGATGTACCAAATCATATTCTTTAACAGAGTAAGCCACATTATTTCAAAAAGGTTTTAGGTATAGTCACTTGACTTATCTATACACTAAGTTGCATATTATGCAACTTGACGTTAATTGCATATATTTTTCTGTATTTCTAGTAAATTAGTGAACCAGCATAATATGTATTATAATGTCTGATTTGTTTCATGCTAAGACAAAGTGTTGAAGTGTTTATTCTTTAACTGCTCCAGCACTATGCTGTGTAAGTGATCAGTTTTATGTGGTCTGCTTCTCAAAATGACTCTATGTATCCATGGCATTTTTTTCTTAAAATTGAATGAGCCACCTGGTTTTCTGGTTTTCTTATGTATTTTACAATTGAATGGGTTGACTACATGCTCATCAATTTTATTCTTTGCTGGTTCCACTTTTTCCTCTCTATTATTTTAAGAAACAACCATGGAATTTCATTAGTGGGAGCTTTATGTAGGGTGTGTCTACTGGCACTTACTACTGTTTCTATTCTACTTCTATAACCTTCCAAAACAATTTCAATCTGGTTACTTGATTTCCCCACCATAGATATATCTCAGTTCAATTTCTTTAAACATCGTTAAATTACAAATCTGCGAATCAATTTTATCTGTCTCAGATTTACAGAGATTTTTGTATATGAATTTATAAACTTTCAATTGATAGTTGTTTTTAATTTGTTTTAATATGATTGTTGTTTTAATATGAATCATATTTAGTTTTTCTCAATGTTGCTTTTTATGCTTTTTCATTATATTCTTTGTGAATTCATTCATTTTATGATGGCCATTATTGAAAAGTACAATTATACTACTTGTGAATAAATCCAATACATGTATACAGAATAAAGAAGGATTTCAATGAAATATATAAGAAGGTTATGGAGTTTCATTTTAAATCCCTGTATAACTGTCTGTGATTTTTAGTAGAGAACATCTCTCCATGCACTGGCTGTGTAATGTGAATTCATATGATAAATGACTTAACCCTTTCTAGACTGCTTCAGATCTATACATGGGGGTTGGTGCTAAAATACTCAATTATTACCTCATTTGTGCTATATGCAGGGGTGGATCTGGAAATTAACAAGAGAAGGGAGGAAAAATGTTGAAAGGATTATTTTTTCCAAAAAGTTCCATTCTCCAAAGAACCTCTTATTTAATGGTTTGGTTTATATAATAATATTGACCGTGTTCCTACTCCTTGAGATTGATAATGTCCATTTATTTTAAGTCTTTAGCTTTTATTCACCACCATGAAGTGGTGACATATTGTAAAAGCTACGCTCTTGTGTTTGTAACATATTGTTTTTCTTTTTGTAATTATGTCACCACCACCAGAAGTGGTGACATATTGTTTTTTGTGGACAGTGTTCGGCACGTGGCATTCGGCATTAAAATAATCCAGTGGTAATATTGAAAAAATTGAATATTTGATTTCACCATTTATAATTGTTTTATTATTGTATTTGCAGGGACTCTGGTGACAGCTCAAGATGGGGGTGAGTTAAACAATTATTGAATCATTCAAAAGCTTTAAAACATTGTAACCAATTTTGGAAAGGCTTTCCATGAGACTTATATTTGATTATATGTATTTTAACAAGCTATATAATAGTATATATTATGGTAACAAATATTCCCACTTCGTTCAATAAAAGTTGAACATGTAAATTAGTGAGGCAGATTCAGGGAACATACCACCAGAACGTTTCAAATCGTGATAGAAGTGTGAACTTTGGGATATAGTTTCTTTTGACAATTTAGAAAAATTGATGATAAGTTTTGTAGCTATAAAACATTAGATAATCATTTCACAGTATCCTAGGATACAGTGAAATAAACTTGAGAAAATGGGATCAAACAAGGTACCTATTATCAAACTAACAATTTTTTTCTTTTATCATTGGTATATATTTGTTCTAGCTATCTGTATATATTAAATTTATGTTATTGTTTAGATTCTGTGACAGTAACTCTTTCACTGTTTGCCTTAGAATAGATTCAAATAAGCCAAAAAGAGAAAGAGAACATACATCTGTATAAGTCTAAAATCTAACAATCATTGATACTAGTTCCATGTAAAGGATAAATGATTATGTATGGTATTGAGAAATATATTTGATTGTGCTTGCTCAACCAATATGACAATCATGTCTGATTGTGCCTACACAATCAGGGTGATATTGCAGATCCCTGTTTTTCTTCTCTTGATGGATCTTGAATACTGTTAGATACATTAGAAAAGTTTAAAAGATTGAACACTTATTATTCAACTAATATTAAATGTTACTAACTGTATACAAAACTACATTTCATTTTTAGGGTGGTTACAATATTTCTTTGGAGACTCCAGCTCCCCAGGTGAACCAATGCTATATGATCTGTACATGTACTTAATAATATTCACACATAGCTAGACTAAGGTGTGTCCGATTCCAGCCACTCCGAACACAGTATTTCATATAACTACAGTGCACTATATCACCAATCACCGATCCAAGGTTACTCCTTATGTGGTTGTCAACATGATCACTTGACTTACAGATTGAAATTGATGCTTTGCCAACTTGATCCTTGCAAAATGTTTTATTGAAAATATGTTCTTTTAATGATTTTGTATCTTTTATTTAAGTGACATGGTAGAGAATATTTTGCAATGTGTGAAAAGAATTTAAGCCCAAGACTCAATGCATTGTGGAATGACCATTCTTTCCTAGAATTAACACTCGATGCTGTGTTATTGTGCACATTTTGGAAAGCAACACCTTCAAGGAATGGTCATTCCGCATTGCACTGAGTCCAGGGCTTAAATCGTTAACTAACACTAAATATAAAGCTTACATATAAAAGATTTGTCCAATATCCTTGTAATGATTATATTACAATGTCCAGTAACCTTCAATGATGCTTTAATGTATTGTTTTCTTTTCTATAGATTGTTTTCAACTTGACCTAGAAAATGATAAAATTGACCATGTCAACCTCTTAACATTTTTAAGGAATAGTTTTTTCAAATAGTTTTGAATGTCAAATAATTTAAATGTTTATGTTATAATATCAGGCTCAGTCAAAAGATGTGTTTTGAATACTTATTCCAATAAATTTTTGAACTAAACCTAGAAAAGGAATGTTTTTTTTGTCATTTTACACCACATTGTCTAACACAGGGTTAAATGAGCTAAAGAATCTGAAAAAACCACATGACTGTTTAACCCAAAAGGGGTCATTTTGGACCACTCTTATTTAGGATCTGGTAATTTGCAATACATCAATTTTGCTTGCAGCCATGGATCTTTTTTTTTCTAAATTGGTTTAAGAAGTAATATACTGTACCAAAATTCATGCTTCTATCACAAAAATGTTTTGTTTTGTTTGGGACAACACATCACTTTATGCTATGTAACATTTTTCCAAACTGATATTTTTTTAGTTTTCAACTTTGAGTTAATTTGCAACATTTTCTTTGTAAGCTTGTAGTTACACATGCCAAAAATTGATCAATGCACGAATTGATTTTTAAATTAATATTTTGATTTATCTAATCATTAACAATTCAAATAATGATTTTTATTATGACACTTACTAGTACCTTGATGGATTCGGTAAAATTAACATACGTTATATATTAAAAACATGGATAAATATGTTGCCCGTACCTCTACTAAAATGTAATAACAACAAAATTATTAAAAACAAGGGATTTACAAGACCTGATGCCCTGTATCTTCTCACCAACAAATTATATATATATATATACATATGATAGATGTCAGTGTTAAACCCAATTAACTTTTTTAGATTGCTGTGCAATAGTAGAGAGATTTCGCTATAACTATAACTTAATGTTTATGTTATAAGATAAGGGAATTGAAATTTTGCATTGAAAATTACTAGTAGTTTTCTAAGCTAAAATGCCTCATTCATAGTGTCGATTAGATAGTAATATTTATACGACTTCATGCAGAGTATTACAATTACTTTGATTCCTGACCAATGTCTAAACAAGATAAGGATTTACTCATGTGTAGAAAATGTTTTACAATCAATGGCTACTTCTGGTTGTATAGAGCTATGCAACAAATTGTGACATAGTACTCAAACATTATAAGTTATAAACAATAGGGTTTATAGACACTCTATAAGTGAGTTACGAAATCTCTCTATTATTTTTCAAATCCTAGATTTCCTTATCTAAATTATTAACTTAAAATGTTATTTTCTAGTGAAATTGTACAAGGGAGAAAGTATGTAATATTGTTAAAGTGTGCTGTCCCAGATTGCTATATGCTACATACATAAATGTTGTCAATAAATTGTCATGCAAAAGGCCCCCTTGTTTAACACCATCATTGCTCAGTTTTTGTTTATCTACTTAGCAATGAAGGATATAACAAAATAATTTAATACCTGAATGTTTTACTGTTTTAAAACCTTTTAACTAAATATTTTAATCATGAATCATGAAATTGATTGTTTAGTTCGGATGTTAAGTATTTTGTGCTTGGATGTCTTTTTTGTTAATTGATCACATATTTCTTGTTATTTCTTGTTATTGTTTAATTGATAACCTTGTTATACCCTCTTTCATGATGTACATCTGTTTCTAAGTCATGTAATGATTTTTTGTTTCACTTGCATTTTTCATCATTCCCAACCCTCAAAAATTCAGAAGTCAGAAGTAAGACCCGTTCTAAGGGTGATTTTTCAAGTAAGATATGTCATAAGTTGGTGTGATTCCAGGCACATCTTACTTGCTCTGAAAAAGGGTATATCCTGAATTTGATCCCACATATTTAATCATGTTGTTTCCACCCAAAGTTTGCTTCAAACCCAGTTTTCAAATGTGTTAACATTAATAGGCTCAATTTGAATTGCTTTACATTCCTAATTTGCTTATATTTTAATTTTTAATTTTACTATATCAATTTTATAAATATTTTATTTTATCATTATTTTAATTTTGATACTTAATCCATTAATTTCCTAATCAAAATACTAATTGTTTTTTCTATTATTGTACTTTATTTGCTTTTTATATATTGTTTCTAGTTAATAGGTTTTTATTTATATCACTTCAGTTTTATGCATCATGTAGCAATCTATTTTGATGAGGCCAACAGAAATGAACAATCATGACATGCAGACCTTTGGCGTGTTTTTGTATTCTAATGCATTTTAAATGCAACATCAATTAAAAGTTACTAAATTCTGTTGCCTGCTTCTTTACCATAGGATTTTAGATGTTGTTTACTTTGTTTTGCTGTTGTAGTGTTATAGTAGTAGTTCTTGTTGTAGCTGGCAATGCATGTGGAGGAATCCCCGAGCCTACCCCTAGTGATGCTGAAGCCATTGACTCTAAAGATGAGCCTGATACAGGCATAGCTGAACCAGCCCCCATCGGTGCAGACACAATTGAAATCAATACCAACCCCTGTTTTGCTCCAACCAAACATGATCTTAGCATTACAAGTGTTAAACCTGACCCCCATGCTGAAGTAATTGATTTGACTACTGAATCTATTCACCCAACTCTAACAAACATTGACCCAACTTCTGAACCAAGTGACCTAGCTTCTAAACTTATTGACCAAACTATTGCACCAACTTTAGAAACGACCGATATAACTTCTAAACCAACAGACCCAACTTCAAAACCAACTGTACCAACTCCTGATCAAGTTAAATCAACTCCTGATCCAACTGACCTAACTCCTGATCGAGTTAAATCAACTCCTGATCCAACTGACCTAACTCCTGATCGAGTTAAATCAACTCCTGATCCAACTGACCTAACTCCTGATCGAGTTAAATCAACTCCTGATCCAACTGACCTAACTCCTGATCGAGTTAAATCAACTGCTGATCCAGTTGACCCAACTGCTGAACCAATTGATTCAGCTGATCCAACTGCTGACTCAACTGATCTAACTGCTGAGTCGATTGATCCAACTACTGATCTGACTGACCTAACTGCTGATCCAGTCGAACCAACTGACCTAACTACTGACCCAAATGATCCAACTGACCCAACTGGTGATCCAAATGCTGAACCAATCGATCCAACTGCTGATCCAACTCTTGAACCAATTGATGCAACTTCAAATCCAATTGATCCAACTGCTGAACCAACTGACCCAATTGTAGAACTGATTGATCCAACTGTTGAACAAACTCTCAAAATTTCTGAACCAACTGCTGAACCTTCTGACCAAAATGCTGAACCAGGTGATCCAATTAGTAAGTCAACTCATCCAACTGTTGATCCTACTGACCCAACTGTTAAACCAGTCGACTCAACTGCTGAACCAACTGACCTAACTGCTGATACAAGCGTTGAACCAATCGATCCAACTGCTGATCCATCTGATCTAACTCTTGAACCAGTTGACCCAACTGCTGAGGCACTTGAACAAACTGTTGAACTCACTGACCAAGCTGCTGAACAAACTGGACAAACTACTAAACCAACTGACAAAACTGTTGAACCAACTGGCCCAACTGCTAAATCAAGTGACATAAGTGCTGAACCAACTGATCGAACTACTGATCCGACTGACACAACTTCTGAATCAACTGACCCAACTGTTGAACCAACTGAAAAAACTGTTAAATCAACTGACCCAACTGCTAAACTCACTGACCAAGCTGCTGAACAAACTGGACAAATTACTAAACCAACCGACAAAACTGTTGAACCAATTGACCCAACTGCTAAATCAAGTGACATAAGTGCTGAACCAAGTGGCCCAATGGCTAAATCAACTGACCCAACTGTTGAACCAATTGACCAAACTGCTGAACCAACTGACTCAACTATTAAATCAATTGACCCAACTCCTGAACTAATTCATCCAACTGCTGTTCCCACCGACCCAACTGCTGATCCAACTGACCCAACTGCTGACCCAGTTGATCTAACTGACCCAACTGGTGAACCAATTGACCCAACGGTTAAACCCACTGACCAAGCTGCTGAACTAACTGACCAAACTGTTAAACCAACTGACAAATTTGCTGAACCTACTGACCCAACTGCTAAATCTACTGACCTAACTGCTGAACCAGGTGATCGAACTACTGATCCGACTGACACAACTTCTGAATCAACTGACCCAACTGTTGAACCAACTGACAAAACTGCTAAATCAACCGACCAAACTGCTAAACCAATTGATCCAACTGCTGATCTAACTCTTGAACCAGTTGACCCAACTGCTGAGGCACTTGACCAAACTGTTGAACTCATTGACCAAGCTGCTGAACAAACTGGACAAACAACTACTAAACCAACTGACAAAACTGTTGAACCAACTGACCCAACTGCTAAACTCACCGACCAAGCTGCTGAACAAACTGGACAAACTACTAAACCAACTGACAAAACTGTTGAACCAACTGACCCAACTGCTAAACTCACCGACCAAGCTGCTGAACAAACTGGACAAACTACTAAACCAACCGACAAAACTGTTGAACCAACTGACCCAACTGCTAAATCAAGTGACATAAGTGCTGAACCAACTGATCGAACTACTGATCCGACTGACACAACTTCTGAATCAACTGACCCAACTGTTGAACCAACTGAAAAAACTGTTAAATCAACTGACCAAACTTCTGAACCAGCTGAAAAAACTGCTAAATCAACCGACCAAACTGCTAAACCAATTGATTCAACTGCTGATTCAACCAGCCCAACTGCTGGTCTAACTGACCCAACTACTGAACCAGTTGATCCAACTGACCAAACTGGTGAACTGATGGACCCTACTGCTGACCCAACTGCTGAACCAAATGATCCAATTGCTGGTCTAACTGACCAAACTGCTGAGCCAGTTGATCTCACTGATCCAACTGCTGGTCTAACTGTTGAACCAACTTACACAAGTGCTAAACCAATTGATCCAACTGCTGGTCTAATTGACCCAACTGCTGGTCCAGCTGACTTAACTTCTGAACCAAGTGACCTAACTTCAAAATCAACTGTATCAACTGGTGATCCAACTGACCAAACTTCTGAACCAACTGATCCAACTTCAAAACTAAGTGATCCAACTGCTGATCCAGCTGACCCAACTACTGAAGAGACTGGCCAAACTGCTAAACCAATTGATTCAACTGACCAAACTGCTGGTCCAACTGACCCAGCTGCTGAACCAATTGAACTAACTGACCCAGCTGAACCTACAGAACTAACTTCTGAAATAGATGAACAAACTTTTAAACCAATTGACCTGACTTCTGAACCAATCTCCACATCTATCAATCCAGCTGAACCCTCAACTACAACTCCCTATCAATCCACATTCTACCATTTAGAGAAATCCCTTACTAAAATTGATGTTGCAACTCCAAGGCAATCACCTATAACCCAAAAAGGTTTAGTTTGTTTTAATTTTAAAAAGCTTCACACCTTTAATGCTTTATCTTTTAATATAATTTACACACAAACACAAACACTGTAAATAATACCATTACAGCCATACACACATCTCTGTCTCTTTTATCACTACATACATATATGAGATCATATGTTATAAATATGATTTTAAGCACCTACACAAAAGTCATTTTTAATATGACTTAATTGTTGTTATTACACATTCACTGACATCATTGTTTTATGCATGATACTCTAAGAATTTTTAAAGCACCCAGTTTATTATATATTAATATTTTTATAGTTACTTTTACTGCTTCTTTGTTATGAATTTACATGTCTTAAACCCTGTTTATTCATTTTAATATTTAGATTTTAGATTAGCTGAGTTGATATCCATGTGCCTGTTCTTTAGATTCGTGGGTAGTGTCTGTGCCCAGGGCAAACCATTACTGCTTCTTTGTTATGAATTTACATGTCTCAAACTAGTTAATTCACTTTAATATTTAGATTTAAGAGTAGCTGAGTTGATTTTGTTCTTAAGATTCATGGGTAGTACATGTATCTGTGCCCAGGGCAAACCATAAACTGCTCAAGCTCAAAACGTAAATGATACTCCCAATGATAATGAGATTGAGCAATATTTCAGAAATAATGTGACTGCTTTTATTCTTTCAACTGATGAAGTCGCTTGAATTTGCATTGAAATATCATATAAAAACACCTGAGATGTGATATATTTTTGAATTGTAATAAGTGAAAAGTCACCTTATTTACTGAACACCCCACTCAAAGTTTATATATATATACATGTTTAATATAAGTGTTTGTTAAAGCCAAACAGTATGGCATTGAATTGATAATACTAATATCTATTGTAGAAGAGAGGCCATATTGACCAAGCATCGTAATTTTTAGAGGTAGCTAGGTGGTATATAAAGCAAAAGCAAATGACATTTTGTGGTATTCACAAAGGCGAGCTAAAGCTATAACAAAACAATCGCTATCCAAACACATACATGTAGCAAATATGTCACAATTCCGTTATACAATTTTGATGATTCGTCTTTTCTTAAATAAGTGGAAAACCCCTGTTTTTCCTTGCTTCAAAGTCTAAATACAGTCGTTTGGTCCCTCTGGGGTTATTTACCTGCATTACTATGTTCGACTGAGCGTGAAAACCATACGTAAGGAAACGCTATATACACTTGCCTATAGTGAAATTATGATGCTTTGTGAAAAGGGCCTCTAATAATTTATTTTGCTGGGAATTTCATTGCAAATCAGAATGCAGTATGATCTAAGTTTGATTGTGAAATTATTATCACATGATTAAAATAAATGTCACAATCAAATTGGTGCACTTTTCCCATATTGCATTCAGATTTACAATAGAAAAAATAGAATATTATTTTACCTTATTCATGGGGCATTGATTTGTATAATGCTCTTCATAGTTAAACATAGAACATTAATTAAACCAAATGCCCAGAATATTATAAAATAGTTTTCTCATATTTTCTTTCTTCATGATCGCCTTATGTTATTTTTCCATTGTTGAGTAATGTAGGTAAAATAATTATTAGGTGCTAGGTACTCTTGCCTTAAATTACACATAAAATACACATCTACAAACATCACACACTTATGCACCAATCGAAGGTGACTTTGTGAGATCCCTCCGGGTGCGGAGGGTTTGGAATTTGATATTCCGTAATGTCCTAGAGATTTTTTAAATGCATATTGCTGCAATAGGAATTTCAACCAGTTATTTTTATTGTTACCAGGATGGGGAAATTGACTCAAATGTCAAAATCCCCACCCCTTCTTGCATAGAATAAAAAAATGGAATTAATATTTTGGTGGAGGTGTGTCATGTTGTGTATTTAAGACAAGTTACCTTAGTAATGAACAAGATGATTTATTATCTTTGTGCCACATTGTAGGAGTACAAGGGAAAATAAATTTGTGGGAAACACTTATGAGTAAGTAAAGAGTGAACAAAATGTTATAATAGTCATGTTTAGAAATTGAAAATAGAGTGTCAGTTAGAGGAATTAGCAAGGAATAAAGTAACTAGACATGAAGTACACACTCCATGTTATATAGAAATGCTAGAAAATTAAAGACTTCATTCAAATTTTAGAATGAAATTGTTTTAAATAAGTGTGACTACATTGACATTTTGAGAGCCAACAAGAATTCCAAGCTCTGACCATCCCTTACCTACAATCTATCCTTCACCAAACCTCTCACCAAATGAAATCAAATACTTACTCAGATACAGGGTAACACATAAATGCAACCTTCAGATTTTGTCAAAAAATGTCAGGAATTCCTCATGAATTTGTTTAAAGTGTTCAGTGAATGAACCTATGGTATTCTTAATCATCAATTACTTTGGGGGTTTAGAAAATTCTTTACTCACTTCTTGGTATGCTCTTGCCAAATTATTCAAAATATGCCAATTCAGAAATCTAAGAGAGTTATTTTATCAATATTGACAAAATTCAAAAAGTGCTTAGACTGTAGATATCATCTGTAATATGGATGAAAGCAATCAAAATGAGTCAAATAATAACAAAACAGAAATACAGAATTTTTTTTCTCTAAATAACAATCAAGACTGGATATGTAATAATGTATACCATTGCTCAATCTATTGATCTACCTACATACACATAAAAGTTCAAGAAGATTCATGAAAATTCAAGAAGATTCCATCCTCATTGAGAAACTAAAAAGCTGTATTTTTGTGTCACCTTGTATTAATGATATTACAACTTTGAGAGTTTTCTGATCTAGTTATGATTGAATCCTTTAAAATGCATGTTCCTGTTTCATGTCCGTAAATACCCTTCCCCAGTTTTGCAGAATTAATTTACTCCTTTTAATACTAACTCTTTAAATGGAATAATAGTACCTTTGATATTTACATGTTTATATAGGCTTCCCTTCCTTTTTAGAAATTATAGACCTTTAATTTGTATGTATGAGTCCTTCCTTTGTAGAAATAATGTAGACAATCCGTATCAGTGTTCTCCACAGGATTTTTTCTCAAATGGGTGCAAAATTCTCATTTTCGCAATTCATACTGAAACTGGTCAAAATATGCCCATTTTTCATGATTTTTCACATTTTCAAGTGGGTGGAAATAAATTTTCAGGTGGGTTGAGCCTGTTTTTAAAATCTCAGTTGGTTGTGCCTACTTGCTTTAATGCTGGGGAGATCACTGCTTATTAGCATAGACAGTGCAGTATTTTCTTATAGAGAAAAATACTGGTGTAAAACCATGTATTTATGTAACCTTTATTGACTTGTAATAATATACCTTTACTTTTTGTAGTTTTATTATACTGAGGCCTCAATATATTATGTTAAACAATACAAGCATGCTATTAACATTTCAGTCAACTTCATTAAGCAGATTGATTTAGTTTTGCAATATTTCAATTTATTCTTTAAATCCTTTTCAAGCCACTGAATATTGTTCTTATAATTATACGAACAATTTTCAGTTGCTTAAAAAAGGTTTAAAGAATAAATCGAAATATTGCAAACCTAAATCAATTCGTTAGTTTAACATAAAAACAACTACTTCATTCAGCAGGCTATAATATTTTAGTTATGAAAGCACATTTTACACATGGTTTAGCATGAGCATTGTTACAATTTAAGAAATTGAAACCAATTACTGGAGAACATAATTATGTATTGGAATCATGCATTAGAATGTAGTTGGAGGGCATGTGCAAGGTGTGTTATGCATGCAGTTTGGCAAGAAATCTTTTTTAAAAATTACTTTTCGAACATTTTGTATGTATATAATATATTTTAATGTCTCACATAATTATCCCTGAACAATGTTCAGAGGGATGTAGAGGATGCCTCTATATACTTCATAACTATGCAAAGGACCTGAAGTTCATTGAGAGGAAAACATTTAGAAGAATAGAAGGGAATTGGGTGTACTTTTGAAGACTTTTGGTGGAAAAAAGTGGGATGAATCATGAAAACAATGTATTTATTGTATGAGTTTTCCTCTGGCTAATTGATATGATTGGTAAACAATGTTGTCAACTTTATCACATTCCCTTTTCCAATTTTCAAAGATCTTTGACAATGTACTGAAAAAGATATAGATGGGATTCTAATAAAATCTATGTTTTTATAGAGCTAAATAGGCATTCTATTATCCTTCGAACTACCTGGAGAAAGCACATTGTTTTAATGAAAAATGTGTGTTCTATTAGTAATCAATTTTTTTCTGACTATAGGAATTAATAACTATAGTCAGTAAAACAAAAATGCTAATAGTCAAAGATGTTTCTGTCTAAAACCAGTTAAAGACACCAAAACATTTAGTATATTTAAATATTTGACAACATTAATACAATCCCACTCAAAATCTTATAATTTTTGTGAAATTTAGACTGGAGCCTATCCCTTTGAAAAATTAAACCTGAGGGGTTAATACATACATGCTGAATAAGTGGAGAGTGATTCATTTGCAGCTGGCACAACTGCAGATCCAGTCGGGGGTGGACCAGATAGTGCTGTTGAAGAAATAACAACCGAACGTGTTCCTGTTGATGAAGAAGCTATTGTTCCTGAAAGTGCAACTGGTACTGGTGAAGGAACAACAGCTGAACCTGTTCCTGTTGATGAAGAAATTATTGTTCCTGAAAGTGCAACTGGTACTGGTGAAGGAACAACAGCTGAACCTGTTCCTGTTGATGAAGAAATTATTGTTCCTGAAAGTGCAACTGGCACTGGTGAAGGAACAACATCTGAACCTGTTCCTGTTGATGAAGAAGTTATTGTTCCTGAAAGTGCAACTGGTACTGGTGAAGGAACAACAGCCGATCCTGTTCCTGTTGATGAAGAAGTTATCGTTCCTGAAAGTGCAACTGGAACCGGTGAAGGAACAACAACTGAACCTGTTCCTGTTGATGAAGAAATTATTGTTCCTGAAAGTGCAATTGGTACTGGTGAAGGAACAACAGCTGAACCTGTTCCTGTTGATGAAGAGACTATTGTCGCTGAAAGTGCAAGTGAGACTGGTAGGGAAACACTACCTTTATTTTCCTTTATTTTTTGATACATGAAAGTGAAAGGAAAATTACTTTCTCCCAAAGAGCTTATATTGTATTATGTTATGATTTAGGTTAACCCCAAATGTATTACATATTATAATGTTTCCTTTTATTTTCCCTTAAAGGAGCTGCCACATCAACATTAGCTACTGAAACTCATCCAGAGGTCATAACAGATGTGGTTGTTACAGAGGCAGACACCACAGAGGCAGCAACAACAAACACCCAGACAACAGAAGCAGCAATACTAGAGACAGAGGCAGCTACAACAGAGGCCGACTCGACAGAGGCAGCTACAACGGAGGCCGACTCGACAGAGGCAGCTACAACGGAGGCAGACTCGACAGAGGCAGCTACAACAGAGGCAGACTCGACAGAGGCAGCTACAACGGAGGCAGACTCGACAGAGGCAGCTATAACGGAGGCAGCTACAACAGAGGCAGGAACAACAGAGGGAGCAAAAACAGAAGCAGCAATGACAGAAGCCCCCAATACTGGAGTCACTGAGGAACTTACAACAGCTTCTGATAATGTTGGTAAGATAAAAGTGGAAATAGTTATTTTGGAATCTGTTTAATTAAACAAAGCTTCATCCATACCCATACTGTTTATTAATGGTGTCAGCGACTAAGGAACTCTAGTTTTACCAACTAAAATGTATTATGTTATTTTTATCTTTTGACTACCATGTTAACATTAATATAATGCCATCTTATTAGTTTATAATTGCATGTATTTTTCAATAGATATGTTTATCCATGACACTATTTTGACTTTTCTTATTTCTGATAATGAAAACACGATTGGTTCCCCTTCACATTTTTCTACTGATCTCTTCACTTTATAATGTGTGTGAATGTTTTTGCATGTATGAGGGGCTTATAAAAAGTTCTCATAACAGCTTATAAATTCTTGATTCTAAACTTCTTTTTCTTGATTTTGATGGAATTTTTCAATGAATTCCTTGTATTGGCAATGTATTAGAAATGAATTGAGAAAACTCTACCGCAACTTGAGCTTTTAAGATAGGCCCTGCATTATCACATTTATTTTATTAATGTGAGTAGTAACCCAATACAATCTCCTTTTACATGTATCTCAATTAAGGAACCATATTTGGATAAAACCTTTCAGTCACATTTGCTATAGTAACTGACCATTGATGAATGATTGTCAAAGGTATTGCTCAATTTCAAGGTACTGTGGTTGCTGTTCAGTCACCTTAGAACAAATGTGACTGAGGCATTAGACACATGGGTTTCTTGAAATCACTATATGGTCCATGAAACTAAATGTTGAGTATATAGTAACACATCTTAACTGCTGATTTAAAAGTATTGAATTGGGTTGCTACCTAGGTTAATAGGGTGTGGGTATTTGTATAACTTTAGTAGTACATTAATTTAACAGCTGTCACTACATTAGTAACTGGGGCCACCACCTTAGCAACAACAGAGGAAGGAGGCCTAGGAATAATTAATGAAAGAACAGCAGCCACTGCAGAAACTACAGCTGCAGAAACTACAGCTGCAGAAACAACTCTCATAGAGACAACACCTGCAGAAACGACTCAGGCAGAAACAACAGGTGATGCTGGCATTATCATTCCTGCAGAAACTACTGCTAAAACAACTCCTGCAGAAACAACTCTCTTGGAAACAACTCCTGCAGAAACAACTCTCATAGAGACAACACCTGCAGAAACGACTCAGGCAGAAACAACAGGTGATGCTGGCATTATTATTCCTGCAGAAACTACTGCTGAAACAACTCCTGCAGAAACAACTCTCTTGGAAACAACTCCTGCAGAAACAACTCTCATGGAAACAACTCCTGCAGAAACGACTGTCATAGAAACAACACCCGCAGAAACGACTCACGCAGAAACAACAGGTGATCCTGGCATTCTCGTTCCTGCAGAAACTACTGCTGAAACAACTCCTGCAGAAACAACTCTCTTGGAAACAACTCCCGCAGAAACAACTCTCTTGGAAACGACTCCTGCAGAAACAACTCTCTTGGAAACAACTCCTGCAGAAACAACTCTCTTGGAAACAACTCCTGCAGAAACAACTCCCGCAGAAACAACTCTCAAAGAAACAACTCCTGCAGAAACAACTCTCTTGGAAACGACTCCTGCTGAAACAACTCTCAAAGAAACAACTCCTGCAGAAACAACTCTCATAGAAACAAGTACTGCAGAAACAATAACCACAGAAGTTGGAGGAAGTGCTGGTGGTATCCCAACAGAAGTGGGTATGTTGCATGCTACAGCTTTGCTACCTCTGGAACTACCCAATGCATGCAGCTGACTCTGTTACGGTACATCATGTTAACGCTTGGGCTATGCGATGATGATGTCTGTTCATAAGGCTGAATTATAAGCAATGTGATTGACTGTCTGGAAAAAAACTATGTGGCTTTATTCAACTCAGGCATAACTATCTCATGCTTTTAATTAAACATAACATGAAAGAAATTCTCTATTTGGGTCTTCATGAATTTTGGTCTCACTATCTCCAAATAATTCTACTCATTTTAGAAAAATGATAAACATTTAGAGTTGAATCATACTTATCATATCATCTCAAAAATTGAAGCTTCAATACTCCATTATACCCCTTGGTATACCCCAGTATATACATATATCACTTTAATATCGGTTGACTGTGGTTCCTAGAATTTATATAGGGTTGTGATTTGATTTTCAAATCTTGCCCTTTGTAAGTCCTCATTGTTTTAGGCTCTACATGAAATTCTCTGACTTTTAATTACCAGAAAATAATTTTGAAAATTTTATATTGTCACCATAGAGAATGCACAAAAGCCAAATGCATTATATGTGTGCTATGCTTCATACATGTCAATTCAAAACATTGAATGGCTAATATTTGACAAAATGGGCTTGCGTGAAAAAAGCCAACATCCACAAATGCATGTCAAGTCTCTTAAACAAATGGTAATACGATGTAAATTCAAAGAGCAGTGAATGAAGTTAATATCATTTAATATCTGATTGATAGCATTGGCTTTCTATCAGTGACATCAGATCAAGAGGGGTCATATGCATTGTGGTATGCATTGTTGTTTTGGTACGATCCCTTCCTCAATATTCAGGGTGCTCAATATGTTTTTGGTAGACAAAGGTTAGACATTTGGAAGGAAAGGTTTGAATATTGCATACAGCTTTCTGCATTTATGATTTGCAAGGACATCTCTTGAAATTGTTTGCCTAAATAAACATTTTTATTAGTATTTTTTGATGATCAAGAGTGAGGCTAAAGAGATGGTAGCAAATATTAATGGGCTAAAGGGCTAGTGAGCACCCTGGTATATTTTCCTTTCGGCATGCTTGTAGTTTGAGATATATAGGATAAAAACTAATGGTGCATGGGACCTTACATTTTTGAAAATATGGAATATAAATATCCTGTTGTGTCTTCTTTAAGATAAAGTTTGATGGCAGAATGTGATGTTTTAATATAAAAAACTTTCAAGTGAATGATCCTTCTAGTCCTAAATTGTTGTTATTGCCCAAATAATTGATATTCCCTTCTTGTTTGATCTCAGTATTCTTTATCTTCCTCATGAAATCTCCCTTCATTTCTGTTTCATTTTGATATACATATTTGTTTCATTCCCTTTATTCTATGATGACATTATATAATTGCAGAGAACTCTTCAATTGTATTATGCATATTGTATGATATACTAGTAACCCAGGGGTAAATGAACATCCATGCTGCAACCACATGTCATTATCAAATTTAAATGGACTATTGTCATTTGACCTTAATCCTCTTGTGGATGAGGTTCAATGATTTTTTAGATTTTGTAATATGTTGCCCTTTGTGATTTTCACAGTATGACTTTAATATGATTATGGTAACTATGTAAACATGAAAATGCAATTTGATTCCAAAGTTAGAAACAGTAAAGTAAATGTTGCATTCAGATGCTATATTTAGAGGTACTGTGAATGATAAGTGGACAAATCACCTCTAGATAGCATCAAACCATGTCACAAGGAACATAGGCATGCCATATTTGTCATCATTATTTTTCAATATTAATGACTTTTTTTTACCTTAATTGACAGATCCGTGTGCGAATACTTCCATCTATGATTCTGAGGGTCACTATAGCAATAGGTGGGATTTCAAACCTCCTGGAAATTGTGACCAATATATACCGTCAGGCTGGTGGAGGTTCAGACATAATGAAGAAGATGCAATTATTCCAACCTCTTGTATAAAGGTATGTGTACAGTACATTGTATTTTTAATGCATCAATTGGATGGGTTTGATACATAGTATTGTCCCAGGTCATGGGATTTTGACAGAGTATTTCATCCTAGGAATAAGGACTTTTGAAATACTTATATCCAATAATGAGAATTTTGACTTTTTTGAAAAGGTGACTTATAGGTCGGGTAGATTCCCCTAATAGACCCTATATATCTTATCGGATCACATATAGTGAAATATCTTTTCTTGTATTGGACAGATAATATTTTCTTTTACTGGACATATTTTCATTTGTTTAATTATCAGACATATAGGGTGAGCCAAAAAAAGGTAACCCAAGCAAATCTTAATAACTCAGTCATCCGGCATGAGTTTTAAGTCATATTTGGCACAGTTGAACCTTGTTCAAAAATTCAAGATTATATGACCATTTCACAAAACATGCTCAAAATCCTGGTCTTGTCTTTAGAGGCAAACTTGAACATACAGCGTGATGTTTTCTGACTACAAACTGACAGATATCTTGTGAAATGGCTCTCATTAGCTCACATGGTGAGCTATTGCAATCACTCACTTGTCCATCTGTCTGTCCGTCTGTCTATCTGTCTGTCTGTCTGTCCGTCTGTCTGTCAACAATTGGCCTGTTTTAAAACTCTGTCATAGAAAAAACCCCTATGACTCCTGGTTCAAAAGCTCGCCTATTTTCAAAATGGCCACCATTTTTGTCTCACGAAATTTAATTTTGGACCATTTGCTTTAAAACCTGTGTCGATAGGATTTCCGTTTTAAGTTATTTTTGTTCAACATCAATACAGAAAACTCCTCTATGACTCCTGGTTCAAAAGCTCGCCCATTTTCAAAATGGTCACCATTTTTGTCTTGCAAAATTCACTTTTGGCCCATTTCCTAGCTTTACAAATAATTTCAGGTGTTCTGCATTGTAAAAAGTCATGTAAAGAGTAGTTGTATGAAATAATTTTGTAACAAAAGATCGGCAAAAAATTATATCCGTTTTCTGCCATTTTAGCCATCATTCACTTTTGAGCAACACCATGTGAGCCCAGTACCCACGGTACTATTTATTTTCCTTATAATCTCTTGTTTCAACCCCCTGGTGATTCTAGGTATGTTAATATTTCAGGAAGTAGCCCCAATGATAAAATTCTGGCAGTTCATATGAGGTGATTTTGGTATGTTTTGGCTTTTGGGGCATGTTTTGTAAAATGGCCATAAAATTATGACGATTTGGCCTAGAGGCCTAGACTCATGAAACTTAATAAAACTTCGAACAAGGTTCAATTGTCTCAAATATGACTTAAAACCCAAACTGTATGACTGGCATAGATCTGTGGGTATCATTTTTTGGTTCACCCTGTATACTTTAAGGGTTATATGAAAATTGATCCACTTAAACTGATGAATATTCAAAGTAATGGAACTTTCTACCATATCTGCCATCCTATTTGACCCGAATTACATGTAGCCACTTGGTGGTGAAACATGCAACTACCTACTGGCATCTGTATTATTGTTTTTAAATATTTATTTAAAAATCCCCTTCCTGTATGAGGGGGGTCTCATACAAAACTTTGAATTGTGCATCCCAGGTTGTGCATAAGTATTAGCCTACATTGCAAGTGCAAGATGACAAACGATTCAGTCAAATATCGATCATAATGTTATGTTTTGAAGTAAAAAGAGAGAAAGCCAACAAGAAGTCAGCACTCTTTTTGGCATTTCACTCATAAGTCATTGCATCAATATATGTTGAAAAAAAAAGATTTCCAATACTCTTGACAGGGTATTATGTGAATATTGTATTACTCATTCAAGTATTTGTCAGTCTCAAATGATGTGGAACAAAGTCAAGTCTTAAAGTCCATATGACATCCATCTATAGGATCATCATTGTTGGAAGCTTCTTCAGACGTGGGATGAATTTAGAATGTTAATCCCAGTTTGGACCCTGTAATGACTATATACTGGGTAAAGAAATTTATTCTAGAGAGTTCTATGAAAAAATGAACAAGTTGTCTGAATTATTTATATTTTCAGCAAGGATACTGTGGCACAGGACGTCCTATGGTTGTTGATCTTGGAGGAGTCGATATGCCTGAAGCGGGAGTCACAATTGAAGCTCATACTTGTACAATTGATGTATTCGTTGGAGTAGTGAGATGCTGTGGGGTGTCAAAGACCCCTATTAGGATCAAGAATTGTGGAGATTTTTATGCATATGAATTGAAGAATACAGAGGATTTTACATGCCCCACTGCATTCTGTCTTCAATGTATGTACATACTGGAGAAGGATATGCTTGAAAATTGAATTCAGACTATACTAACTAATAATTCATTCAGTGTTATTTTTTTACCATATCACAGTACTTTGTGGTAACAGTCTGTTTTTATATGCAAGATATGTTACAATCGGAATAACAGCAGATTGTATGATCCAAAATGCCCAGGGCAACCTTTGAATTCAATGTCCAATATTATGTGTGCCTCTACAACTTTGAATATGCACTGAAATGACTACATACAGAATGCTTGGGTTATAATAGTCACACGCAGATCCAGGAATTTGTGCAAGAGGGGACACTGATATATCCCAAAAAATGTTTGAGAATGAATGTGAAGCTTGTACTATAGAGGGTGCACCCGAAAATTTTTGAAAATAGAGTGCAATTTGGGGCAATCGGAGTTTTTTTCCACAATTAAAATATGAATGACTTCATGAAGAAAGGCTTCTTTTTGAGACAATTTTTTATTTACACGATAACACATGTTTTTTAAAAAAAGTTTAGGGGGGTGGGCAGGTATTTACTTTATGGATTGAATAAGAAATGTAAATTTTTCTTTTAGTGGAGAATGAAACTTTACCATGGGAAGCACTTGGCAACCCTCCACCAACCACTACAGAAGCACCCACAACTCAACCACCAACCACAGGTAGGTAGCTATAGTAACTTTGAATTTCTACATAGCAACACAAGTTTCACCTGGTTGTAACACATCACCTGGTATTGCAAAGCACATTACATTGTATATGTATGTGAATTGCTATAATGCCCTATTTCTTATTGTACAAATTATATTGAAGATATAATTTTACAATTTTTATTCTCAACAAAACATAATACACAATATTAAAGAAATGATCTCATTTAAAATTAAAGCATTTACATCATAAGTTAGACATACAGATATTTATGTACATTTTAGGCAAGTAAATATAGAAAAATATTTTTGTGGTTATCTTAAAAATGATTTTTTAAAATTAATATATGCAGATATAAGAATCATGTATGCTATCATATAATGTCAGATGTGTCTTTAATGCAATCTTTAAATTACTATTCATCCTGCCATATTATCTGCCCTAAGAATTACGATTTCATTGTTTTGAGAGACTTCCCTCTGGATTATTCTACATACATTGGAATGCATTTCGATCATTTTAATGAGGGTGGGCCGCAGGGCATCATAGTAGACTCATCTATAGTGGTGTATGTATAGGAGTAATAATCCAAACTGTCTCTAGATGTCTGCCCAGGGATTTGCTCCTGTCTCCTCCTATGTATTAGTATGTAATAGAACACTGCAACAGTAATTAACCCCAAGACCATTCCTGCTACTCCAGTCATAATGAGAGCAAGCACTCTGAAGAATTGTGGTTTTGTTTGCGTTGTTGGTTTTGGAGATAAAATTGTCGTCATTGTATTTACTGTTGTGATCTGGGATGCCAAGCTGTATGTAGTTACTTTGGCAGCAGTTCTCGAGAAGTTGAAATTATAACTCAGTCTTGTAGAATTCCATCTACACCGCATTATTTGACACTTTCTTTTGTCCCAGAAGTTCAAAGCATTAGCTTCCTCATCACATGCATGTGACATGCATGAATATAGATCCTCCACATTCATGTATTTTATATTGTCGCAATTTGCACAGACTCTTTTACCAGTGTCCCAGGTTCTTCTTATGAAGAATGAGTTTCGACACCTTGGTGTTGATGGGTGCAACAACGCATAAGCTTTTGTGCTTTCCCATTTGTTGCTCCATCCATATTCCCAATCAGTAATGTCGTGATTTGATTCACATCTATAGAGGGTGCAGGCCTGTTTTAGTTTATATTGTTTATGTATCACTAAATTGCTATTGTTTTTACATGCTGACTTAAAGCAGTCTGTTAAGTTTGAATTCCTTCGTATGTATTGCATTTTTGTGCAATTGGAACCGGGCCGCCAGCCTTGTCTCACTAAAAAGAAGTTGTCATGGTGACATTCCTCTGAAATCAAAGAGAGATTGCTTCACTCTGTTAATTTCCTCAATTCATTTTTTTCATATTTTTATACAATATACAGTGACACCTAGAGGCCATATTATGCAGTGTAACAAAAATGAATAATGATTGTACAATTTGTAAAAGAATGCTAATTTAATTTCCTCCAGGAATTAATTTTTAAGGAAAGAAGGCTGTTAATATTATAAATATTAATTCAGTTTGATTTTTTTGATTGATTATAAGTAAATTTGACATAAAACTTTTCATCTATTTACCTGTATCTTTCCATGCTGGAAAATTGTGAATATACAAAGAAAAAAACAATGCAACATATGTAATCCTTGAACTCATATTCTTCGGCATTCTGTCTTCTCATTCTTATAAAAATGAAAAAAAGACAACAGGTCTGTTATTAAATAGTTCCTCATTGGGGCTCCCAAAGTCTAAAATTGAAATGAAAGAATTCCCAAAAGAAGCCCTGAAAATGGCAACTGAAATGAACGAGGCATGCATTAAACATTTCAGATGATACAGTCGTATTTATAAAAAGTATAAATTGCTGATGCTCAACAAATGACAAACAATCATAAGTTAAATGACTATTGTCATTCCTATTTGATAAAAATCTTAAACTTGATTTTGGATGCATCATTCAGGAGCCACCCTTTCTCACGAATGGTATATATTCTGACTTAATCTGAGATAAAAATAAAGTCATATTTTATCGCAAAAACAAATTGATTCCTGTTTGATAGTGAATGATTTGTATGACTCATGAAATAAGCAAATATATTAGTTCATATCCCACACTGTGATTATGTCATCACCACTTTTGGCTCTTAGTGTTAGGCAGTTGGCGTCAGGTGGTGACATTTTGCATGTTAATGTCTTGTTTACTAGTTGGAATGTCCTGTATAGAAATGTACTTAGTGAAGACTTATCACAGTCAAGTTTGCAATAGCTAGTGTTGTTTGATAGAGCGTTTGATAGACTGTAAATGTCTGCTTATACGGTCATAAACTATCAAAATAAGATAAGAAACATTTAACTTAGTTTTTTTATTGACTTTTTAAAGTGTTTATAAATTGGACACATTTACACCCACTTCACTATTTGAAATATTTTGAAATAGATCCAATATATTGATGGTTTAAATACCCCAATATCTTATTATGGTTGTTCAAACTATCAAATAGTTCAGTTATATTTACTTTCTTGACATAAAAGAATGAGGTAATAAAAGTATTACGTGCAAAAACACAAATATTACATTTAAAAAAACTGCGTACTGTCTTAGGAATCTAGCAACAACAAAAAAAATATTATATCTGAAAAACAAAATTGCATACTGTCCTATTAATCTGGCATTCTACATACGTATTACATGGTTTACAATATCGGTTGACGTGTTACAGCAAACAGCAAGCAAGATGAAACTTGTGTTGCTATGGAGAAATTCATAGTTCCAAAATTCTCAATCTAAACACAGTCTGAAGATCTGCCTCTGTACAACAATCAATATTTTATTTGTGAGATAGGTGAAGCTTTGAGATTAGGGGACAGTTGTGGTATATGTATTAGCATTTCAGTCAATAGTGCATCTCACAATTGCAAGAGTGGTAGCAAAAATAAATATAATTTATGATATGTATATCATAAATATAATATATCCCTTTTCAATTAGATCTGTAATTCACAATCTCAAATGAATCAATGCGGTTCAATCTCAAAACAATTAAACAAACTTAAAACAACATTTTCCTTTAAATCGGATCTGACACTTTAGCCCACCCTTTGTACAAATGTATTTTGTGTATTTTCAGAAGCAACTACAACAGAACCTACAACAACACAATCTATGGTAAGACATCGAAAAGTTGCCAAATAGATAAAGTTAAAGGGGGCATGACAGGGCCAACCATGTTTCAATTTTAAGAATCAGAAATGTACTGCCCAATCACATCACTGGACAAGGAGGTTCCTCATCCAAAACCAAGTCACACTACAAATGAAAAAACTTCTTCTGGCTTACATAAAAATTTACACCGTACCTGAAAACTAAACACCATATAATTGCCCCTGTCATTTCCCCTCTAATTTGCCCCTGTCAATTCTTTACGTATAGATCTGCTATATTAAATTCTTTGTGGCTTTTAGTTTAAAATATGTGCAGTTTGTTCTACCTCAACACATGTCGATAATAGTATAGTTTTCCTACTAAATAAATAAGTAGTTTTTATGTCAGTATATATGCTTCCTGTATAGAACCTTATCTATAGATAGTAATAGTCCTACCGAAGAGAAAATGCTTTATTAGTCATATTTTGAAATAGAATGGAAAAAGTGGAATAAATAAGAATCAAACTTGACAGATATGCCATCACCACTTGACAATGTTGAAAGTACATTAATTAAGAATATTTAGTCATGTAAGTGAGCAGAAAGGGAAACATAAGAAATTATGTTTTTCTTTAAATGCTTTTACTTTATTCTTTCCAAATCCACACTACTCCCCATTTTAAAGTATGATTCTTGTTTCCATTAAGTATAAATGTCCAAAACACAGTCTTTGCATACACTATAGGACAAAGAGTGCTATATACAAGTGAACACCTCTCTATAGTCACTGGTCAATATCAGAAGGTAACTAAAGCTATCCAAAATCAATGTTTACCACCAACTATTTTGAAAAGAAAGGTAACGGGTGTTACTTTTCCTGATATTGAAGAGTAAAAATGAACGCAACAAATCTGAACGCTTCAACATGCATGTACATGTATAAAGTTCCACCAGAATCTATAACCAGTGAAAGTAACATTTCTGTTCACTTTAGACAGGTTTTACTCTACCAGGTTTGTACAGGGTGGGCTAAAGAACTTCGACCTTTTTCATTTTTTCCAAAATTTTTATTGATGATGCCAATTAGATGAAATTCAAATTACTCAATATGTTAATCAAATGGTGAGAAATTTCCCATGAATTTGACTGCACAATGTTTTATGTTTCACACAATATTCCAGTGCCACATATCAGGGGAACGACAGCTGGAAATAAAAAAGATAAAAAAGATGGAAGTTGTCCTACCATGTATATTTAATTGAGATGATCACTTGTGTGTGGCACTCTTCAATTTAGTACTGTATTGTATCATCAGGTCCTTGTGTAACAACCCCCCCCCTTGCTTCCCTCAATACTAATAACCTTGTTAGGAGAAGAGAGTTAAAGGACCTGAATGATATGAAGTTTCCTCTCACATACCCTTAGTTTCTCTAGCTTGTATTCTCAAAGAGGTAATAGGAAAGGGTGGGGGTACACACAGGAACTTAAGGTACAATTGAAACTCCCCTTCAAAAGTTTGGCAACTCCTAACTTCCCATCCTCCTAAGCAGGTGTCCAGAATCCGTACCTCCTTCTTCCCCCTGCTATAAGCAGTTAGCATTTCCCCGATTAAGAACTCGCAATTTGATTGGCTGTCGCAACACTGCGACAGAAATCATGTATACGTCATCGGCGCATAATAAGATCACGTGATTCAGTTTAATCGGGCGCGTCCAACTTGGTTAAAGCAGGGGGTAAAAAGAAAGAAGATATTCTGGATTTTGAAGCCCTGTGATCGGAGGATGCTAACTTCCCTATTAGACTGCATTTAATGTTACAGAATTTTAGTGTTTGGAAATTTATATGTCATCGCCAAAAGTGTTGACATATTGTTATAGTCTCCTACTTTTTGTGGATTATGTTCAATGGTTGGTGTTTGGCAACACATGGTTAGGTGGTGACATTTTGTATGTTAATGCCCTGTTAATTGGCTTTAACACTCTTCCTAATTGGGGGTAGGGTTGCCAAATCTTTGAGGGGAAGTGTAAGGTGAATGGTTTGAAATCCCTTTGTCACTTAATATTAGTCTCCCTACCCCTTTTCATAGACTACAGCAGCTATCACTACGACTACAACTGAAGCTTTAACTACAACGGAAGCTTCAACTACAGAATTCTCGGTAGGTAACTAAATTAAGGCTCGGGTATGATGTGAAGCACTAACGGTAGTATTGGAAACACAAGCCAAATCTCCATAAACCATATGAATTATAAATCAAGTATATAACACCAAATAATATGAAAAAGTATGTATTGATTTAATTCTGTTGATCTGCAATATTTCTTTATACCAGAAATGCTTTATTTCTTTTTATCATGAACACTTGAGAAAGCCTTAAATTGATTTTGTTGTTTTTAAAGCAGAACATTTTTGCATAATATATTAGTGATTGTGGCATGAACTTATTTGACCAGAAGTTTGAATTATCTTGATTATGCTGTTTTGTGGTGGAATCAGATCTATAGTGAGTGACAAAATTGCAAGTGACATGTACAATTGATCTACCAATATTTTCTTCATGATCTCAAATGAATATCTCCCAAAAGATTCACAATACCCTATCAATTGCATTGCATGGTGTAGTTATTTCTGATTCAAAGTGCAAAAATTTGGGAAAATGTTTAAATTCTCCCAAAAAATAAATGTGGTAACCATATTTAAAGAAAAATGATTGCATTATGTATACACTTTGGGATTTTTATAAAATAGACATGATAAGGAATGATATGAGCCCAATATATTCTAAAGTACAAACAATTTTTGCTTACTGGATCTGATACCACCTTTGATATTTAGTAGAATTGAGTCTTCAGTAGTTAAACATGACTGTCAATTGGTCCCAGCAATTTCAATCTTCCATAGGCTGTAAAGGGTTGGGCCATGAAGGAATAATCTACAGACCCCTACTAAGATGTGATTGCATTAACTAAATGTTCCTTCAATTGTGTACCATTACCATTGCATAATTGGTACATGTTTGCTTTATTCTTTGCTGGTTTTCCTGTTCTAATGCTCTTTTTGCATCTTTCATCACCAACATGACACTTTGTTCAGAGGTGATATTCAATAATTAATAGAATGCTATGTGAATACTTTTTTAGATTTTTTTTCTCAAACCTATCTCATTTGGTATAGACTAGTACATCCATTTTTTTTATTTATTTACTTCATCTGTCATTTCTATTTCCATGCTGCATGTTGTTGGAATTTACATGAGTAAGTACTTAAGCGTTATTTTAGGAAAGTCTTTAAGAGGTGTATATCAGGGTTACATTCTAGGTGCTCTATTTAAAGTGTTAGAATCAACCTCAAATCATCAAAATTGAACATCGTCTGACTACACAGCGGCAAGACAAAATCGGTACTTTTTTCATCGAAAAGCCATCATGGGGAATGATTCTTGGACTGACGTCATCACATTGTTTATTTTTTTATTTTAATTACTGGCTTATAACAGCTGATTGGAGGGCACAGTTATATAATAATTGTTTGATCTCAAGGATTTGCAACAATTTGAGGATTTAAGGGTCTTCTTAACACTTTAATATAGGTTTGAGGGTTGTTGTTTTTATGCACAAGTACATCTCCTTTGTTAAAGGGGTGTAGATCTGTTGACCATTCTGTTTATTGAAACTATTATATATGGAATGATGTTATTTATTTATTGTGACCTACAACTTAACCAGGGGTACATATGCATAACTTAGTCTGTATCATTTATTCTCCTTTGTGCCTTAAAGTGGTGTCTAGGATAATATAAATTATGTTATACCTCGTCTTATTGCTTAGAGAGGGACCACTGTCAACAAGGAGAATGCTACAGAGGAAGACATTTCAGTTGTAAACTGTACAAGTGTTGGGCCTATGCTAGTCTACTGTAACATTAGAGGGACTTGGAAAAGGGCTTCCTTAGACTGTAAAGGGATTGGCCTGTATGAACTCAGCAGTGAGCTGAGATGTTTATCTGTAGAGGCTTATGATGCCATGAGGGCACAAGAAAATGATACTTTTACATCAGTTAGTCCAATATCGGATCTTACGCAGTCTTTTACTTCTACTGCCAAAGATGACTTTGATCTCACCACCATTGATGGAAAACAACACAAAATTACCCAAACTGCCAAAACCCCAGGAGTTACTGTTCATACTAAAAGCCCCCCAGGTACAACATCAGCTACTACACCAGAAGTTGATGATGTTCAAAATAAGGTATATCATAGAAATAAAGAAACACCCATCCAGCATCAAGTACTTAATGGAAACACCTGCCTGTTGGAATGTAAGAACACCTGGAAATAATAAACACCTGTAATTAAACACCTTATTATATATTACATAATGTATTATTACATAACATATGATATAGCATGAATGCACAAGTCTTTATTTTTTATAACTGAAATAAAACACCCACAATTCTATATGCTATTGTTATTATCCTGTAAAGGATAGTTACTTGAATTATTTCATTAATGTTGTCAATAGCTGTGATTCGCTGAATGTAATGACTGAATATTTGATATAAGATGATATTATGAAAAAAATGATTTTATGATTCGTGACTTTGTTTTTCTTTTAAGTGATGTTTAGCATACTTAGAAATACAATTGAAGTTCACAATTATTTTGTCTTGTTTTGTCCAAAGAATGTCCCAGATGATTTTTCAAACAAACTTATTATACTGTATGAAGGCCACAGCATGACACTGCATGATTGTCAGTATTTACTATTTATGTTATTAATATTTATTGTATATACATATGCAAGTGCTGAACATGCATGAATGATTATTATCATTTTATTGTATGCTTTCTCTGATAAATAACGTATACAGTAAACCCTGCATAAATAAACACATCATTAAGTGAATACCTAAAAAATCAACACTTTTCTTTCAACCTTTTCTATTGTTTGTACAAATAGTGTGAAAATCCTCAATGTTGGATGCTTTGAATGTGATCATCTAGTGTCTACTTTGGACAGGTTTTACTGTATAGACCATCCAAAATAATTTTCCTCTCTGCAGTGATTTCTTAACTTTTTTTAAGTCTTAATTTACCTAATAACTTTCTTCTGTGTAATCTGTAATTACAAAACAAGCCTTTTAAACTTCAATTTCCTTCTTTCGCTTAAAATATTTTCTTACAAAGTGAATGAGTATTCATTTTCTTACACTAATAGTGTGTAAAGAATTTCAAGTGTGTGATCTTCTTACTAATTTCTCTATTTCTTGTCGACAGGTTGGTTAAAATTCATCAATATTCATATTTCATATATGAAAAGACTCATTGTGACATTGTACAATTTCTGTACAATTTACGAAGGTTGTTTCAGGAATGATTTAAGTAAGTAAACTAATTGTTATTGCAGTAAGTGCAGAACTTCTTGGACAACCCTCAATGTAGTCTTTTCAACAAAAATAATAAATCAAGACAGTATGAAAATTGATGTTAAAATGGACCCTGTACAAAATACTTTGGAGATGAAGTGCATGTTATATTTGGCAGTGTTTCTGATTTATGTGTTATTCTTTCAGTATCTTGGTATTCCATACAGACTACGAGAAGATATGAGAGAAGAAGAGGTGGAAAATACAATAACAGTCTACTTCAATAACTCACAACAAGACTTTGTGAGTAATTGTAAATACAGAATATCTACTTGTAAATACAGAATATCTACTTGTAAATACAGAATATCTACTTGTAAATACAGAATATCTACTTGTAAATACAGAATATCTACTTGTAAATACAGAATATCTACTTGTAAATACAGAATATCTACTTGTAAATACAGAATATCTACTTGTAAATACAGAATATCTACTTGTGAATACAGAATATCTACTCTTTTTCTCATGAAGAGAATAGCTCCTCTCATGATGCTCTTTATGATGCACATGTTTTCTCTTTTTTATTGTCATTAGCTTGGTGGCCAATATTTGATTTTATGTACTTTATTTGTTCACTATGTACTTTTCTATTCACCTCATGTAACACATTCAATTTCTTTACATTGGCCAGATTACAAATTACTTGACTTACCTTAAGTATAATGTAAAGCTAAGACAAACGCATGGTTCACTTATTTAACAGTCTTAATACAAGCAACAACATATTTGCAAAAATGAAGATCAGAATCAGCAGTTTGCATTTATAATATATTGTTACACTTTTTGAAACCTATTTGCAGGTGCTAAACTTTCTCATGTTATTGCCTTGTTAATAAGTTAAAGTTTATGGCATATGTATTCTATTACAGGACATCAAAGATTTTGATGAGAACTTCAGGTATCACTTTATGCGACTGTTCAACATGTTCTTAGAAGACCCTTCACAGTTCCCAACTGAAGACTTTGTTGATAACCGCCGACGCCGCAAGAGACAAACAGACCTTGAAACCACCATTGAAGCAGTTGCAACAACTGTTGAAACCACTGCCGAAAATGCTCAAACAACTGCTGCAGAAGCTGCCACTACTGTTGAAGAAGTTGTAACCACTGTTGCAGCAATTGAAGCGACTGTTGAAGCAATTCAAACAACTGATGAAGCAGTTCAAACAACAGTTGAAGCAGTTCAAACCACTGCTGAAATAGTTCAAACAACTGCTGAAACAGTTCAGACCACTGTTGCTGAGGATGACACCACTGTTGCAGCAGGTGAAACCACTGTTGAAGCAGTTGAAACAACCACTGAAGTAGCTGAAACAACAGTTGAAACAGTTCAAACAACAATTGAAGCAGCTCAAACAACTGCTGAAACTGTTCAAACCACCGTCACAGAGGTTGGGACCACTGTTGCAGTAGGTGAAACCACTGCTGAGGTAGTTGAAACTGTTGAACCAACTGAAACAACAGTTGAAGCAACTCAAACAACAGTTGAAAAAGTGCAAACTGTTCAAACCACTGTCGAAGAGGCAACAACATTGAATGAAGCACCAGTAGTAACATTAATTCCAAATACATATACCAACCTCACTGAAGAGGCCCTAATCTATGTTGCTCCCACACCTAGGGAAACTGAAACAGGGGATATTGAAGTGGCCTTTTTCATCTTAAACTCAACTGATGAAGAAAGAGAAGATGGAGGAAAATACAAGAGATCATCTGAAGGTACAGCGTATGATTTCTTTATTTCCTTAATAAAAAGAGATTGTGGTTATAGAACTTATCTACAGTCCCTTTCTCCTGATCATATCTAAATCACTTTAAGAAGAAATTTTTGGATATTTGCATATGGTTTTCCGCAATCATCTTTACATAAGAATAACTATCTTTGGATTTTTATCTGTATTCACGAACAATCTTTTGTCAGAACTTAAATGTCATGAATGGCAACCTTAAAGTAAAATAGAACTTACAAAATAATCTACAAGAGGCACAACTGAGAGAGTGGTTTGCATATTATATTCAGGGCATTATTTTTCAGAGAGTGATGTGGTAGATAAGGATCACATAAACACAGCATTAGCAAATGGCAACTTCAGGAAACAACTGGATGATGCAGTAGGAATTTAATATTATGTCTTTGTGGGAAATAAGATTGGGGAAATTGTCCAATTTTTGATTTGGTATATTATCCATATTCATGATCAGAAAATGTCAGAAAAATGGTGATCAAATAATAAATTAAAGTTGAATTGTCTTGGTAGCAGAAGATAAATTGAATTTTAGAAGAACAAATGAGTATTTCAAGACAACATTGATTGAGTAATAAAAAAAGTTCTGCTTATTATTTTTAATGTGAACAACAATCTTTTCAGTTGAAACGCAATGTAATCTCGTGGAAACAAGGGCCACCAGGTGGAGCCATCGTAATAGCAGAGCAGCGCCAGAATGTGTTTGATGCTCATTATGGACTTTGGATCACTCTGTTTGTTCTCGCTGGTATATGTGTGATTGTGATCATCATAGCACTTATTTGTATCCTATGCAAAGGCAAGAGAGGCAAATGGACCCCAGATGATAAGGTTTGTAACTATTTTGAATTATATTTATCTGAGATTTTCATGCATGTAGATATAATACTCTCATAGTCATTGTCCTGGAAGCAGAAAAAAAGTATATAAATATATGTATAAGGGATGGTACAAAATATGGATAAAATTCTTATAAGGTACCTATCAGCTGAAGTCCATTTGTCCAATCAAGTGAGCAACAACATGCCAATCTATATTTCCTATATCAAAAAAAGTAAACATGCCATTCATGTACTGATGTGGCTGACTATTTTATTATAATATTAGTTTAATTTTTTGGAAGTTTAAAGAGTGATCAGTATAAACCAGTTGCCTCTTCAGTACATCTCTTCCCAGGCTGACACGATTGATTAAAAAACTGCAAATAGCACAGAAAACGGGAGCTGTTCTAGTTTTAAGAAAATATTCAAATCAGTTAAAAAAACTTAAATTTCTGATCTCCTACTTGCCATTCTAGGGCCTATTTTTGGAACCATTGGACTTATGATTTGGTCTCAAGTCATTGTTTGTCAAAAAGTAGACGATGGTTTTCTTGGAATTGTAAGTTATAATCGTCCAAAAAATGAACCCCTGTGTCATATTGATGTAAACCTGTGTACTGCTGCCTTACTTGGAATCCTGGATTCACATTTGGTTTTGAATAAAACATAAAGCAGATTTCCCTAATTTGGGTTACTTATGATTTGCAGGAGCATATGAAGCTTGAGCAAGGCCATGGTGATGTAGAGAACCCTATCTCAGATGAGGAGATCATGAGAGATGAGGCAGGTATGATGGAGAAATCACCTCCAGTGAATGGGCATCACAAGCCGCAGGATGAGGACAATGGATGGGTTGTACCCATAGAACAATTTACTGAACAGGAGCGAGCGCAAGCTGAGGTGGAAGATACTAAATTGTAAACAAAATAGAGATTAGCCAATCAGGTACCTAGTCTGGATTTCCTGGACTTGGTTGATTTTATAAATGTTAATTACAGATTTTTAATGAAATTTCGGAAAATGTTGATGAGCTAATCAGGTACATTAAGTCTCAGTTCGGCTAAACGAATCAGGTGACTGGATTATTAATCAAAGACTAATCAGGAACTTGATTGGTTAAACAGCAAAACAACTAAATGATTGAGGTTCCCCTTGACCAATCAGGAGATTACAGAAAATGAGGATCCAGTCTAACAAACCAACAAAGAATTGAATAAGTTAAGTTAAATTAAGCCTGAGAGACATGTGATTATGATTCCAAGGATGGTATTTCTGTATTTAGAGAAACAATAACATCTTGTTATTGAGACATTAAAATTGAATGAACTTTTGCATAATATAAACATGGATTTTGCCTCAACTTCAGTTGAGTTAGTGGATAATACAAAGTCCATCAACAGTTATTTCACTTTTAACATTCTTACCATAATGATGCAAGTGTCATATGCAAGTGTCAAACAAACATGTAAGTGTCAAACATATGCTTGATAACATGTGTCAAATCACTTAACACTTGATTCCATAACTCATAGAAAATCAAACCAATTTGTTTCCAAAAGGAAATATTCCAAGGAAGGCGTTCAAATAGCTAATGATGATATGTGAAAAAAATGATGTTACAATATCTAGTGAATTATTTCGGTTGTGCCAAATTAAGAGAGAACATAATGTATTACTTATAATACTCAGTGTATGAAATTATGTATAAAAACATTGGTTTTAACTAGTTGACACTTTTTACATTATATTATCCAAATACTGGATTTTTAATCTGGTATATATGTGAAGTTTTTATCAATTTATGCAAATCAATGCATATAACATTGTATATACTGTCATACTATTTGCATGAATGTAGATATAATTAGCATGTTAAATATTGTAATGAAATTACTTGTATAATATACATGCCAAATATGGCGGAAATCTCCAAATATGGCATTTTGACCTTATAAGGTCATTGCCAGACAGCTATCAGCGAATGTGCCAAATATGTAAATAGACTTTATATAGGAATTATTATTCTCATAGTAAGTATTATTAGGAGTTGGAGTTAAAGTGTTATGGTTGTTATTCCAGTAGAATGTATTAAAAAGGTTAGAAATGTCCCTGTTTTTGTAGATTCATTCAGTTGTTGTCAGGGTTTAAGAGATGCACACATATTGAAGTGATGTTTCTAAAAATTAGACATTTAAAAAGTATCCTACATATGTGCTAGATTTTACCAATATTTTTATGACGCTGTTTGACTATTTGCCCAATTTGTGCCAAATATATACATTAAAGTCAGATTGGTGCTAAATTTGTATTGATAATTTGTATAACACTTTATATGCAATTATTTACCGAACTTGTGCCAAAATACTGTAGTTTTAAGTGTCAACCAAAAAAAAGAAAAACGTTTAAAGTAAAGCTGCTTATATACAAAATTAGTTTAAAAATCCAATGAATGGTAAACAAAACAGATCACCTTACTCAAGCGAGATTATTTATTTGCAGTAACATAATTGAATTGAATTGTAATTGAATTGTAATTGAATTGTAACATGTATGTAAAATGTGCAATTGAGTTGAGGCTAGTATTTTCGTACTTAAGTTGAATCCCTTATGTGTAGTCTTACATTTAGTCTTGGAAACATGTAGTACCTGAAGCTGTGCAGTAGACTGAATGTAAAGATGGTTAACTATAAATGAGTATGATAATTTACAAAATGTCTCATGGAAATTTTATCTGTTATATGATATAAAGAAAAAAACAAAATTCATGTTTATTTGTATTTATTACACTTATCTGACTAAAATTATAATTTAATAGTATGTAGGTGACTTTATATTAGTCATTCAAGATAAGTTCAGTTATATTAGATCTATGTACAAGCTATTTATTCTGGGAATACTACATACAACTTTGAACACTGACCATGGAATTGTATTAAGTTTTTTATGGAACTGACATTATGTAAAGTGTGGAGCTAAAGTTAGGGTAGCCTTAATCTGGATCAGATGCACATTCTTTTTTCTAAGACACATATTCGTGGTAAGTGATGAATCTCAAAAACACATGGCAGTGAATTATATGAAGAATTGCAAAATAACAAAAAGATCTCTTCCACTATTGAAGGCAAATGTCTAACAGAGAGGCTACCCTATATATTAGGTAGATGTGTATTGTATAATGTACATAAATGTATATAAGGTTAAATGTGACCCTCATACATCCTGCCTGTGTATATAGATGCAGTTTCTAGGACAGTATATAATTATCGTCAAAAATCACAAATTGTCAACTTTTATTGTCACATGACATTACTTATAAAAGGTGTATTTATGTCAAAATTAAGAAGAAATCTGGAGGGTGTAATGGGAAATAATCTTTCCAAAGGTACCTACGTATTGGATTATACAAGTTAAATCACAATGTTCTCTGTTTTTTCCTTCCAAGTCTTCTATTTTTCAATTAATTGAGACAATCACCATTAATAGAAAACAGAAATCTGAACAGTTTAAGTAATGTCTGTGTATAAATAAAAGTATGTATCAGTAAAACCTGTCTCGCATGAAGACCTTTAGGACCAACTCGGTGTTCACATTTAAAAGTGTTCAGATTTCAAAAGCCATGGAAATGAGTAAGAGGAAATAGATTTTGTTAAAGTAAACCCTTGCCACAGTTTAGTACTGCTCAAGAGGAGGGAAAACCCCATGATTCAATTGATGACATACGATTTCCTCCTTCGCGCACCTCCTTTCCTGGAAGTACGTATATTTGCTTACAAAATGGCAAATGTTTACAAATTGACCTAGTTTTAAACCAATCAACGATCGACTCGCTAAAAATCAGCGACGATTTCATCTCAATACAGATTTACATTATAAGCGTATGTCATCTTTGAACCCTGGGGTTTCTCCCCCTCTTGTACTGCTCACATACACAGGTTTTACTGTATATTTAAATTTTGTGTAAAAAACTTGGTATATGTATTTTCATTTTGAAGTTAACTATGTAGACTTACTTATAATCTTTGTATTGTATGTTATATATGTCGTGTATATAAGCAGATTTCTCTTCACCAAAGAATGCATATCTAATTAGTACCAACTTGAGTCAGTTTTTATGTATGGTACCAATTATTGGTACCAAATCACAAGCTGGTGTGGTACTAGTGACTCAGTAGCTTTTGAAGTCATAGTTACTAGACCTAGTAGTTGTTTTGTTTAGTTGTTTAGTTTGGCTTGTAGGATGTTCTTGTTTTGTTGCAGTTTCACTTTATTAATTGAAATTAAAGACTGGATGCGTTAAAATGAAAATATTTTCAAGTTTTCTGTTTCAATTGCATTTTTAATATTTATCTTTGTGTGTAAAGTTTAACAAATATCCAGTGATACTCTAGTAATTACTATATTGATCTTGTATTTGTTAAACCATGCATTAAGCAATAATTTTTACTGTTTTTGGAAGCTTCTTTTATTTTATCCAAACTTTGCACAGGGCCTTAAATCAAGTCTTAAATTTCAAATTTCATCAGTTTTGCAACAAATTCTTATAGAGTAAAATGCAACATAGTAGTTTGTTCTGTTAATGCAACAAAACATTAAATTGTTGAATTGTGACAAATGCCTTTTAGTTGCTTATAGATATCATAGACAGTTTCTTTGCTGCTTTAAATAATTGCTGTGTATATATGACTTGTACATCAGAAGTGACCATCATGGGGGAAACAGCCAAGAGATCATAGTGATCATGGTCAATGTTAAAAAATGAGTTGATAACTGATTGTAAGTTGCAACCTTAGTCTGGAAGTGACATTCATATGAAGTAAAACTTGGTAGAAAAAGATTTCATGACTCTCCAATGACAATCACAACAGTTGAAATTGCAGCAAGTTTTGTATAAAGATAGTATTACTATTGGAGTCAATTACTTAGTACTTTACATGAAAGTGGCTCATTCTCTCTGATCCTGAAAGTTAAATACACCTAGGCCAGTAGCCAGGATTTGTCAAGGGGGTCACTTTTTAAAAAATTCCAGGGGTGGTTCACTTTTGACAGTTTAGGCAGCCCAAAAATGGCCAAAATCACCTAAAAAGTGGTCAGAGTGGTGAAAAACTGCATGATTTTGAAAGAATCTTTGTTCGCTCAAACAACCTGAACCTCCTGGCCATGACACCAAAATTAAAAGAATTCAGAACAATCTAAAACAAACAATATACATTGGTACAAATCTTTTCTATATCTATATTATAATTTATTAATTGCTTAATTAGTAAGCATGCACCTCTTATTACACTTGTCATGGCACTTACAGGGTGAGCAATTTTTTTTAGTAATTAGAGAAAAGATTTATATCTACATTGAACGTGAAAATTGCATTTACATAATAGTTAAACCAAATATTTGACTCTTCTAGGGTTAGAGGTACTATAGACTTTGCCATTTTGAATTAGCATCGTTGGATATTTGTATTAATTTTCAGAGATCTTCCACTGTACAAATGTTGGACCCGCTTTGTTATGTAGACAAGCTATCATATTTCATATAAATAAATATTTGTGATATAAAATGTAAGTTTGTTTTTGTGTATTGATAAGAATGAAGACTTTCGCATTAAAGCATAGTAGAAAAGTGAACATTCTACCACTGAACCACAAGTGCTTCCATGTTAATACAAAAAGTATAATTCATGAAAATTGTTATTCATCTAATGTCAGATTTTGAATAAAAAAATAATGCATTACCCGGGAATTTAATCTGGGCTGGCGCGCTGGCAGGCAAACATACTACCACTAAACCACAATTGCTTTTACTTTGATCTTGCATGCGCGAGATCTATGACTTTCATCCAGGGCACTTGAGTAAATTGACTGCAACTCGAAATGTTTAAGAGTAACTAGTATATTTTCTCTTTCTGTTCATAATACACATATAATAAATATAATATTGCACAATCCATCAATATGTTATATAAGGCACGTTTGTAAAGATGCAAGATGATAAATAAAATAACATAAATAACCTCACATATACAAATTCATATCAGTAGATTATGTTATTGTTCAAATAATCTATGAAATTCCACAACTTCTCCACTTAGATTATATGAGGATAAATTCATTTACTTGGTTAATTTACTGATATCTAAATTGTGAGAAATAATATTAAAGGTACCTGAGAATTTCAACTTCAATATATTTGGCAAAGTTTTTCATGAATTTTAAAATCAAAATGAATGTCAAATTTAAACTAGAGCTACAGAAACTGTTATTCTTATTTTGCTTATTGGCTAAAATGTGTTGTCCTTAAATTGCTATGGCTACATAATCTGTTATCCTAATGTTGCTTCAGCTCCAAAACCTCCTATCCTAATGTTGCCATGGCTACAATATCATCTAATGTTGCTATGGCTACAGATCTGCTATCCTAATGTTGCCTGATGAGTGGGTCCGGTCCATGTGGTTGGTTGTGCTGGAGTTATAACCTCGTATACATATGAGGTATTAGGAGCTACCATATTCTGGGGGTGGGGAATTGTCCTTACTGGGTATATATTAGGGGTGAACCCCTGGGAGATGGCTTCATTCGGCTGAGTGGTGAGATTACAAACATCCAGTAGATCCTGGAGACCTTTATGCTGTTGCTGGTTTTGAGCCTCGACTGAGGCACTGGAAAAATGAAAATGATGCAAGATCATGTTTTAAATACAAAATAAAGTGGGAAATACTGTAGTCACATTGTAGTGTAGATGGACTAATATGTCATTGCGATGACATCAAAAAGTCAACAATAAAAGATATTATCTATAGATGATGTGAAAATTCCAAATTACTATAGATATGCAAGAAATCCAGATACTCTCACAAACTTATGCGTGAAAAAAGTAAAATCAGTACTAGCATTTTGATATGTTACAAAATGTCAAAAAAGAAATAAACCCCTATATCACTGTTGATTCAACATTAATTTGTGACGTCATTAGCATGTTACCTAAGCATTTAGTTTTGTTCATTGTCTTTCTCAGTGATATGTTCATAAAAAGTGGATCAGTTTTGTCAACATATCATATGACCTTCCAATTTTTCTAGTGACATTTTTACTGGATTAAATACTAATACATACCTTTGAGGAACATGATTGGTGTTGTTTTGGACAGGATGGTGACTTCTTCGAATTTTCTTACTCTTATCCATCGGATATTTCTTCTTTTTGGGCAAAGGTGGTAAAAACTCTGGATTAGCTATAGTATCTTCACAGTGAAGTATAACCTGATCAAGAACTTGTTCTATATTGTCTAAGGCATTGGCTCGAATGATAGGGTCCTCCATATACTGTTTTATGATTGTGATTTTATTGTTTATAAGTCCTTCTGTTTCCTCCTGCTTTGCTTTAGATTTGCCACCTGAAATAATAATCAGTAATAAATACAGTATCAAATGCATGTAGTACTAAGACAACAGAACAGAAATAAGAGTTTTGTGATTATAGCACTTATTTCATAAGAAAACTCCCAAAAAATTACATAAATATAATTTTGAAAAAATAAATGTGAAACCATAAAATTGTACTTTTGCAGATTTTCAAACCTGAGTTGGGTACCCTATAACCTAGAGGTTTGCATGCAACTATGGTAGTGGTAGCCTTTGCAATAAACTCATTTTTTGAGCAAGGTATTAAATTGGACAGATACAAATAAAGCTTCTATGAATGTTCATCAATCAGTTCAATGAAAAAAATTATAGATTTATAGATTTTCTTTTGACTGAAATTAAAGTAATTTTTTGCTTGAAGAGAAAATTGTACATTGAGCTATTACCAAACTTCTTTTTCTTTTTCTCTTTCCCTGCCACTCGTTTAGGAAGAAACTTTGCACCATCATAAGCTGGGTTGTGATTGCTGTGTTTACTGAGATATTTCACTCCTACCACACCTTCTGGAGACTCATGGACAGTCATACGTGACAGACATAGGCCATCGATCCTATAAAAGAAGGAAACATGCCAGGATTTGAAAATTAGGTTATTCAAAGCGTATTCAAGCTGAATTGCTTCCTGCTACATAACACTTTTCTGCTGGAATTTTCGATGGAAAAGCTATTTTATTTTACTTAATGTAGTTGAAATAAAAGGAGCATGTACAGTTTTAATTGCAAATGATTTTAGACAGTCATATCTTTCTCCATAAGTATTTTCTCGCCATAAATTCAAGAGGTCTCATCAAAAGAATATGTTTTCTACTAACTGAAGATCCCAGGATAACAGAATTATCAATTTGACTCTGAAAACACATGGACCCTACCCAACACATTTTTCAAAATATCTGACTCATTTAAAAAAGGGAAGATCTCACGGGTCTGTCACGTACCTACAAGAGCCTGCATGTCTTCTGCGGTTAGTCTTAGGTGGTTTGTAATTTTTGGTGTGAGGGCCACTGGTTCCACTCCTATTGCACACAAAGTAAGTCCTTTTACCTAAAAATTGTCATATTGAAAATTACACTAATCTCGTACATTGAAATTGAATCCACAGGTACCAACCGTAACTCATCGTACTGTGTGCTGAAACCAGAAGGAAACTCATAGTATCATGAAGTCTGGTATAGCTCCTGCTTCTAATACTAATTAATGAGACTATACTTATTAATTCATCATTTTAGTTAATGACTTTATTATCACTGAGGGGAATAGCAGTAAGTATAGCCAGGCACTATGCATTATCCATTTTCCTTTATTTATATTTTTTTGCAAAAACTGTCTGACTCAGATTAGCTCTCCTAGCTAGAGCTGTGGTCAAATATTATTTAATTTCTTGTTTCCTTGTTTGTATAACACACAACCTTGTTTGTTTAAATCCATGGGCATAGCCAACCAAAAGGCATCATCATTTTACAGACTATATTGTTTTGATGTTTTTTTCGCCAAATTTTGGATCCTGGCTACACCCCTTAAGAACTCACCTCCTTGTTTGTTAATTCTGGTGTGTGTTTCTTTACGAAAGAAAGCACATGTCGTTTTCTCCTCTTCCATCTTCCACTTCTCAAAGTCTGATACAGATTCAAATGTCAGAGATTTCAGACCTATTTAAAAATATAATATTTTTGGTTTTGAAAGTTTATTACAAGAGGACACATGATATAAGCTAAAATGACACACAAGGTCACACCTAGATGACATATTTGGTGGATTAAAATCAAATTAAAATATGAGGATCAAATTAAAATATGAGAATCAAATCATATTGTGACTGACCAGAGGCATTAACTGTTCTGAATTTTAGACATTTTCAATAATTGCCTAATTGTTGTATATTTTCAAATTACTTCTTATGAATCAAAAATGAGATTAGCAGTAATTACAATTTTGGAACATAACAAGTTACAGGGTAAACATTGTCGGTAAGTTGCCCAGTTTTAATTTTACTTTTTGGACACCTTGTGAATGGTTTATAGGGGTTAATACTTACCTACTTCAAGTTTATGATCTGCTTCCATGTGATCAACTAATTTTTTAATCATTGGAAAGACTTTATTGCAACTTTCCACAATGCACTTTGAATGCTGCTTGTAAGACTTTGGTTTATAATCATGATACTGCTTCATGTGGCGTACCTATAGAAAATAAGAAATGACAAATCAGAGACATAGCATAAACATATTATAAAGTAGGATTAATACATGAATGCTTTTCTAACTACTGTAAATCCAATATTTACTTGAAACATATTTTTGTCATTTAGAATGGAATATTAATGAAAAGGCTGTATTATTTGCTTAGCCATGGTTGACTCAAGGTTCTATATTAAAACAAAATCATGAAAGAAAGATGCATCAGAATTAACAAGTAAATACTGCAAGTTTAGAGTATGTTCGATTGTGCTCTGAACTAATTTTCAAAACTTACAGCCAGTGTAACATTATTTTTGAACTGAATTGCCAGAAGGAATACAGGCATCAATACTGAAAAGAAATACTATATTAGGACATTAGATACATCAAGGTAAAAAGAGCACAGAGTTACATTATAACTAGTAAGCTAAGAGATTGGACCTAAAAAGTGGACATACCAAATTACTCTTTCTAGTGAACTTTTTCTTGCAGCATTCACAGTGAACTGGACCTCTACTATCTGGGGTTCCTTCAGCTAATTTCTTTTTTTTCAGATCTTCATCCTTCTCAGTTGTTTTCTTTGGAGATCCTGGTTCAGGTTTTACAGGTGTAACATTTATGACTAGATCAGTGTTGTGTTTAATAAGTTCTATAGAGTCCTTGCCCTTTGTTAGAGCATTTTTGATTATTTTTTCACGGGTGGCATCATCAAGGCCTAAGTCTTCATTCACACTTTCATTTGAATTTGATTTTACTGGCTGGGTCCAAATAGATGCTTCTTGGGGAGTATTAACTCCAGGAGTAGTTGTATTCAGTATGTTCGCTTGATTAGGCACATAATTGGATGTCACTAATGGGATATTCTGTGAAGTCGCAATAGGAATATTCTGTGTTGACACAATGGGCATACTATGTGATGTCACTATGGGTATATTCTGTGATGACACTATGGGTACATTGTGTGATGACGCAATGGGCATATTATGTGATGTCACAATAGGCATATTCTGTGATGACACAACAGGAACATTCTGTGATGCAGTGGGAATATTCTGTGAAGTCACAGTGGGGATATTTTGTGAAGACACAGCTGGATAATTTTGTATTTGGTTATTAAATGCAACAACAGATCCATTCATAATTTGACCAATTTGAAAATTAGAATTTGAACTATGTATTCCATTTGGAATCAGTATTTGTCCACCCTGTGGCACTCCCTGTACAATAGAATTGTATTTTAGCTGTGTAGGTACACCTACACCCCGGTACATCTGTACTGGAGTCACGTTAGGGTTTGAAACTTGTTGTTGATGCAGCTGTTGATGCTGTTGGTGAAGTTCATTATTCTGTTGTATTTGGAAGTTGTTTGCATATTGAATCCCTGAAACAAAAATAAAGCTAGTTTGTCATGAACAATGAAAGAAAAGACAGAAATGTTACATGAATATTGAATAACCATTCCAAGAATGAAAAGGCAGACTAAGACTATTGATATTATTACAATGTATAAATGGGACTTCTATTCAGGTGCAACATAACTCTCAATTTCTAAAGTGCTTTTGTACTTCAGAGAATACTCCATATATGCATATTTATTGAAGATCAATAGAAGATACCACATAAGACTTATGTAATGGACTTAATCTTAATGTTGACCTACCTTGACATCCAGTCATCATATTTGATGAAACATTCACCAAGATCTTATCTCCAGCTGAGCCATTCATTGTCATGTGAGCGCCTCCCCTTTTCTTCTTTTTAGTGACCTTTGCTGTACACTATCTGAAGAAAAGAATTACCAAGTCATCACATTGATTACGGGGGTGCACTGCATTGTGTGCACTGAAAGTATACAAATATTCTAAATACGGCCTTGGGAGAAGGTAACACACCCTGGGTAACTCACGCAGTAGCCAATAAAACAATGATAATAAACAAAAAACAAGAAAATGGCTCAAAATTTTATTTTAAAAACCTGAAGAAAATATATTCATCACAAGACACAATCACAAATCATGGGAACCTGTATCAACACCTGACATCGATAGGTAACCCAACCTGGAAGAAAACACAGCCTGAAGTAGAAGGAATCCCTCATCAATATCAAAATGAACAAAAGATGAGCAATGAAATCTTAAAATTTTGGAGCCACAACCGTACTTTTGTCGGACGAAAAGACAACCCACTTCTGTCATCAAAATATCATAATATATTAAAGTGAATAGGATCATGGGGTCTGTCGAAAGCCCATGATAGGATATACGCTAAATTGTAGTCTGTTATGTTTTCAACAAACAGGGAGAATATGAAAGCTCAAAGGCAAAGATGCCAAAGATAAATAACACTTTTGTAACATTTAAAAATGGGTTGGTGGATTTTCCGTATTGACAAGGGCATCCTTCAAAAGTTATAGAGTAACTTCCGGATGTGAATATTATTCCAGGTTCCTGTGGGTCAATACAACCTACTTGACATTTGTTTTGTTCATGGTATAGGAAAAGTAGTACTTAAAACACTAGTTTGCTACTTTGTAGATGTATGGCACGCAGGCCCGTAGCCAGGGGGGGTTCGGGGGGTTCGGGCGAACCCCCCCCTGGCCAAAATTTCTTTCAAAATCATGCAGTTTTTCACCATTCTGACTAATTTTTGAGTGATTTTTGGCCATATTTGCCAAAGTGAACCCCCCCCCTAGAATTTTTTAGAAAAACGAACCCCCCCTTGGAAAATTCTGGCTACGGGCCTGGCACGTATATCTGTACATGTATTGACAATTAATGTTTGGTAATAGCTAGTAGGAGTGTCAGATTATAATTTTGAACCAAAAAATTGAATTATATTTTTGACGGTCTCAGTTAATCAATTGGATAATCGGGTCTTACATGTACATGATTTTTACAGACCCAAAAATCAATGCTCGCTTATAAATGTAGCAAAATATTTTTTTTGTTCGTGGGATATTTTTCTCATCATCATGGGCATAGCGCCTATTACGCAAAATACGCACACGCGTACCAAATAAATGTGAAAAAAATTAAAATGTGTTAAAATGCATTTATTTGCGAATTTATTGATACTTCTTACCGTATCTGTATGTTTACCATTGTCAACATTTAAAGTTGATAAAAACACTAAAGATTCCATCAAATAACGTCCTTGAGAAAAAACCAGAGAAAAGGAGCATACCCCCAGACCCCCCGCGATGTGCGACCTTCGGCCATGCAATCAGGCATCCCAGAGTGTCCGTACCAACTCAAAATATAGCCCTACGCCCATGATCATATAACCGAACAGGAAGTTTTTGAATAGGACTACATATGATCTGAATGGATGTGAGGAATCGATGGGCTGGGATTTGAGAAATTATGATTTCAACTTTGTCAATTTTACATGTATTTCAATGGGTGAAAAAGTACTTAAGTCCATTTCACTGCTTCAGTTCGTCAGTAGAACGGCAAAAATAAGAAATTGGGAGACCATTGTGCAATAATATATTGAAAAGTATATTCATAATGTACATGAATGACATTTGTATATTTCAGATTTTTTAGTTTTTTGTGCAATAAGCCTGTGTCGTCTTGTAATTTAAAGAATTTCAGCCATGTTAATCTTATTGAAAATAACATGGCAGAGAAACATCCAAATATAAGAGGCCACACACTTTATAAGCCAAACTAGAAGCAATCCAAGATATACAAATGTCATTCATGTACATTATGAATATACTTTTCCACATATTATTGCACAATGGTCTCCCAATTTCTTATTATTGCCGTTCTACTGACGAACTGAAGCAGTGAAATGGACTCTAAGTAGGTTGCTTTCTAAATGAGAGCAATTTTCAAAAAAAAAAAGAAATCATCGATTTAGTACCTAATTCCTAAGCTTCTGGTTCATAAGAAAAAACTTTCATCCCAGTTTTCACAGAAGAGATAACTACTTAAGTAAAATAATACAATTTTATTTATAAATGATCAAGTAAACGGGATTTATTTGTTAAAATAAGCTAAAACTTTGTTTTCCGACAAACCTGTATGCGAACTACGTCATCAATTTATGTGTACACAAAGGTGCTCTGAAACCTGTTTCCGGTTTTGAGAAAATGATTACAAACTATACAATATAAGCTAATAAAGGAAAATGAATGCTCAAAACTTTAGATTATGTGAAAAACTAGTATCCCCTGCATACGTGAAACAAGCTGAAGAAGCAAGAAAATCGCACGAGACAAAAATACGGATACTGTTAGAACAGGTGAAAAAATTTCAACATTGAATTTCTTGTTTCACTTTCATTTTGCATAGTCTTCTAATAAAAACATGTCACCATAAGTTCGCAACAGATAATTTTCAACTGAGTTCAGATTATCATGATTGTTCTAAGGAGTTCAATACTGTTAGCAAAGAGTCTACCTTGATTTAGGATGTTATCCATAAATAGTGGCAAGTTCCTCCTACTGTATACTCCAGGCCCGTCAGTGTCAGATGGAGGGATGCGGCCTCCTAAGAAGTCCCAGAAAATCTTTAATTTATGTTTATGCACAATGATCATTTTAATCCCAAGTCACCTGACACGTCACATGATCAAAAATCCCACGCTGCCCAATGGAAAGAATGAACATGAACCATGATGCCCCATCGAGAATCGATATTAATAGGGCTTCATGGGGTAAAGTCCGACAGAGTCGAAGGAATCCCTTGGACTCCCATCAGGCAATGCCCCATGAGGTCTTATGCAATCTTCAATCTATGGAGGTTCCACCATGCCCCATTGGTTTATTTTGGGCTTTATTGACCTGACATCAGCATATTTCTGACATCATACAACTACTTCTGGTAAAAATTTTGAAACCACACTCTCCTTTGGGAAAAGTGTCTGATGGGCTATATCATATAGTATAAGACTTATATAGGATGATTAGTGGTCACTGTGATGTAATCTACAAAATAGATTGAAGATAATATGATACCCCAATTCAAGACTGGTCTCTTCTTTCACTTCTTCATGCAAGTTGTGTACTGAAGAAATAAAATTTAAAAAACTTCGGGCCAGTGAGTAGGAGTCCAAATTAAATTTTATAATAATTGAAGAATGTATTAAACCTGAATCAAACTCTGACTTGCAGAGTTCCCATAATAGTGCAACCATCTGCATTAAGGCATAAAAGTTCTCCATCATACGACTGTTTAAGGCATGTCCACAATTGTAATCTAGAAACTGTGAAAACTCATTTGTCGTCAGTGGTATCTCAAATGGTTCATACTTAAACACTGTACAAAGAGTATATACATGTATATATAAACACTAATATATGTACTGGTACTTGTAATTTGAGAATGCATAAATAGTATGCTCCTTGTGACTTGTTGCAGAGGAAATGGCCAGAAGAAGGCTGGGAGGATGGTGTGATTGAACTCATGCTTGATGAACTGGCCCTCATGGACAGTAACAACTTTCCAGGCAATTGTGGAGTAGGAGAAAGAGAAGCTAGAGTTGTGAGCAAACTGGTTCAACAGAGACATTACAGGTAATATCATCAGGGGAAGAAGAGGCAAATGATTTTTTTTTGATTAGGACAAATTTTATTAGATTCAGGTTATTGGAAACCCAGACAACTGAACTTTTAGCAGTTTTAGGAGCAATAAGGTTTTTATCCTACCCTTCCTATCATTGTAAGGTTCTCATTATTTTATTTTTGGTTGTTCTTATCTGCACATGTCTCAGTTTGGTCACCTTTGTTCCTGCAAGTCCAAGGAAAAAATGCTCTCTAATTTTAGCAGCATGACATGTGCAACTCATAAGAGGTGCTTGTTCAGTGCCTCTTATTATTTCTTGAGGGCAATAAATTCATTATTAGCAACATGAACAAATGTATTGATATATTGCTCTAAATCAGGATAAGCACCGAACCCCTTTTTTAACTTGAACATTTTTTCTATTGATTCTATTGATTGTAGACTAGGTCATGGTATAGGTAGATCTGGGGATATTGCGGCCATTCAACCTAAAGCTGCAGGATCAAGTGTATTGATGAAATTAACAAACTCAATGGTATTAGATCTACTTAAAATCACAGGTGGGTGTGTGGCATGCTTTAGTCCATAAGTAAAATTATTGTTACAGAGTTTTGCAAGAGAAAATGATTTCTGTGCCTAGAAACATTTTTTCAATTAATTTTATTTATTGCTTTATTCAAGGGGTCCCTAATGTGAAGGCCTGCTTCCTAGTTCCCATGGCAACTGGGATGAGCTTGGTCTTGTGTATGTTGACTCTACGTCAATCACGTCCTAAAGCACGATATGTAATCTGGCCCAGGATAGATCAGAAATCTTGCTTCAAATCAATTCTAACAGCAGGTATGAAGTTGTGTGCTCTAAAATAGAAGTGAATTGCAGGCCATTGAATGATAATTAAGGCAAAAAGTCTCTTAATTTAGGAAAAATGGATTTCCATATTTTAGGTTACGGTTACTTGCTATCAAAACCTCATTATCCATTTTTCAATGTATCAATAAAAACTCCAGGTGTTACAGTGTTGATGGGATTTGCATATTAGCAGTTGGAACATTAATCCATCATTTCACCATACCCAATATTGTGCTTTTCAGGGTATGAACCTGTCGTCATTGAAAACAAGCAGGTTGGAGATGAACTGCAAACAGATGTGGAAGCAATTGAACAAAAAATCAATGAACTTGGAGCTGAAAATATTCTCTGTGTATTGACAACAACCAGTTGTTTTGCACCAAGGATTCCAGACAGGTAAAACATATGTATCTATTAGATAAAGTAGAATTCAAAAATAACAGCACAAACCCTTGTAAATCATACATGACGTATGAATCATATAGAAAAAATTAGTAATTATTAGAAACTCTAAACCATATGAACTACATGAATGGAATGAAATTATGTTAATCATATTTTATGTTACATATGTACAGTTAGAGTTTCGTAAGGAATATGTTCTAGAATAGCAGCTTATAAGCGAGAGGTCAGGCCTTCATGTTGTCTGTTGGAATATTTATAAAGTAAAACAAAGTTTTTCAGTACAGTGTATGTCAGGCAAACTTTTGTGTTGGGTATTGCCATAAAATCAAATGATATGATAATCAGATCACATTTTCAGACTTGAAAACAACACATATATGTTCTTAGAAATATAGCATCATAATACGTGTATATTTTCAGACTTGAAGAAGTAGCAAAGTTATGCTCAAAGTACAGTGTTGGCCACATAGTGAATAATGCTTATGGTGTACAGTCAACAAAATGTATGCACCTTATTCATCAGGTAAGCCATAAAATTAGAAAACGAGGTCATTTGATTTTTGAACTTTTATAAACAGAGTGAAACTTATTCTTCCATTTTGTAGGCATCTCGAGTTGGAAGATTAGATGCATTTGTTCAAAGCACAGATAAAAATCTATTGGTTCCAGTAGGTGGCGCTATAATAGCTGGCTTTGATATAACATTCATTGAGACTGTCAGCAAAACATATCCAGGTGAGTGATGAGTCATAAAATGTCCATTTGCTCATGTTTTTTATTTAACGTCATTTCTTTTTAGAATTTGAATGAGATATCTAATTTTCTGACATCTCTATACAATTTAGAATATGTACTTCATGTTTGTTTACTTTATTCCTGAATAATCTCACTCAATTGCACTTTATTCATCCTTCGAATACAGGCCTCCAGAACTCGTAGGTGGAACACAGTGAATGATGGCTGGAGCCCTGCTTTTGGAGGATGTGCTTTATTTGATAATTTGTTATATAACCTGTAATATTTTACAGGCCGTGCATCTGCATCTCCATCCATAGATGTATTTATTACTTTGCTCTCACTGGGACAACATGGCTACAAGAGATTACTAGCAGAGAGGAAACAACTTTACAAAAATATGCAGGAACAGTTGAGGAAGTGTGCAGAGAAACATGGAGAACGTTTGCTGGATATTTCACATAATCCTATATCAATGGGTAAGTTAAAATTTCACGATTTTATCAATCTTTAAAATTTTTGTCTATGATTAGATATGGTTAAAGAGATCAGGTCTCCTAAAACACAATTAGAGTAACCCCCTGATTTTTTCATGTTATTTGATGTAAAACAAGTTTGTTTATCAACTTATCAATTCTGAGGCTTGAATTAATTCGCTAACAGTATCAATTCGAGGATTGTTCCTAGCCATGAATTTCCACTTACATCAATAGAAATTCAAATTCAAATTTAAAAAGCCCACTAAAATTTGTTCCAGTCTGATTTGCTTTTTCCTTCAGATTATTTTGGCTTAGAGTAGCCATATTAATTAAGGGGTTACAATATAGATAAATCCCCCCAAAACATTGTATTCTGTTTTCGACTTATTGCGTTCAATTCTGACAGTTGGTTGTTTTTTGGTTGTCCTGGTGATATCCTCAATATATTGTCGATATCGCGCTTATGATTTGGTCTCAAGATATATCCAAGGTATATATGATGTTTTATGAGCAATTATATTGGGAGATGACTCATTGTCCAGAATAGAAATCTGGACGACTCGATCTCTTTAAGTAAGTTGAATTATCAATCATGAGTCTTCATAAACAATTGATCAACTAACAATATAACTTGCTATTTTATTCAAAATTAGAATGAGAAAATACATTTTTTGCAAAAATCTGGCATCTAGATCATTGTGAGGTCATTGTTGTCATCATCGTAATTAGTCAGTCAGCAGTTACTGATCTCTTTAAATCTTGTTTTTCAGCAATTAGTTTAAAGTGTGAAACACCAGTCAGTAATGTTACAGAATTGGGGTCAATGCTTTTCACCAGATATGTATCAGGAACAAGGTATGTGAAAACACAACATCTGCTTCAGATGTAAATCTATCAGTAGATATGCTAATATTATTTCAACTTTCTCTAAAAATTTGAATGGCTGATGTTTTGGCATTTCTATATTAAGAGTGTTAACTGCATGCCTTTTCACCTCTTTATATACTTCAAAACAACCTCATCGAAGATTTTGACTGTTGAGCCAGGCCTTCAGGTATTATCATAATACTGTTATGCACTCATTCAAAATTACACCATAAAATCTAATCTATGATTACAAACTACAAAAATAATATATCAGAGCTTACTTCAAGCAAAAAATGAGCAAGAGAAATTGAAGTTATTGAAAACCTGTTTTTCAAGGGTGGTGAACTGTACAGAAACCAAGGAGATAGGAGGTCACAAATTCATTGGATTTGGTTCCCATGCCAACAGTTACCCATGTGCCTATCTAACAGCTGCAGCAGCCATTGGTGTAACACAAACAGACATTGATCTCTTCATTAAGAGACTTGATAAAGTTATGGGAAAGTGGAAAGCACCAAATGTGAGGAATAAAGTCGACACGGTTTCTGATGATATGGATAAAGTTGAATTAAATGGTGATGTCTCAGACACTGCAAAGGAATTAGATGAGAAAAGCTAGTATATCTTATGCACAGCTCACAAATGTGTTCAAATAAGTAAAGAAATAGTATTTATGTCGAATTCAAAGATAACATAATTGTTTGTCAAAAGGGACACAAATATATGTCGAACTCAAAGACTGACTTGATGAATTGTTGCAGTTATTGAATATGGAGATGAATGGAAATGTAAAATGTGCAATAATAGAGAAAATTCTAAACACATACTTCACACATTTTGTTACATTTAAGGTTTTTATTCACTGGCAAAAGATGGATCCACGGTTTAGCAAAGCAGCAATGATTGATTTACAGCTTTAGGCCATGTATATTTTTTGAGAACACATAAAAAAGTTCCTAGGGTCAATTTTGAAAAGGAAAAAGAAAGTCCTTTGTGTGATTGTAGAGTGATATGTTATCATTTCCATGATTAAAAAATAAACTATTTTATTAATATTTAAAAAACTATTGGTTTTTATATGGGGAACAAGTAGATATACGGTAAACTATAACTCAGAGAAAACTGTATTTTCATTTCATTGTTATTATATATATTTTTAATTTACATTTTATTTACAATTAATTGAAAGTAAAGGAGTTTTACAGGTAATTGCAATGTTGGTATAATTCTATACAAGCACAAAGTCCCTGGCCTCCCTTCAACCCCATACTAATACAATATGAGGAACAATATCTCAATAATGACTAAAGATAACATCTGGATCATCCAATTTTGGGGCTCCAAGTTCAAGAAGGAGGAACTTGTTCTGGAGCCCTTTGTTTGGAGGATGGACCATCTATAGCTAATATATACAATACATTGTTCAAATTCATGCATATCATTGCACATTACTAAAATATCTAAGCTTTGACCTCATTGGTATTCTACAATGTCCTTGGATTTGGTCTTAACTCAGTAGGAGAAAAGAATGAATTACTGACTGATGATCTTGAATATTTTGCATGTAGACATTCCACATCGTTTTGAATTGTCCAACCTTTATTTTTTAACACAACTATCTTTGTATTAATAATCGTCTGTGTCTTCCCATAAAGATAAGTCTATTTCTGGGAGGTCTTTACAGTACACATGGGCATTAAAGTTGCTAGAATACAACTCAACAAACTTTTCCACAGGAATTCCAGTCTTTGTTTTATCATAGTTATTAAGGCTGCAAATATAAAAGGCATTTATAAATAATATGATATTGTAATATTTTATAGTATTTGTCAACAATAAACTGTATATTAAGACAATTCTGGTAAATGCACTGGTGAATTGGCAAAATTGGCAAGATTTTTTATTTTCATCATTTTCACCAACAAAGAGGCTGATTTGTATCCAATTTTTTCACTGGTATGTTACATAACGTAGGGACCAGTGTAATAACGCAGATGCGAGTAGGTACATTAGTTACCAGATTCACCACCAGGTGGCTTGTTCGGGTCAGATAGCATGGCGGGTATAGTAGAAAGTTCCCTTTAATTTAAATTACATCTATTTGCGTGGTTCAATTTTCATATAACCCTTATGTATCTAATAGTTATGCAAATTAAAATATGTCCAGTAAAAGAAAATGTTATCTGTCCAATACAAGAAAAGATAATTCACTTTTTGTGATTTTGTAACATGGGGTCTATGGGGAATCAGCCCGAACAAGAAGTCACATTTTCAAAAAATATTAAATTTTCAAAGTTGATAGACAATTTTCGAAACCATATTTTTAGAATTTTGAATATTTAATGACGTAAATCAAGATTATTTCTTCTCGCATCTTGTCTATTACAAGTGACATTTTACCAATGTGTTGTCGTGACTTACAATTCAGTGTGCTTGAACCAATTAGTGTGATGTTCTCCAGTCTGCCCACCTTGTCCATTGTGGTCATACTGCTTCCTAAAACCAGACATAATTACTCAAATAACACATATCATTTTTCATTTTGTTTGAAATATCACTTCTAAATAAGGGCAATAACATTGGCATTTTCTGCGGGAAATATGTCATTATGTGAAGCAAGATTCTCAACATTGATATTTGAATATCACATCTTGGGAAAAGCTCTATTTCATAAAAAACAATAAATACCTTGTGTGACATACCATTGGAAAGATTGTCTAAGGTTAACTTAATTCTAAAATTGAAAATACTCACACAACAGACCATGGCAGCTATAAAATTAGTTTTACTGTTTATCAGTTTTTTATTTAAGCAACTTAAGAAATAATTCACAAACCTGACATCCTCAAAAGCCTCTCTAAAAGGCCTCAATAGAACCCAAGGCTGGATTTTGTCAATGTAGTCGCCATTAGCACAAAGGATCCTGGCAAGTCTGCTTCTTTTAATTTCCTTTAATTGACCTAGATAACCAAAGATACTAAAGTTTATCATTAGGATACTTATATAGTGAAACCTGTGAAGTGGAGCTATGTTAGTGAAACACTTTTCACTTTTCAGAGTCCCTGACCAACTGGCTTAATGTTAATTGAACCTTTGAACTTGGAACACCTCCCAAGTTGAACAACTTTTAGAGGTACTAAAGCTGTTCCACTAAGACAGGTTTTACTTAAGTGTGTAAAATATTGGAGGATACACCCTAATAAGAATAGTTAAAGACAACATTAAATTTTGAACTTAAGAAAAGATCAAGTTTTAAGACCACTACCCTTTGCATTTGTTCACCTTCATTTCTTAAAAGAGAGCTTGGTCTTCACTCTTTCAGTTTACAATAAATCTCTGATCTCACCGAGCCAATCAGAGTTCGTCATCGGGGGCGGGACTGCTAAACTGTAATATAGTCTATACTAGGTAGAGGGTAGTTTATAACAACTAGACTCTGTGAGCAGGGTATAAGACCACACACAGTGTCAGACAATTTATAGACACCCTGTGTTTCATATTGTGCATACTTACCCGCTGTGAACTTGGCATATCCATCATTCTCATACCAGTATCTATCACCTTTCCGTGCAATCTGAAATTGGCGTCCAATGATGCAAGCAAATGTTGGTCCAAGTATTCCACCTTCTATGGATTTCTCTGAGATCCCACCAGACCAGAGATCAATGTCATCAACATGTCTGCAAGATAAATGATGAAGATAATTGACACTCATTGCACTGCCAAGTTTTGCTGTATTTTGAAATTTTCATCTGTTCTTATTGCGTTTTCATCTTTAGTGTATCAGAACTTAAAGGTACATGTATGACACAATTACAGCCATGTGAAAATTTTAACTTTCTTCTTATGAATGAATGGACAGTTAAAATATTCATGGCAACCCAAGCTTATCATTACATAGAAAATATACATGTCAGTGTACAGTGTACAGGTATTTTAACTTACGCATAGAGATGCTTGAATCGCTCTATTTGCTCAAGATCTGGTATATCTATGATGAGATCATCAAAGCTATAGGCCTTGCCCAATCCACACCACTCTCTGTAGGCATTATAACCTGGAGCAAAATACAGTGTAGGCTTATATAAAATCAGTTGATTGTTTCATGAACTTAATGGAGTTGCCACACTTAGGCCGTGTAGGTACACCGTTCGCTAGTGTGTGAATACTTTGGGACAGACAGCGGCATGGCAGGGATACATGGTGTGCAAAACAAACAGTTTTACAGTAAGATATCTCCATCACACCAAATACAAAAACTGATAATTAATTGAAAAATTAATGCCCAAATTAGCCACACAGTGGCAAATGGTGAGCCCACACTGCTAATGTGACAGTTACTCTAGCCAATTAAATTCGACTCATAAGCCTAATCCAATGTTGTATTGTGCAGGGAATTCATTTCTAAAGTACCTGGGAGGCCATGGTCTCTTCCACGCATGATATTAAGTGACATCAAGTCCATGCCTGGACCATGAGGGGGCATCTCAGCAAACAGACTACGAGTGACTTGTTTTGTTATATGCTTGTCATAGGTCTGGCTCTCAAATTCACAGAGTCCTCTCACTATTGAGTCAAGCCCTCCCCTAGCTGTGTCATACACAGGGGCTGGTCGTCTAAAGGCCTGCAAATATTAGTTAAGTGTAATTCCATGAACATATGCCCAAATTCATCTGGGTGAAAGGGGGTCTTTTCAGTGCAGAGCGTTTAGCTAGTACATCTTTGAACCTCAGGTGGACATATTCTTTTCAATTTTTTTTAATAACCTTTTAAAATCAAGGCATTTTCAAGAAATAAAGACAGAACTAGGTATAGCAGGCAATGAATGTCCCAAGCAGAAATAACTACTTACACTACTGAGCATCAGAGAGTCATCATAGTGAAAGTTGTAATCGGCTCTTCTCAGGCGGTCCTGGATTAATGTATGACCAAAACGGTACGCTGCCGCGGCAAAACTATTTCTCACTCTGGGATCTGTTTCTTCGTCGTAACCTGCATCAACATTGATAAAAATCCAAAATATCATTCACACAGTCCGACTATTTCATTTTTTATAATGTTGCCATTCTGATCTAACAATAATTTCAACTTATGTATATTGTTCATCTGAAATATAATTCAATTCAGTATAAACTGTACTACATTTCTCGAAACAAAAGCATGAGACATGACACAATAATTTCAATGGTTACAACAATGGACTTAGGAATTTCTTAATGTTTTCTCAGAAAGCTGCATTATCAAACTTGCCCATCATAAACTCACCATGATAATATCCATGTTTGACTAAATGCAGACCATACTGGGACATTATATTATCTCCAAGGATAATAGGCAGGTACTCATTGAATACAATATGCTGAAACTGCGCTCCTATGATTCTCCTAGCCTCATGGAACAGCTTATCAGGGTCCCAGTGGGGATTAAGCTTATAGAGGCCAGACTCCACACGGTTATGTTGCCTCGCCCATATTGTATGCATAGATGTCAGGCTAGCTTGTTCATTGACTCTTTCATCTCCTTTAATAATAAAAAAAATTGTTTATTTGTGATTCCACCAGAACAAACATTGAAGTGAGGACATTTTTTACTCATGAAAGTTTGGTTAGCTTAAATCAAATTGTTCCTCTTCATTAATGATAAAACAAAAAATAATGCTAATAAAGAGCAAGCATGAGAATTGACAAAGAACTGAAGGACTTCAAAAGAAAGTTGGTCTTATTTTACATTTTTGTATTTGGTATTTGAATATTCAATTAATCAGTAAATATGGGTGGAGTTAATGATGGCACTTAAATGTTTTAATGTATATATTACCTGCAAGGAAGCATTTGACAGTAGAATTGATCTCTCTACAAAGGTCCACTTCATCAGGGGGTAGGAGAGGCTTGAATCTATCACCATGGGGATGCCGCATCATCTTCATCATACCATGGTCTACAAACAGCAGTATGGGAGTATTATATAGAATTTTCAAATGTCATTCATTTTATAGTGAGTAAATTCAACAAATGCCACTTATAATAAAGATCAACATTCACAGGTTGTTGAAACTACATTTTAAGTTCTTTCGAAATTGAAATGTGCTATGCTGATACAGTATAATTTGGTCATTTATTTTACATGAACTGGCCATTTGTAGTGTCTGTTTATAGTCTATCTCTGGATAGGTTATTTCCTAACTACATGTAATTGCTTACTAACTGCACAACAATCTGTACCTGGATTATCTAAGAAGTCTCTCAATTTCTCCAGTTCTTCCTTAGTTGAGCCATATATCTGTGAGCCATCTAAGAAGGGGGTCACTTGATTTAACTGTTCTCTGTGGGCTGGATATAAAATGTTAAAAATGTTGGCTGCTTATCTGCTTGTTCATTGCTCAAAATCATTTTCAACCTAATATAAGTTGTTAATCATCGAGAAAGCAAATGTTCCTTTGACCTTTAAAAGCCCAATGAAAAGTCTCAACAACTTTTACTTATCCAAATGTTAATAAGATGTGAAAAAAATGTATATGTGAAACCTTTTTAAATCAAAAAATGGGTTTTTGAAAAATAAATGTGTTGGAAAATTTTGAATTTGTTCAGCCTCTTCATTAAAAAAGCATGATAAAAAAACTTGGAATGACTGAAGAATATTTGCAAAGGGACTTTAAACTCCCTGCGTGGTCTATTTTAGATTTGATAACTTATAAGCTCTTAATCAACTGGAACTTCAACTTACTGAATTTACAATCAAGATTTGGAACTTCAAGTGATCTGACAAACTTGAGGCATCGTAGGTGGGAGAAATCTGGATCATACGCAGGTACAGGTATGGGCCAACATGACTCTAGTCCAGGGTGATGTGTATCACAGCCATCTCTTCCACACTTCACTTCCTCAGTCTTCCCAAAACCTGTAAATAGAACATATGCTATAATCAAGGTATGCATGTACATAAATCCAATTTATAATGGAACCAACTACATATGTACTCTCATTGGTAATAAGAATGTCCCTTAATACAGGTTGATCCATAAAAAGGGACTCAGGGTAAATGTATGGTACCGGTATATGTTTTATTAACTATAGGCGAGATTGATTTCGAGAGAGTTTTAATTATTAAATTCAATACATATTAATTTGAATCAAATATTACAGTTTACATGAAATATGGTGGCCATTTTGATTTGAGTGCCCATATTGAAGATTCTATTTCCATAAAATGTTAACCAAATCTATTCAACAGTATTTGAGTTATTCCCAGGGAGGTAATTCATTCAAAAGATTAAAACTTGTGCAGCCGTGTATAATTATATTGGCTTTTGAGGTAAAGTTCTCCTACTGCAGGTTTTAGAACAGCCAAATTTTATTTTAAATCAAAACAATCCTGGGTTATGTGTTTAAGTGTATCCCTCCTACTTTGGTGCGATAAATATGAAAGAACATTTAAATACCTAATGGTTCCTTGGACATTTTAGTGATTGCTGTTCTTGTCATATCATGGTCCACAAACTGTCCAAATGTCATCAACAGCAAGGTGTTCATTGCACTTGGCCTATTGACATCGGGGAAGAGTGAAAGACTAACATGCCTCGGGCCAGGAAGTGGTGCACCCGTCACAGAATATCGCTCTTCTTGCACACCTTAGTTTACAAAGTAACAAGGCATTAAGAAGCCGTGGAAGATGACAATCGCCAGTAATATAAAATGGTAACAAATCACCATCTCTTAGTGGAAAGATTCTGAATGAATATTAATATATACAGTATATCAATGTAAGAAGTCAGGATATTCTCGAGATTGGCCACTTTACCCTTTTTTATCTATATTTTACTTACCGTCACTGTAAATAGCAGGCAAGAATCTGGCGAGGGGAAGCATGGACCTTCCAAATATAGGGTGCTTAAGATTATTACAAGACCCATCAATAGTGCGATACTTGGCATGGGTGTCACAGTAATATTCCTTTGGATAGGGGCAGAAGTCAATCTTTGCAGGTATGGGAACGGTGACATCAGGCGTGGCTGGAATAGGTTGTGGTAGGAAATATTTGTGTGATGGCAAAATTCGCATTACATCTGACATTTGACCAGCATCCAGACCATACCTATATAAAATATCATTTATGTAAAAAATAAATAAATAATCAAGCTTTTAAAACATGTAAATCCTAAAGTAAAATAAATAACCTCAAATGTGAATATTTTCAAAGTGTATAATATCAGTTGGTTTTTCATCAGTTCCTCTAGATAAAACATTAGTATTAATATTAGTTAATGCTAAATTACTAAGTAGTGAAAGGTTTATGCGTTGAAAATTACATGTTTTACAGTACAGAAAGCACTTACTTATCTTGTATAATTTTGCAGCACTTCAACATTGTAGTTCCTACATAGGAGAGATATGATGCATACGGTTTGGCATCAAGGAACTTGGACACATAGCGGAAAGCAAAGGAATCCATCACATCTAGATAAAAACAGTGAACTTTAAATGAGTACTTGTACATTAAAACTGCACATAAATAAATAAGATAAGTTTTTGAATGTTCATATTGTTCAGCTTTTTAATGCAACACATTTTTTAAATCTTTTTTTACTTTAGGCCTATTTGTTTATTTATTAATTCCCGTAGAAGTATCCATTATTGATATCTACCATCCTTCATCAGAACAGAATTCATTATGTATGTTGATATTATGACTGTTTCCTCTCCACATAATATATATGACAAGGCAACTGATTGATATGTAAATAACTAAGAACATGTCATGAGAAGTCATTGGAAAAATCAATTTGAAGACATTGAAGTTGAAAGTTAAATGTAGTCAGATCAGTACTTCCCAAGCAAACTTATTAAAGCTGACACATATAGTTGGTACATAAACCCATAATAGTCATACACCTAACCTTCCATCTGATGAGCGTACTCTGCCTCTATACGAAGTTTGTTCCACAGATGATCTAATGCTTGCGTCATTGCTGTACCCATGTATCCTAACATATCTTTCACTATAAACAAAGCATGTCTTATTAATTTCTTACAATTTTAATGCATTTACAAGATAAAGAACACAAGCTCCATTACCATCTTGTATATCTGAAACCAAACACAAATTCACACCATACAAATATTCATAGTTTTTGCAACAATCTTTGCAATACAACCAAATGTACATTTTGAGCTTGTACAATGAGCATACTGAGAAAGTAAACTTCAAAGGCTGAGTAATTATTTAGGCAAATCATTTATCAAATTAATATGGACTCATCAAATCAACCAATATGGGTAGACAAGTAACTGAAATTTTCACTTTTTGACTCACCTATTACCAACTGCAATCCTTATAGCGTTAACAGTTTTACATTAGCCAGATTTTAAAATTAGAAATAACCCATGCATAGTTTTTCAGAGCACAATTTCTTAAACAATGAGACACTTCATGATTTGTGAATTCAATTATCACTTATATCAGACCTTTCGAGACAACCTAGTAGTTATCATTGACATTGAAATGAATTTACAAATCAAAAACCCATGTCCAGTTCAAGAATTGATCTCTGAATACTGACTGTCATAGCTGGAATATGATTCCCCAACACCAACGCTGCCACCAATGTCACCACCAAGACCTCCACCTGTATGGACATCCCCAGTGTAGTAGTTAGGGTAATGAGTGTTGAGACTCGTTGGAGAGTATGGATTCTGAGCACTGGACCCATAATCTCCGCCTGTAGACACTGAATCTGGGCCTGGTATGGGTACTGGTCCTGCATATAATTCATTGTCATTTGGCTGGAATTGCAAAACACCCATAACAGGTCCCATAGCTTTTGGCAATACTTTCTCCAGAAAATGCTTTATTGGAGTTATTTTTTGGATTCGTTCCATCACTGGCTTTGGCATTTTCTTCAAACCCATTGGATAGTTTGGATCTTCTAAGTTTTGATAAGTTGAACTGAGTGCAATGTAAGGAGGTTCCATATCCGTAGCTCCAGAATCAACTTTCCGTGGCATTGCTTGGTAATGAGGTTGTCCCACACCACTGAAAACCATTGCTGGCACCTCATACCTATTTCCACTTGATTTTTCCTGTTGCATCTGCTCATACTGTTCTCTCTTTAGTGCAGCTTGTCTATCAGTATTCTTCACATTCATCATATTTAATTTCATCTCTTGGAAAGGTTGAGATTGCTCATACATGTCTCTTGATGGATCAATATTATCTTGCTCACGAGAAGGTCTTTGGAACATCTCATGTGACCTCTGAGATGGTGGCATCTTATGGACTTGCTCACTGGAAGGTCTTTGAAACATCTCATGTGACCTCTGAGATGGTGGCATTTTATAGACTTGCTCAATAGAAGGTTTTTGGACCATTTCATGTGACCTCTGAGATGGTGGCATTTTATGAGTATCCATTGCTTCATATGATTGTGACATACCCATGTTCATATGCATTCCAGCTTGATTCATAGCACTTTCCTGTTGGGGTGGATAACCTCCATTTTGTTCAGTAGTTTCAACTTCGGAAGGATAATGTGTCAGTTGCATTGCAGGCTCCATCTCGTCTTGCTCCATTGGTTGTCGCACCATTTTAGGCATTACAATCACAGTCTCAATAGTTTCTTCAATGTCAGTAGGATATTTTTTCATTTGTTCATCAGTTTGTTCAGCTACAAACCCAGGATATTGTTGCTGGTTCTGTTGCATGGCTTCACCTGTTTGTTCAACCATGTAGTTGGGATATTGTCGCTGGTTCTGTTGCATGCCTTCCCCTGTTTGCTCCACTTGGTAGTTTGGATACTGTTGTTGATTATTTTGCATGTTTTTATCAGGTTGTCCAACTCTGTATGCAGGATACTGATCTGCATTTTGTTGTTCTAACTGTCCACCAATATATTGATATTCAGGGGCCATTTGTTGGTCATTTTGTTTCATCATTGTGGATACATGTGAGGAGTATTCGGTTTGTCTTTCTGTAGAGTTGTTATCTTCTTCAACATCTCTGGTATCTGAATCCACAGATCGCTTGCCTCTCTTTCTTGAGTTATTACCAAAATATTGGAAAACTTTTGATGTGATTGTAAATGTGTTCTTTTTAGTTGATGAATGTCTAGAGTGCTTGTTGTAGGATAAAAGTTTTGCATCAAACTCAATTTTTGAAAGTTCAGTGTTTTCAACCATTCGCTCAGATTTGTTTGTTTTCTTAGGAATTTCTTTGCCCATATCATACAAAGGATAATCATACTCATCATAATCAGTTGGTGGGGCTTGCTCACCTTGATTTGAATCAAAATAATTGTAAGAATCTTCTGGATATCTATTCCTATAATTCTGATATGTTCTATATGGCAACGTTTTGTGTGGATATTTATCTGTTTTGTATGGAGACTTATTTGTTCTATCAGGATACTTGTTTGTTTTATATTGATGCTTGTTTAATTTGAATGCATACTCTGAAGGAACTTCCCTGTTTGACTTCTGTGTCTTTATGGCTGATCTGTATTGGGGCAAAGTTTTAATCTTAATTTTTCTTAGCCTGTCTCTATATTGACGATGCAGTCTTTCAACAGCATTGGTTGTTTTAGGTGATGCTTTATATTTGCTTAATGAGACTTTAAGTTTCCTGTCTGAAATTTCATCCTTTTTCCCATTGATTTTATTTGTTTGATATTTGTGATGGGCACCTTCTTTACTATTATGTTTCTTTGCAAAGTCTCTATATACTTGCAAGCTCTCTTTATTTATTTCATTGATATGAGAAGAGTCATTGAAATAAATTATGTTCTCACTTTTTTGATTACTAAATGGAACAATGGGGGTATGAACAATGTGTCTGTAGATTTCTTTATATGGATCATCTCTTACATTGACCTCATCATCAAGTTTTAGATCAGAATCTTTCTCTGCATTATCACTTGCTCCATTGATGGTACCTTGATCAAGCTGAGGCTGATGGATGTGAGTGTGGGCATGCTGGAATGCCCCTGGACCAGCAGATGGATAGGGAACAGCTTTTCCAGCAACACCATTTCCGTGGCTATGAACATGCAAAGGTACCCCACCACTGTTATACCCAGCACCTGGCACAAACGCTGCCTGTCCCTGGGGTGAACCTGTATAGACCGGTGTATGCTGAGGCATTACATTATAACTATGTCCAGCATATGCATTAGGTCCAGCTTGTGTTGGATGTGTATTAGTATAAGGGGGAACACCATGGTAACCACCATCTGGATATCTTGGATTAAAACCTGGAGGGAAATTTCCACCATTCATTGGATAACCTTGCACCACTTGACCTTGACCTCCGGAACCACCATTTGTTCTTGACCAAACATTCCCAACCTTACCAAGTCCACCTCCTAATGGCTGATGCTGAAATGGTGGAATGTGAACATTATGATGTACAAGTGGCTTCCCCTGATCTGCATGATAAGACATAGTTCCACCTGGAAATTGTAGAGGAAGCGTCATATAGGTCTGAACATACGGTTGGTGGCTCTGATAATTCTGATAATTGGGCTGGGGTTGTTGGTTTTGGCCATGTTGCTGGAGTGGTTGTTGGTAGACCTGTTGAGGCTGTGGTTGTTGCTGATATAATGGCTGTTGTTGGTGGACTGTTTGTTGCTGCGGTTGTTTGTATGACTGCTGTGAGTTCACACCTATAAAGAATGATTATCAGAGAATACTGTTAATAGAAATATATGCTTACTCTAAATGCAAGAAAATCAAGTACCTCATTTCAGTTTTGACATTGTATCTTTTCATGTTGGTTGGTTCATGGTTTGGAATAGTTTGGGTTTATTTTTCTTAACTAGTACTGGTGTACACTTAGGACGTTCTTTTCATTGCTGGGTTCTGTAACAGTTAATGGGAATTTCCCTTTGGTACTTGTGTGTAGATATTTACCTTGAATACATCCTGTTGCCTTTGTAAATCCACATGTCTTAATTGTTGGACTGAACTGTAGACCTTTAGGACAAGGTTTTATATGTGTTTTATGGCCAGCACATTGTAAATATGAAGAGCAATCTGCAGGGTTGGGGTACAAGCCATCGTTTAATGTCTGACACAAAAAGTCTAAAAAATAGTGGTATGCAATATTAAACATATATTTCATATATTCTTAATGTACATATTGAAGAGAAATACACTCTAAAATGGGCAGATCATCATTATTGCAGTGCTATAAGGAAAAGGTGGAATTAGGCTAAATGGCAAATAAATTGAAAATAATTTTTAAATTCAAAGTCATGCTTAAGACATTGGCTAATTACATTGTTATGGGTGAACTTAATTACATTTAATTTAATACCTTTGTAATTATACCACTTTTGGTATGAAAACTTAGGAGTTAGAGCTCTTATCTTAAGATCATAACTTTTAATTACAAATAATTAATAAACTAAAACGAATGAACCTAATTAAAAAGCCATAATTCTGAATGAAGAGGGTACATTTTGATGATTGAGAAATTATGCAAAATTGAAAGTCCAATGGTGTAAAATCAAACTGAGTTTTTCTCTAACTTTCTCACATTTTCCAAAACAAATAAGTATGGTAGGAGGGTTGGTTCACCCGATTCTTTCATCTCTAGAATGTACATGTATCAGAAGAAAACACAGGAGGTTCTATTAGAACTGTTCCTCAAGACTCTGTTACTTAGATGTACATTCCAACTTGAAACATTAAACAGCATTCCTACCTGAATATACTTAGTGTCATTTTGATTGGAATTCTGAATACTAAAATACATTTATTAGAGTAATCTAACTCATCTTTGAAAATCCATGGAAATGCAAACTTAATGAGGTGCACATTCAATGTTTTTGGATTTGGATATTTCAGGATTTGCAGGTAGGACCTATAATGAGCAAGAATAACATTTGAAGAATAAAAACACCAAAAAGCCAATATACATTAGATAAACTATTGTATTATTAATTGCATCCTCTCTCTTTTACATGTTTAATGATTCAGAGATGAATAGCAGTGACAAACTGAATACCAGTTGAGTAACTTACCAGAAGCTGAATTAGTTGAAGCCTGGCATAAGGTGATTAGTTGATAAAGTGTCCACAGTGTCAGTGACATGACGGGTAGCCTAAAACAGTGTAAATGATATAAAGGGTAGCCCAAAACAACTGTCAATGTTATATAGGGGAGCCTAAAGATTCAATGCTATATAAATCCACCTAGAGAAAGCCAAGTAGATACAGTACTGTTGTAATGTAAGATGGAATTTTGATTTTACTTGTTCTAGTTATTTAATTTATATTTTAGTTCTCCATATTTTTATATTCAACATTTTTTAAAGAGAACTATAATTAAATCAAGACAATTTTCATATTGAACAGACTTTGTTCAAATGTATCACCAACTCTCCTTAATTTTAAATGTAAAATACTGCACTTGAAAAACCACCAATGGGCCCAAAAATACAAAATCGCCAAATGAAAGACAGTTACAGTACACAGATGAATACCAATTTATTGCAGGTAGTATATTATTAAAAAGATGGTAGTAGTACAATTTCAATAATAATATAAAGTAAAATATTTACCTTTGAAAGTTTTGATCTCCAGATATTTGAGCATCCATCTTGAGTTTACTCCCTTTAAGATTTAATGGCTGAACTTTTGAAAAATCACATCAAATCATTGCATTTAATGACTAAATAATTATCCAATTATATGAACTATCAGCCTAGGTAATAAAAACTGCAAAATGAACATTTAAAGATGAATAAAATCCTTTCTTATTTTTTAGTTTTTATGCTCCTAGTTATTCTATTTTTAATTAAGTTTAATTAGAGATATACTAATCAATAAACAAAGGGATATGACAGTACTAGTACCAGAAATGTTTTGATAGCATTAATATTCAAAATCAGTTAAAAAGAAAAAATATTTTCAATACTCACTTTATTTTTTGGCCTTTTCATTAAAATCCTTATGCAATGAATAACAATTATGCAACATTGTCTGTACAGTTATACTAAGATTCTAATTGACAATATGTTGCATTTAAAGTCAAAGATCAAGTTGTGATGGTATCAGGAGAAAATACAAGATAAACCCTTTCAATTACATTTATTTTGATAGTAGTATATCATTTTAATATTAAATGGCATGAATTAAAAGATGGAATTCATAAAAATGTAACAAAAAGGAGAATTAAAGATTGATTTACCCCATTTGTCTTTTACAAATTCACTTGCATTTTAATAGCTGCTTTTTTATGTACTTCTTGAATGTTGCATTTTACAAGTTTAAATGCTGCATTTTTTGTTCTTTTAAATGTTGCACATGGTTGATTAAAAAGTAAATTACAAAATCCCCCCCCCCCCTTTAACAACATTGGGGTACATGTCAAGCATCACATGAGGCCTCTATACCTGGGAAAGGGCACCATTTCATTGTTATTCTGTCACATCTGTGAATCATATAAACACGTCCACAGTCTTTATCCAATAGAAAAATGTTGTCTGCTCACGTTTATTCATTGTAATTTCTCTCCAAAATTTGAATAATGAGTTGGATTTTAATTCATTTCTAAACAATCTCGAAAATCGTTTACACCCTTGTTTACTTTTCTACTCGTTAAACCCACTCATTTTAACTCCATTATAAGTATCAAAACACAATCTTTCAACACTTTCAACGGAGGATGACATATGAAGTATGAAGATCATTTGTTATTTATGACCTGACATCTGCAATTAATAGTTTTCCTGCCTGTATGTCATCATCCTCACTATTCTTAGGAGTATAGTGGTCATTGGGTGCTTCATAACTTACCAAACCATGAAATCCCTGACAATGTCCTGTCTGACAAACACCTTTTCCTGACTGACAGAAACTTTGTCCTGATCCACACAGATTTTGACCTGATTTACTAAGACTTTGACCTGACTGAGGCAGACTTTGACCTGATTGACACAGACTCTAAAACATTCATTCGTTAATTTCATATGAGCATGTATGCACTCAAAATTTAAAGACTTATACTTATTGACATTCATTTGTTGCAACTTAAAAGAGACAAAAGACCCAGAGTCAATAAATTTTAAAATATTTGACGTTCAGCTTTAGTCTCAAGAAAGAAAATGGTTTTATTTGGTACATGGATGGACACTGTACATGAAAATATGTGTAAGCTGATATATTGAAAAAATGACAAAATAAAAGAAGTCTAGTTTGAGAATCAATTAATATCTGAAGTTATAATTTATTTACTTCATCTTCAATTATACAGTTGAATCATGAATGCACTAATAAAAAGGAGTTGTCTTAGAGAGAGTGTATACGGTACATGATATAGGAAAGATTAGTTCCAAATCAAGTCAGACATTGGAAACTTATCGAAAGGAATTTGCGATTTAAGTTATCTGCAAATTGTCTTTTTAGCTTAATAATTTTGTCTTTATGGCTAGGAAAAGTGAGAATGTACTTGTTTCTAAGGTAAAAACCTTGGTGGTTTATAATATTGAGGTCCATGTCCATGTCTCACTTGATACCTTGAGTAGGGATCATCAGGATAATACTTCTTTTCCTTATAGTATTGATTAACCATTTTGTCCAGTAATTTAGTCTGAGTCTTATTCACAAAAACATGCTGTTGGAGTCGTAGTCTTCTTGCTGGAGATTTCTTCCATTGATGTTTATGACGTCCACATTTTGTTCGGATCCAGATGCCCCAGTTTAAACGTTTGAATCTCAGGACAACAGCGCGGACAGTTTTTGGTCTGCCATGTGTTAAACTATATTTGATCTTTGTGCGACGCTGCTCTGTGAAAACTTGTAAGGATGGCGCTAGAATCCTAATAAAAATAAACAAATTTATTTTGATAACTTCTTTTGACATAACTTGTCACACCATCTTTTATTGTATGGTTGTACTTAAAATGTTATTAGTGCATTTATTTAATACTCAATTTCATGTTTTTTGCACATGATTGATCTTTATAACTTTTGTCTGTAGATATAATTAAAACACAAAAATGAAAGCTTTTCAAACAACTGAAACCTATCATGATTTTGAAATCACTTTGTGTAAGCTCAACATAGGAGTTAAATCTGTGGCCTCCAAGTTACAGTGGCCATACACTGCACCACAGCACTCTTAACGATAAGCAATGAACATTTCAATTGAACTTGCAAACTGGAAGCATTGACCCCTTGTACTAAGCTCATACAACTTCCATGGATACTTCATTGACATATTATTAAATAAAAAACTTACCCAGATGGCGAGGCTTTCAACAAAACACTAGAGAAACTCCTGCACTGGCTTAAACATCCTGACACAACCCCTTGACTGAATAATCCTGGTGTTGGTTTTGTATTTAATATTCCATTGGATCTGCTAGCATTGGTTGATAGATTCCTAGCTAATTGATTGACAGGTGCTTTATTCTTCAGTGTATCAACTACATGTGGTCTGATGGTTTGTTGACTGGGAATAAGTCTTGCAGATAATGATTGCACTCCTGAAAACAAACATAGTGGATTTTGAGTTGACGAGAAACTCAAAAACAAGTTCAGCAGCTCTGTGCAGACGTTCATGAAGTCACCCCTGCAAATTGTGAAGTTAATAAACATTGTACCATGCGTTAAGTCCCATTAATTTGTGGGATGTTCTCAGAATAAATCTATAAACCTTCATTTTAACACATCAACTAATCAGCACTCATAAACTTTGATCCGTTTCAAGATCCCCATGGTTTTCCTGCATGGTTGTGACGGTTAATATGAAACTGTATTCATAAACAAACCCGCCTACTTCTGAATGGTCAATCATTCACTTCTGACATTTAACCAATCAGATCCTGCAGACATTTATGACTGAAGGAATTGGTAATAATGCTGGTATACAAGGAATTGTAATAAAAAAGTGAGAGAGAAATCAGCTAGAAAATGGTAAAACATCAGAAGTCACCATAAAAGATTATCTCACATTAATCATCAAAGCAATATTCGATAACTCCCAAAATCAAAGACGTGGAAGCCCCGCCTCTTGTGACTTTTTGACAAATCTCAGGTATATAAATAAAGCCCCAGAGGCGCATTAATGCACCTAAAAAAATTATTGATATTGACTTTCAATATCGTAGTGCTCACCATAAATAAATGACACCTGGATTTGCTGAAGTGAGGATTGCCCATGTTAAAATTAAGGGATGTGTATCTAGACATTATTGGAAAGTATGAAGTCTCAAATCACCATGGTCTGGAAAGGTGATAGAAAATCAGGCGTCATTTATTTATGGTGAGCACTTTAGCACTAATACATGTGAATGTAACATAAACCATATTTGACTTTTGTGAAATGTGAATGTTAAAGGACGTTGTAATTTCCGATCTTGATGGAAAGACATGTTTTTTTTCTCACATGGACCGAGATCTCACAAGATTTTTACAAACAATTTTTATATTTTCAAAATCAATCTGGTGCACGGTGGAAAATGGAAATTTTAATTTCTAACAAGTGTCCAAATTATCCCATTTCTCAGGTCGATATTACCCGTCTTTGCCTTAGACAACACAAGGCCCTGCAAGATGAACTGTGAAGATATCTTTGGGAAAAAATTCTTCTCCAGATCTACCCTAGAGTTCTGAGAAAAAACATCCTTACATCCCTAAAATCGTATATAAACTTTAAAACAGAGAATTCATGATAATTCTGAACATAATACATGTTACGTGAGTGTGAGTGAAAGACGTATAAACACAAAAATATACCTTTTAAAATATTTCGGCAAATGGAGGCTGACATTTTGAATTTATCTAAAAGCACAACTTGCGAAAACAATCTTTATTTAGTTGTAAATATTCTACATCAAAAATCATAAATCGCCACAAATCTAATTATTTAAAAAACTCGGTAAGTCAATAAATCAAATAAGGCCATAAGAAGTAGATTCTTTGTTTTGCGTCCCCTTGCTTGCATGATTTTGAGTAAATCAGAAAAAACAAACACATCAAAATAGCAATCACAAGGGTCTGAAAGTACCATTACTTTTGGTTCAATCAGAATCAGACGAAATGGCAGATAATTTGATGCAGATAAATTGACAGTGTTATAATTATTTTGGCATTCATTGTGTATTTTCTTATTTTTTACCCTTGAAGTTTAAATATATTATATAAAATGTATAGATATGTGTTTGTAATCACTGCAAATTGGTATGTCATCCCTTTTTATGCCCATAAGATGTATACATTTCTCAGCAAACAAGTTTGTGTTTTTTCTTGAGTTAGTGTTTGTTTTCCTTGTACCCTTGCATGATTTGGATTTTGCCAGGACGCAAAACAAAGAATCTACTTCTTATGGCCTAAACTCTTCTAATCAATTTATTGATATTTTAATGTTATTGTTTTCGCTCAAGTTCATATTTCGAAAGTTTTCCATACAGAAAGTCAACATGGAAAACATCTTGAAGAAGGCACAAACTGTGGGTCAAGAAAAGCATCGAAATAACGTTGACAAGATCATACAGTATGGAACAGCAGGATTTAGGACAAGGTAAGTCTTTAGTTCAAAGTTTGGACATATTTGTATCACTTTACTGGTTTTACTTATTGAGGAAATCTTATTTAAATTTTAGAATTTTTTTTACTTGTGTTCAAGAAAACTGCAGCTGTGTTTTTGCCACATCACATTCATATTCTATCTGTTGCAAGACTAACGCCTGGCGTAACCGTCACCATGTTATTTAGTGTTTTTAAGTAGCGCAAGGATCCTGCCATGACCGTGGTAATGTTATCGTGAAGGCCTGGTATAATCGCGACAATGCTGTATTATATTGCAATGCCTGCCATGACCGTGACAATGTAATATAGTACTGCAAGGCCTGGCATGACCGTGACAATGTTATATAGTTCTGCAAGGCCTGGCATGACCGTGACAATGTATTATGGGATCGCAAAGCCTGGTATGACCGTGACAATGTAACATAGTATTGCAAGGCCAGGTATGAGGGTGGTAATGTAGAAATTTAGGCTTAGTCCTACTATGACCGTTATAATGTATTGCAATGACTAGTAAATATGTATGACATTAATGCCAGGAATATCCTTAACAATTTTAAGTGATCGTCATTACAATTAAACGGTTTAATAATATGATCATGGTGTTTAACTACCTTAATCATGTCAAAATCAAAATTACTACTGTACATTAATATTCACATTTCCTTATAAACCACAATAAAGGCTACGGTTGCGCCAGGCTTCCACGATAACACATCCAGGGTCATGACAGGCCTTACAATGTGAATATAATACAGCATTGTCACGGTTATACCAGCCTGTCACGGTTATACCAGGCTTACACGATAACACTACCACGGTCATGGCAGGATCCTTGCGTTACTTAAAAACACTGATTAACATGGCGACGGCTGTGGCAGCCGTAAGTCTTGCAATAGATAGCATGTGTTCATATTTACTATGTATTTAGTAGTTTCTAGGACAGTCATGTCTGTTATTTTTATTAGGCAGGGCTGGGTTTGTCAACATGTTTATGAACACAGCAGCCCTGTCAACCCTCACGCATTAGGCGTGATTGTCACAAATTTGCTGGAAAAATAGAAATCACGCATCAATTTAGCGTGTATGGAAGTTTGGACATTTGGAAGTCACTCATGTTAGATGGTCCCAAGTTGACAGGACTGACACAGTGAATATTGCTGAAGTCATGTCTACCCTGATGTGATTGTTTGTTCTCAAAAGGTGATTGTTTGTTCTCAAGGTTGGCGTTGCATCCCTAAGTTTCTTTAGATATTGTACCAGAGGACAAGATTTCCCAAAGCTGAGAGATACCATTTGACTGATGTCCATAATGCTCGTGAATAGTTAAACTTAAAGTTGGATGGTTTACTCAAAAGGAATTGTGGGTTGTTCCAAACTTTGATGTATCTAGAGATATTTTGAGGTATGATGAGAGAATATACAACCATTAACAAATGGGGGAAATGTTGTGTATAAATACTCACAATAAAGGTGTCTTCATTTGGATTGATTCTTTGATTGCTTGGAGGGAAACTGATCATAATATCATGGCTCATGATATCAAGTGACTACTAAATTAGGCTTGATTTGATTACCAGTTTATATGTACCTGTTCAATATGTTTTGTTTTTAACTCGATTGTTATGTTTTAATATTACTTTGAGAAACAGTTTATAACTATGTCAGCTAAATATTAAAGCATTAATTATCTTGTCAGTTGTATGAAAATGTAAAAATATGCCCAATTTGTGTTTAAGAATGGCCATACTTTAATGAATGGGGGATTTTAGTTTGTAAGGAATAAGATAGTATGGGGTACATTGATGCTAGAATAAAGAGGCTTTACAGAAACTTTCTTAAATGTTTGGTGTTATCCCCTACCCTTATACCTATTTTGTTAATTTGAAGGTTTATGTCATGATAAAATCTGAAATGAAACAGGCTTTCCCACTTTATAAGTTCATAGTTCATATTAAAGCACAATTTTAAAAAACAAAACCTTGCTTGTCAGATCGGATCTCAACCAATGCTGCCTTGAAAAGAGACCTATGAGAGAGTCAGTATTTAGAAAGTGTTTTCATTGATGACATCTTATTTATTCATAAAAGGTAATGTCAAGTTCAAACTTCTTTATACTACTCATTGATTCAAAGCCATTATTAATACACGATTACACGCCCTCCCTTTTCTGCAATTTAGTTTTGGTTGTTAGTATTCGAATAGTCCATTAAAAAGAAAAACCTAAATGAATACAATCCATTTATTATTTCAACTCCCCTCCCCAGGATGTACATTTACAGTGCAAAATATGTCACGATTTATTTCATTGTGATGTATTTTAGATAATTAGCCATCTCGACTTAAAGTTCATATATGTTTGACATTATGAACATATGTCGTATGATCAGATGGTGTAAATATTAATAGTTATAAATAGTTTACTCAGACAGTTGTATTGAATTTGATTAGTTATTATAGTTTGTGTTTTGAATGAAAATATATGTAATATATAATGGAAATAATTTTTTGTAAATATTATTATCCGTTTGAACATTTTAGCTGCAGCACATATCTTTTACTTTTATTTTTGTTTAATGTACATGCACATATTAAAATGATCCTTCGCTAGAAAACCCATGATAATATGTACCAGTGCTTTCTCAACATGGAGACACCATCCTTAAATTAACTGATACACAAATATGCTCATCTAATTATTCATGATCAATGTGCCTATAATGTTACACCAAAAGAATTTAAATATTACGTTAAAATGTTGCATAAAAGTTATAAAAAACCCAAAGTGTTAAACTTTAAAAAAAGTCAAAATGTAATGCCATAGACATAATAATACTGGATCTGCAGACTTATCTTATGACATAGCTTTATGGCAGTATATTTTATCTCTAGTTTACAGTATGTTTTACAATGAATATTTTTATCAGTGTTTTATGGCCACTTTAATCTTCATGTCCTTGCATTTAAAGATAATGCATGTTTTACAAAATATACCAATCAGGTTTATCATGACATAAAAGTGACATACACTGCCTGGTGATCTACACATGTCTTCATTTGGAAATGTTCTTTTTTGTGCAAGCTCCAATTAAAAATTGTTCCAATTGAAAGACAAGACATGTCATTAGAGTCCTCAACAATATTATACCAGGGAAGTTTTCTGATGACCCAGAATCTTAACCTGAGAAGACCTTGCTATCATGCTACTTAGTCCAACTTTATGTTCTATAAGTTATTAATCTTAATCATGTCAATTTTGTTTGTTTTTACACTTATCCTTTAATGTACATGTACAATTAGAATGCTAGTTCTTAGAATAAAGTGACAAGTCTAAATGATTTCTTTTCAGGCTAAATAGGTTTAACAATTTTAATAATCCATTATTTTCTGTCAAGCCATTCTACCTGCCAATGACTAAAACAAAATATTCAGGTAGACTGGGAAGATTGTACATGTATGTCTCTTCTATAAACTTCTATAACCTCGGTTTTGCTCTTCTGGAGTTGGTGGATTACAATTTGCCGAGATTACCTTTGGAGAGTTCAGTATACAAAATGTACCTGTCAAGTTTCAATATTCTTTAAAAATAGGAATTTTGTTTTCAATAATCCATCAAGAGAAATTGAGAAATGCATTATTTTAGTCTTGTGGTCAAGAGAGGCCAGTAGTTCCCAGCATTCAATGCTGTATTAATCTTTCATTTCATTATTTCAGGGGGGAGTATTTGGACCATGTTATCTACAGAATGGGCCTACTTGCAGCCTTGAGGTCAAAGGTCAAAAGAGGTCAGTATCAGTACTGAACTTTCACTTATCATGACTTATTCTATACATATACTGTACATGTATTCTATAAAGGCCATTTTTTAATTGTATACTGTCTAGTGGTTGGAAGACTGACTCGTGTACTCAAGTTTTACTTGCATTTGTCCTAAAAATCAATAGATCGAGTTGAAAACTTGAACTCACGATTTGAAATTTTTACCAAAAAAATATTTTTCACTCGTTTTCACCTTACCTTGACTCGCGATTCGTCTCTCCTTCGCAATTTCCATGCTTATAGTATAATCTGTATTAGAATATCTGTATAGAATACAACTTAATCTGTATAGAATACAACTTATTTTCTATTTAATGCCATGTGTGGAAGACAAACATACTTGGATTTTATTCTGTGTTCGTTATTTTTATGCAAAAGTTTCATTTCCGGTTTGATGCATTCTGGGAATATCCAACAGCCGGGACTAGGGGTGAACTTTAACAATCTATAGGGATGTGCAATACGATTTAGACAATAAAAAGTACAGAGGCACTTGAAAGACTTGATCAAATTGATGAATTCTGCCGCTACTTGGGAAACTGAAACCGGAAGTAACTCAACTAAGTCAAATCGCGAATATAATCGTGGTTTTTCATGGCCCACTCGAGTGGAGATTTTCAGGCGAGTCCGACCACTAATACTGTCTATTAGATTCAGTCTTGTGCCAAGTCTGTGGCTGTTTTATCCTATTTTGTGCTTGAGCAATGTAGGGGGGAACAACATATGGATTTAATCCCTGATTTAATCCTGTCTACACATCTATATCCAAATGAATGTAATCAATGAAGAGTTTAACAATTCAAAAATACCAAATGTTTTTTCTTCATGATGAGTTCACATTTTCAGAATTTTCATATTAATGGTGACATTAAATAGAATCAAATCAAATCATATATTTCATTTTTAAATCCCCCATTTAATAACATTGGGGGTGCAGATTTTTCAAAGCTATGGTCTCAGGTATCACTTGTGGTCTCTTGCAAATAAAGAAATATTTCAAGAATATATGCACTTTTCAAATTTTAGAAAGTAGCTTTAAGAAGTAGTTAGGTTTTACAATATAAAATTAATTTTATTTTTCAAAAGATTCCATGTATTTTATGGCTGTCTGAAGGGACCTATCCTTTAAAATGTTTTACAGTTTATTTGATATTTTCAGCCACCATAGGAGTGATGATCACAGCTTCCCACAATCCAGAGGAGGACAATGGAGTAAAACTAGTGGACCCATTGGGTGAAATGCTTGAAGCATCATGGGAACCAATAGCTACCTCCCTTGCTAATGTAAAGTGAGTGAGCTGTTAACGATGTTGTCATCAAGGAAGGGTTTTTAATTCAGAAAATTAGTTCCCAGTTAACCCATAATAATTATATTTTAATCTATTTTATGGAAGAAAAAATCATTTAAATTTTTTATATCAGTTTGACATTTTCCAAATATGCAGGTATCTCTAGTGAATTGCACTTTCAATATGAAATATGAAATATTCCCCATTTTGCGGATTTGATTGAGAGAACTCAAGTACAAGTTCAGAAAACTTTCTATCAATGCTTACCTATTGAAACCATGGGAATGCTATTCAGTCGTACCTATTGCTATATGTATTTGGTCAATCTTGATGATTCTGTCCCATCCATATTCAGGATGCAGCATCAACAACCTAACCTATAAATTGACAAATTTGACAATCCACTGTTTGCCAGTTATTATAATGAGGCCTACTTTTTGAATGAGGCCCCACAATGAATTTATAGAATTCTGGAGCTCAAAAAATGTTTTTATGGAATTCTGGAGCTCAAAAAATGTTTTCTTATCTGCCACTGTTGTTATTAACTGTCTCTAGTGCTAGTTGTAAACATATTATTATGAATTGAATGGCACAAAATAACGTCAACATACATACATGAAGATACAGTAATTACTTCGATATTAATACTAATAGCATTATGGACTCATTCTTTAATTACTTCGAAACTGGACAATAAATGAACTGAATTGCACAAAATGATTTCAACAAACGCAGTATATACTTTGATATTAAAAGTGTCTCATAAGCCGAGACGGCTGGGGGCTATTCTTGTAAATGTATGTCTTCACCATGTATAGCCTGTGACACTATAATAAATATTTAACTAACTAACTATTACCTTTCAGGGATGCAGATCTGGGTTCTAAATTGGAGGAAATAATCAAAACAGTTGACATTGACATCAGCGCTCCCTCGAAAGTATTCATTGGTCGCGATACAAGGTGAGGAAAATGTCAATCGTGCTTCTAAATCTTGGTTTTAAATGCAAATAGTAAAAAAGACACTTCATTTTAGAGAGAAAATCATGAAACAAAGTAAGCAGGAAAATGTTACATAGACTTTGACTCAAGTTATCTTAAATGTCCCTGAAAGTCATTTATTTTTCAAAGATATTTCACGTTTTTTCAGGCCCAGTAGTTTACCATTAGCCCAAGCTTGTATAGATGGTGCTAATGTATTTAGCAGTATTATCACAGATTATGGTAAGTTTTAAATAGCCTTACATGACAGAAATACAAAAAATGTTAGATATGGCTCATGTAGACTAAAATGGAGATAAAATAGAAAATAAATAAGTTGGATGAAAATGCAAGAAACATTAAAAAACATTCATACTTCACCAGATCAGTCGGGATAACAAGTCTATCAAAACTCCGGTTATAACTTTTAGGCTAGAGGTAATTTTGCTGAAATATAGTAGACCCTTAAATTCATTGTATACTATTAATTGTATACTATTTTCACAACATTATGTGTTACAAATGAAACCTAGGGACTAGGACTCGTGAGATGAAAGATGAACTCTATTTTTACCAGTATATCCCTCTAGCATATCCATGATTTCTACACAGGTCTCCTAAGCACACCTCAACTTCACTACATGGTCAGATGCAATAACACAAACAATGAATACGGTCAGCCTAATGAACAAGGATATTACAAGAAACTATCAACAGCATTCAAGCTTTTGAGAGGAGATGTAAGTGCATTCATATCTCATTTCTGACCTATTGCTATTTGTGTGTCTGCCTGTGTATTTTTAGCTATTTTTGAACATTGTCAACAAGAAGACCTTGTTGAGATGGATTTGGGGTATTTTCATGTCATCCATTGTTATAAATGTTTTGTGATCAAGTTCTGCTAACAATAGCTCCATTTTAAGAAAGGTACCAATATTAGAATGCAACCTTTAAACTCAAGAGTTTTATTCACCTTGATTTTTACTGAAGAAATATACATGTACTCATCATTTGACACCATGGATTAGCACTGGAGGCTAGGTACATTTCACCCAAGACTACTATTGTTAATGTTATGTTTGCAGAATCCAAGTAATAAACAATACAAGAGTGTTCTACATATAGATGGTGCTAATGGTGTGGGTGCCTTGAAAGTTGAAAACTTACAGAGCCATCTCGGGGACAGTATCACTATTAAAGTCACTAATGATGGGTCATCTGGCAAACTGAACCATTTGGTAAGAGTTTCATTTTTCCGCACATATCGATGTATCAAAGAATTGTGTTTTACTAATATCTTACACACTAGCATTCATATCTATTCAGTATGTATGAATAATGTAATTCTGCATTTTAATTTGACTTTTAGACCTATTTTGATTGTATTCTTTATTTTAATTGTAATTAGTGAATATTGCATGTTCGAAACATAGACATTTACATATTTCATGTATCTTTCTCTGTATTTCCCAGTGTGGGGCTGACTATGTGAAAGTAGGTCAGCAGTGTCCAGAGAACATGATCATTGAGGCTGGGGACAGATGTGCATCATTTGATGGAGATGCAGATAGAATTGTCTACTTTTATGGAGACAAAGGTATCAACATATTTGGAATGTACTACTTTTAGAAATGTGTTCAACTGTTAAAACCACGTCTTGGATTTTTGGGGGAAATTATTTATTGATTGGTGATTTTTTAAGACATTCTTCTTTAATTATTGACATTATTAACGTTATGTAATTTGATGTTTGTAAAATGATAATTTATTCTAAAATTGTTTTGTTCCAGAGGGCACATTCCATTTACTGGATGGTGATAAAATTGCCACCTTGGTAGCTGGGTACCTTAAGGATCTAGTGTCAAAATGTGGGTGTGACCTTGACCTTGGTCTTGTGCAGACAGCTTATGCAAATGGCAGCTCAACAAACTACATCACGGAACAGCTGGTACAGTATACTTTGAAATAGACACAAGTTGTAGTTCCTAACTCTGAATAAATGAAAAAAAACAGAACAATCTATGACTTCCAACCATCAATAGATTTTGACATAAACGTTTTTTCTGCATGTTCTAAAATTGATATTACATTAAATGAATTAATCACCTTTGAAAAATTGTACCAAAATGTGACATTTTTATTTTCCAGTAAATTCCCAAAGCCTGTGTTACAAAATGTAATATATGTAAACCTATTTAAAGACCTTGATATTGGAAGCTCAAGTCTATCTCAATGAATAGTTTGTTTTAAAAGAATGACTTACGGTTCAACTGTAATCAATAGTATTTTATTTTTCAAAAATGTCTAGAACACTTTTCCTTTGAATGAAGTTGTAGATTATTTGGTACCTATTTGGTATATCTATGCAGTTTAGAGTGCAACCACTGGGACTCTCCAAAAGTGCTCACATTACATTTCAAGGTTTCATAATCAAGGGAGTCATTCAGAGATTACAAAATTGGACGAACAGAGGTGTTCAGATATACAGGATTTATTGTACATACTTCTTTCATTTATTCATTAATAGTTTCATACTTTCTATTCTATTTTAAGCTTTGAAACTTCCATGTCATTTTCAGAAAGTGCCTGTTGCCTGTGCGAAAACAGGTGTAAAGCATTTACATCACAGGGCCCTTGATTTTGACATTGGGGTCTACTTTGAGGCGAATGGCCATGGAACTGTAACATTCAGTGACAAAGCTCAAAACAAAATAAAAACTGCCAAAGATGATCAAACGTAAGTAATTTCTGTTAGTCTATGAACCAATAAAATTGTAAGATTTTTAAAAATCCATGAATAGGACCTGCAAAATATTTAGTACCCTTGCATACATATTCATATAAGTATTCTTAAGTCATGTATTGTGATTTATGTGTAAACTATTCTGGTTCATTTTTGCTATGTGGTGGGAATAAATTGTCAGGCACATTCTAATATGTGGTTATATTTAAAACCAAAATTCTTTGAAAATGTAGTAGAGTCTAAATGCATATTTTTCTACAGGTTGTCAAGTGAACAAAGGGAAGCAGCTGAGAAACTTAAAAATGTGATAGATCTCATTAACCAGGTTAGCATTTTTTATGGTTTTTAGGTCTTTAACTCCAAATATACAAGATGGATTCATAGATTATTATAACTATGAGAACCTAAAGATTTTTTATCTATACTTCTTACTTATTTATGTCCTTGAAGAAAACTTATCAAAATCAAATACAACAATTTCTTGAAACATGTATATGCCTACATATTTGTTGTCATATAGAACTTCTTGGACCAGTCACAAAATGATGAATAGCTTTTACGACTTTCAACTTCCAGACAGTGGGGGATGCAATATCAGATATGCTTTTGGTGGAAACCATACTACATACCAAGGGGTGGGACATCAGTGAATGGAATAGCGCTTACAAGGATCTACCCAACAGACAATTAAAAGTCAAGGTATAATCTTAAATGTCATTCCTTTCCCTCTAGGTTTGAAAGTTTTTTTCTCACCCATTCATGCAATTACTTTACCTAAACCACAGGCTTTCAAGAGCCCGTGCCTAAAGCAACGAATCATAACCTACAGTATACCTTATCTTGTACATACGGTTATGTTTTAAGGAAATATTTTTTGTTATAGGTTAAAGACAGGACTGTGATAGAAACAACTGATGCAGAGAGACGCACAACTTCTCCCTCAGGTCTTCAGGAAGCCATAGATGCAATTGTAGCCAAGTATAATAATGGAAGGTCTTTTGTCAGGTAAGCGAATATCATATGTATAACTAAAATTGGTATTTGTGTGTGGCATATTAGCAATAACGTCCAAAAGTCATTCCATTTGTCAAGCTTGATAATTAGAAACAACCAAATTATGACTAGACTACCATAAAAAGTTTTAGAGTGTTTGTCTACAGTTTGCCTATACTGTACAACAATAACTTCACTCTCAGGTATAAGATTGTTCTTTCATCTGCCTTCGCATTTAATGAAGTACCCTTTGCATTCGTTTGACTTCACTTCTTGAAAGAGAGCTTCGTCTTCACTCTTTCAAACTAAAATAAACCTGTGAACTCACCGCGCCAATCAGTGTTCGTCGGCCAAATTTGACCGACGTTCTATATATGGTCATTCCTTCTGACGTCATCGTTGAGCCCGGAGTTGACCAATGACATGCGCATATTTAATTAGAACGCATTTGGCGTATGTTTCTTCAAGCTCGCTGATTGGTGGAAGAAAGGGCAGCGCGTAGGTCAAAAGTGATTTATTACCCAAACTATCACCGGTAAACGTTGTGGGGGCGAGGCTACTAAACTGTAATATGGTCTCTACTAGGCAGAGTGTAGTTTAACTAGACTCTGCACGCAGGGTATTAATGAAGGGCATATAAACCCTACAATTGAGGTCATAAAGAATGAAAAGTGCAAATTCAATTGAAGGACTTAGGTTGTTTTAATTAGTACTGCTAACCTTAAGGTCTCAAGGCAAACATGAAAAATGTAGAATATAATTTTTAATATTTTCCAGGCCATCTGGTACTGAAGATGTCGTCCGAGTGTATGCAGAGTCAGACACACGTCAGAATGCGGACATGTTGGCTCATGAAGTCAGTGTGAAAGTTTATGAACTCGCTGGAGGTGTAGGGGATGCTCCAGTAGCACCAGAGTTTTAACAGAATTACTACATGATATGATAGTAATGGGATATGTTATTGTACCCTGACTATCAAAGTTGCTCAAATGTGATTTAAGTCTGTTTTATTGAAAATGAGAGGAATATACAAAGATGTAAGGACTATAACATAAGGATTAAGCTGTTCACTTGCTTCATGTACACTACTTGCTACTAGGATTAATCTATACATGTTCCAATAGTTTGATTTTACTTCTTCAAAAGAGAGCTTCATTCACATTCTTTGAATTAGAGATAATCCTTTGATCTAGCTAAACCAATCAGAATACTGTGATTACTGTACTCCTGGTCTGGTAATTTTAGCATGCTACGATATTTCGTGTTTTTCGCAAGTTTGGAAAATTTGTGAAATATAATACGAGTAGCCACAAAATTTCAATAGTTCTAATTGGAAATATAATAGCTGCAAAATTTCGAAAAACTGAAAATATGCAAGAATCAATAGGTGCGAAATTTCAAAATCACAAAAATGAGAGAGTCAAATACAAGTGGGAGTACAGTATATGGTAGATAAAAATCAAAATAACATTCACTGAATTACACGATATGTGCTTTCCAAGTAGCTGGTATTCATTTCAGAATAAAATTCTCATTAAGACCATGGCAGCTACTTATTATAGGGTCATTTAGATCTTATCAGTGGAAAAACTGCTTTATATTTATTCCCCTTATTAAGACACTGATGTGCTATAGGAGTATCCATGCTTTAATGACTAAGCTGTATCGGGTATGGGACATGTTCAAAGGCTGCTATAGAAACACACATTCCAATAATATTTACCAACCATTGAATTGTATTCAGTTTTTGTCTCTGCAATTTGGACCAATTTTTGTGTTTTTGGCACTTTTCCCATGGGCTCTCGACTAGAAAGAACTGGTAGAAAGTCCATGACTTTACCAGATAGTGAATTTGCTAATTTCACCGTACATATCCAGAACGTTACAAGAACTTGACAATCACATATTAATTATAGGTGGCATTCATTCAGCTGTATGTAATTTATTAGGACATGTATCAGACACCTAAATGCATGGGTTTACATAGACTCTCTGGACAACCATTCTATTAGGCAGTGTTTGATGCTAAAATCTACAGATTTAGATTTTATTTATGGATGGGTCGTCAAAGGCTCGTACAATAACTAGAAGTGGGTACATACTTTTTTGAGTACCCAATTTTAAAATTAAAAAACTTTTGTTACAAGGGTGTTGACACTAGTCAAGAATACATGCTGAAATTGGGGTTAAATGTTAATGATTCTTTAGTCATACAAGTAGTAGAGCATAGTTGAACAATGGATAATCATATAGGCTTAGTGGGACATATATTTAGCTAGAGTAGGTCCAAATCTGAAACTTCTTGTCTCTTCTAATCTTCATTAATCTACATAGATTGAAGTTTTTATTTATTTATGTAAGAGACAATGTCCTCAATCTATGCAGTTTCTTATGTGCCATATACATAATACATTTACAGTGTATACCTGTATATGAAACCTCTCATATGAAAATCTCATTTTAAAGGTGTACAAGTCCAAAGGTCATATACAATATTCAATAATTTGTTCAATGAAATATCTAATTGTGTAAATGGAATAAAGGTGATGGTATAAAACGAGAACAAGTTTTATGTATCTTAAATATAAGATGACATAATCAAAATCATCCCTATTCATATACATATAATGGGAATAACAGTGTAAAAACAGATTCATTTAAAACGCTCATGGGTGGTCACACAACTGATTAAAGTCTCCACTGCCATCAAAAAGATTTTGATCATTGTAGAACAATACATATATAATATCAGCCCAAGTTAAGTATATTTATAAATGCCACTATATTACTATCATATGAGACCAAAGTCTCCACTTCATCAAAACTAGTTTGATCATTGTAGAGCAAGACACATCAGTTCAGGTAAAGTAGAAACAGGGTGTCAAATAAGTCCCGTCCACCTGGTCCAGCTAAAACCTGATTATATGGTACCTAATGTTATATACCATTGGAAACATCATCCAAAGTTATACTAACTCACCAACAAAAGTTTTTTGATGATGAAAACTTATATTTTCTTAATGGTAGTAATTAGTGTGGCCCATTCCAGCAGCTTTTATTGCATCAAAATGAGAAGGATATGATCTCAGCATATCAAAGCTCATGCAAAAAGTATTCAACAGTACCCTTGCCGCTCTATTTTCGACACATCTGAATCTATCCACAAAGTAGTTAAATTGTCATCTTGATCTTCTTTTAACTTTTTGATTTCCATTTCTTATAATCATGCAGAATACGCTAAAATCACATGTTTCTAGGTCTATGGTCACTTCAATTCATATGATGTAGCAATTTGTGACATTGACTGGCAGGTATCAGATACATGCCAATCAACGTAACTTTGGATGATCTTTCCAATGGTATATCAAACCCTTATATTTATGGCACTGCATTACTATCATACCGTCCTTTTCTTTAAAGAACATCAAAATCCGAGTGACGATCAACAAGGGGGATGATATACCGAAATATTGTCTCAAATGAATATTTGTATATTTCGGTATCACACACCTTTTCTAGAATTTGTCAAATGAAATGCATGGTAAACTTCTGATACTCCGACCATCTCTGCCTTGCAAAACTGATAGGGAGGCTGTGATTTCTCACAATATGCATTGCAAATAGGACATCATAGCCTTATAGGCCATCAGGTTCACCCCAAAATTTAGCTTATCGGTACCAAGTTAGGGGAATAATGCTCATAGTGATTTGTGGCACGGTAAATACCTCCAGAGTAAGAAAATATGTGATAGCATTGCAGGAGTGGTAGCTTATGGGTGTTATCACCCATTTTTCAAAATGGCTGCTATTGCGCTTTTTACCAAATAAAAGAAATCATATCTTAGTATAATGAGAGGCAAAAACAGTGATTTTGAAGTCTATTTCTGGGTTTTAGGGGTCAAGGATTTCACTTATGTCAAAATCTAAGTCATCAAAAAATTGCTTTATGGAAATCCAAGATATCTTTATTTAGAAATTTGAAATGGCTGCCAAAATGGCCATACATATGGCTGCTAAAATGAATTCATACGCACATAGAAAAGTTAGAAAAGCAATGTACGTAATAGATATCTGAAACTAGGTTCCAGGGGAAAATGGTTTCAATTTAGCCTTTACCAAAGTCATCTTAACTTTTCCTCATATTAAAATCCCAGATGATCACCAAAATGGCTGCCAAAATGAATATTTACATGTACATACGTGTATACATATAAGCATTAACAGAGGATGTTGGCAAGTGATTGTGGTATCTTTGACTAGTAAACTAGGATCTAGGTATTGAGGATTTCAGTTACCACTTTGTTTTTGTTTTCTTTCTTCTGTTTTCTTTGCTGCCTTTCAATTATTTGTTTTATTTGTGTTTTCTCATTTGTGTTGTCTTTGTTTTTTAATTTTCTTTGTTTTTCTCTTTTTCTTTTTTCTTGGAATTAGAGTCAATTAGAGCTTTCGGGATACACCAACATTTAACTTGGTCCATTGTCAAGAGCTGATTCCCAGAGTGCTAAAATACTTTTTAACCTTTTTTGGGTGTGTGTTTGTTTAAGATTATTGGAACCAAAGTTGCCTATCTACTCCCAGGTAACCTTTGCAAGTTACCCCTTCTTACTCTGTTGATGTTGCTCTTTCTCCTCAGCCTCTGTTGTTGTAATGGAAGTTACATAGTTGGAAAAGTCATAGGAGAACAACACCAAACTGAAAGCATGAGACTTTGAACCAACTCCCTACATGGATAAGGTCAATAGCTTTCATTCATTTTTCTAGTTCTCACAGATGCTGTTGATATCTTTAAGAAACTCATCAAATTATTTCCCTAGATATTCAATTCTCTCATCATGGATAGTATGAATAATTGCACATTAGCTGCCTTTGTATACCACTCAGCTGAAAACATTCCCTGGATTGTACTAAATACATGCCCAATTGGCCATCATCTGGAGGCAGCTTAGAATCCGTTGTGCTCCAGGGAATGACTAGGTCATAACAGTGATGGTGTCCATAAAGGCTTGGCAAGAAGGATGTTTTGTGTCATCGTTCACTTTGAGACCTCTTTACTTGGACTCTTCTGCTTTCACAATCTAGTTCATTGCTGCGATGAAGAGGGTACAATTGAGATGGTACATCCCATCAGGGCCATCTTGGATATTCAAATAAATGTATTCCAAAATTAATTATTCCTTTGGCAGCCATTTTGGTTGCCATCCTGAATATCCAAATAAAATTATTATTTGATGACTAAGTTTTAGACATAATTAAAGTTCTCGACCATTGAAACCTAGACATGGTCTCCAAAATCACTTTGAACATATATTAATAGTTACATATTCATTTTGGCAGCCATCTTCGATTTCCACATCACGTTATTCTTTGATGACTCAGACAATAAAATCATTGATCCCCTAACACTTTCATGGTCTACAAAATTATTTTTATCTGTTCTTTGAGCTGATATCAATACATGTAGTTGCATTTTCATTTTGGTGGCCATCTTGGATTTCCATATAAAGCAATTCTTTGCTAACTTAGACTTAAATGGGGCATAAATGAAATCCTTGACCCCGAAACCCTTTCATTTTCTACAAAATTGCTTTTTATCTGTTCCTTGAGCTTGCATATATATCAATACTGTAACAACATATTCGTTTTGGCACCTATTTTGCGGCCATCTTGGATTTCAATATAAGGTAATCCTTTGATGACATAGCTTTAGACATTAATAAAATCTTTAGACTCTAAAACCTCTTCTAAAACTCTTCAAAATCATGTTGAAACGTTTTTGAGCTTGTATCATTGGTACATATTTGTTTTTGAACCAAATTTGGCGGCCATCTTGGATTTTCATATGAATTAATTTTTTGATGACTTGGATTTAGGCATAACTCAAATCATTGACCCCTAAAACCCAGAATTAGACCCTAAAGTCACTGATTTTGCCTCTCAGTATGCTTAGATATAACTTCTTTTATTTGGTAGCAAGCGCACCTGCGGCCATTTTGAAAAATGGGTGATAACACCTATTAAGCTACCACTTCTGCAATGCTATCACATATTTCCTTACTCTAGGGGTCTAGACCTTCCCAAAAATCACCATGGCCATTATTCCCTTGATTTGGTACCGACCAACCCCCCAGGCTGATCGCCTATTACTATTATGTTCCAAAAACGACGCCTAATGACACTATTCAATAATCCATGATGATGAAATCTGTGTTTCCATGGATAAACAGTTAAGCTTAACATATTTATCAGATTTATTGTAGTAAAACTCATTAAAGCTGTGAAGAAACCTTTAATAAGACCTTTATAAGATGGACATCATTTAATTGAGAAAACACAACTGCATTCTTGCCTTATTAGACAGAATTCCGTCCTTTATTAAACGCCATTATTCCCCATAAACGATCAAGAGTCTAATGCGATTTGTTTAATAAGTTTGAATGATTAATTAATTTGCTCATTTTGAATTTTGCCTCCACATTCCATTGAATACCGTACTCCTGTCTCGTAAATTGCTGCGTTATTTTAGCCCACGCCTTCAAATCGATTTAAAGCTTTCATATCGGTTAAATTATGTCGTTATGTACAAAGCTAACAGAAAAACGTTTTAGTTTTAACAAAACAAATTTTATTTCTTCTTTCATTTTTACTTTATACGTATACAAGTAAAATAAATAAATTATGTACAATATATGTTTTAGGCAAAAAGAAAGAAGACTACACAAAATTAACTACAAAAAATAAATACAAAAATATTAATCTTCAAATCCAGTTGAAACCTGAAAACTGAGGACGAGTAAAATGAATTATTTGTTTTCTTTGAAAATATAAGCGTTCGATAGGTTTGTATAAGATCTTTTGTGTTAACTGTTGAATGTTAGTTGAAACATCCCTTTAATCTTTAAATAAAGTATGAAGAAAAATTAAACATGTTCTAATGAAATGTTTATGACTTAAATTCAATTATTATTTGTTAATTAAATCGTGTATGTTTACATATGTTTAATTCACATGTTTGATGGGCTCAATCGAAGAAACGTTTATTGATGTTACGGGCCTAATCCGCAAACACACTACGTGTTTAATTGAATACTGTGGGAAATTAACGATTAATTCATTAAATATGTCAATTAATTGTTCAAATTTTAGTTTAATGAGATCATTAAAGGATTTCAAAATTCTGTTTACAATTAATCAAAGCATTCCACCCAATTTAAAATCGATTGAAGATAAATAACTTTGAAAGTGGCGAATTGTATAATATATTCCACTTGATAGCACCGATTCGGCAATAAGAAAATATGAATATAGAATATCATTTACACCGATGACGCCGTGTTGATAAAACGGATTATGCTAATCAATTGAAAACGTAAATTGTGTAAGAAGTCATCATGATGGTACAAAAGATATCCCACCTGGGCGTAAGGTTCACACCTTGGGGACATGTCAGACTTGTCAACTCGCAAAAACGACAAAAAGAATCACGAACCGAAACTTTTGCTATTGATAATTTGTTTTGAAAGCGCAGCCATGCGACGTGTATCAAATTAAATGTATCCCAATAGATTATGGCACGTTGCATGTTGATGAACATACCAGCCTACTTTAGGAGATAATTTGAAAGAATTTAATAAAAATACTATGTACCACCTAACAGGATATTAAAGTGATAGAATAAATAATGTTATTCACTCATGAGGAAAACTATATGAAATGAAAACAGCATTTTGATACTTAGCAAGTCAAATCTCACTTTACAAGCGAACATTAAATCACATTATAGAAATTGTGTGTACAGGATACTACTGAACTAGGCCTATACAATAATCTAGTAGCTGTTTGCACGTGCAGATTAAAATCAAGAGAGGGGGCCGGGTGGACTTGCATTTGATCCATAAATTCTTACGTAACATCACGTGGTATTACAAATCAAGAACCAATCAAAATCGTTAGGAAATATCGAAGATGCACACGGAATTGCAAAAATGCTCACCTTTATTGTGAAATTGACGCCAGACTGCAAACAATCTTCTAAAGAACGAAACGCGAGTCAGGTATCGAATGACGAGTCAAACAACTTGCCATAGTTATTGAAGATCATTAACACGCGAGATAAAAGTGCGACAATTTAAGATCTGCCGCAAGAATAAATAATTCTGGCAATTTTCAGATAGTTAGTGATATTAACATCGATATAAATAAAGAACGATATCCTCTATATAAGAAAAAACAATTCAGGACATATTAGGAAATTAACGACTATTGTTCAGGCATTATACTGGTGAAAATTGTCATACTCAGACCAGCTATTGACGTTTCTGAATACAAAGTCCTGAACGCATGGATTCGGAAAAAGAAGCAAATATGACGGGCATCGAAAGATTGGATACATCATCTGTGAGTGAGGAAACAAAAACACTTCGATCTTTATACACAGGGCATCAATCTACAGCGCCATCTGCTCCAGTTTTAATGCCCCAGCATCATCAATTTATGTGTTTCCCTGGATACTTACCACTCCCCCGAGTAGCAGGCATGATGCAGTTTCACCAAGGCATGATTCCCCGGGGAACAGTGCCCCAAGGAATAGGAAATGTGCCCAACACGATGCCATACGACAAAGCAGAGGTGGCAAACGCACCACAAATGACAGTTATGAACAGGGAAGCTAAACGCACTTCGTCATTTATGATCGACGCAATATTGGGACTAAATAGGTCCCGTGATTCTGAAGTTGCCCTCCCAAACACAATCCATAATATGGAATATATGCAGGCCCGAAAATCTAAATCCAGCTTGTCACAGATTGTTCGACCACATCCATATTTTCACAGCCATTACTCAAATCAACAGCTACGCGGCTCGATGGTTTCAAAAAATGATTGCAGAGCTTTACCCAAAGGTAATTACTTGATTTGATTATTTTTTGTTTACTTCATATTAATAATCATTTACTTGCGTACACTTTTCTTGTATTCGATTTCATTTTATAATGGCAATGTTTCATCACTTTAATAAAATTAAATCTAAATCTAACAAACGTAATTCCATCACAGCCGGATGAATATGGAAGACATTGAAAACTGAAAACCAACAAAGTTTCAACAAAATAAAAATCTGTATGTGTCAACTTATTCGTATTCATTATATAATTACTGAAATTGTTTTTAGAAATCGAAGGGCTCGAGCAGTGCGGCGACCTCAACTGGGGAGATGTGAAGTCAAAGAGAGTGCGGACCATCTTTACTCCGGAACAACTTGAGCGTTTGGAAGAGGAATTCGAACGTCAGCAATACATGGTGGGGACAGAAAGGTATATCAAACACCAGTCATAAATGTAACTACCAAATCAACGTCTACGATAATGATTACGAATCAACAATGCACCGTCGCATTAGAGATTGAACTAAAAAAATACATCTATCCAACTTCACCGAAGAGAGGGAAAACATTTCAAAACGCACTGAAAACAAAATGTTACCTAGCACCATTTTCTAGAGAGAAAGAGGGCGTGACACATGCCAAACAGAAATTAATGCACTTTTATTCATTATAAAGAGCATATATAAAGAGATACATTCTCTAATCTCTATATAGTATACATGTAGATGAAACTAACATCAAGCCCATTATTGATTCGTCGATTTTTGTATTAACTTTTGAAGACGCTCCTTTAGAATGAAGCTCCTTGTGGTATATTAGATATAATATTGATGTTTTTATTGGTTTATTACCACATTAGCCTTCCCAAAATTATGAATTCTTTTTAATGTACAGTTCAAAGATTCGTAAATGATAGAGGAATAATAAGTCGTTAAATTCTTTGGAAGATTTTAGTCAATGTCTGAGGAATGTCTTATAATAAAATATTCAGTTTCAACTGAACATCTAATGGCGTCAGTGTCAAAAATGTGTAAAAATGTTTTATTTGCTCTATTTTCAAAAGCAGTTATAACATTTGTCATTTACTCTTTACTCGGCATGTGTGAATTAATATATATGAAATTATTCATTTGGGAATAAGAGGGAAAATAGAGTATAAAATGTGAGAACCGATCTTTTCAAAAATCATGTTTCCATTTCAACCCAATTTTATTTTCTAAAAATGAATTGTCAGATGCAGTAATGTCGAAACTCTCTAAAATTGAAAAAGGGGACGTCTCTCCCTTCTGTAATTTTAATAAATAACCTTAAAAATTAAATGATTATCACGCGAAATATTTAGTCACAACCGTTGCACTCTTTAGAAAACATGCATGACATTGAATGCTAAAAACAAACAAAAACATTTTAAAAGTGTTGCATTTTCTTAAAAAATTACTCTCAAATTGCTTCTTTCCCTTATCTTTGTCCCAAATGTTCTTAACTTTTACAGCATTTAACTTTGAAAACAAACAAACGAGGATTGGTCAATAAGTTCTATATTATTTGCAGATATTATCTTGCCATCAGCTTGAATCTCACAGAGGCACAGGTGAAAGTTTGGTTCCAGAACAGGTAAGTCTCGAAATTGTCTTGTTAAGAATGACAACATTACATTTATAAAATGGTGCACATTGGCTGATTATTCCTTACAGTCATCGATTACTTAAATTCATCCAATAAAATTTTAAGAAACAAGGTTCGCAATTAGATGTAATCATGTGTTCATGAAAAGTGATGGAACACACGCAATTTGTAAAACACTTAATTTTGATCTAATCATATCACACGCGACACATTTCTGCCAGCACAAAAATGACACGATAATTGTCACTGTTTAAATATTGTCACTTAATTGATTCATGCGTTACGACATTCTGATACTCATAGCATCTTTTTTTTCGCCAAAGGCTCTCAAACTGAGAGAAAATGAGATGCCATGGTTTATCATGTTGGCGTTACGGCTTGATGGATTAACATGTGTCATGTACTTTTTATTCTTATTCTTCCACACTACTAATTCATGAGTTTCTTTCGTCTCAGGATGTTCCAATCAAGATGTCTTAGCTTGATACACTCTTGCGTTTGAAAACGCAATTATCACATTTAACTTTTTCACATTAACAACTTTTAGGAGAATCAAATGGAGAAAGCAAAATTTCGAGGAACAGCAAGCCAAGCTGGAACAAATCCGACATGACCAGGAAACTGCTGTCAACAATGAGGTAGCAGACGACATTTTCATCGCAGACGACTTTGATCTAACAGACATCGATCATAAGGCTAGTGCTATTTCTGAGTTAATTACATCAGCAGACATTAATAGTGCCAATGTTACCAGTTTACAGACTTGTGGAAACACCGACCTGCCATAATACAGGAAATAAACATGCGCAAGATAGGATACTAGGAAAGACTAAAATGAGAAAGATCGACATTTCTGATTGTAATCTCACTTTCCAAATTGTGATCAAGTGTTAACGCCAACTCCCACACGCGTAATAGTAGGATTGAGACTTTTTGTGCGCAGTATATTGTTATAAATCTACAAGTTGTTATATTGCTGGTATTAAACCCAATTGAGTAATCAATGTAGTTTTGTAACATTCCCTCAACTCATTGTGGTAGCGTGGTTAAAAGAGAGGGAGATGTTATTGGTTAAAATTATGAGCTTTATTCTAAGTTAATTATGGAGGGTGTAAAACATCGTCTTTACAATGAGTCTTATAGGAAATAAACTTTTATGTCGAAAGAAAGATGGCGCTCTGGCAAAAATCTCTACATCTTGATTATACTTGGAATTGTCTCATGAAGGGGGGAATAATATCACCTTAAGAAATATAACACGACAAAAGTTTTAAAGAAACATATTTACAGGTGTATATATTTTTAAGATATTTAAGATAACAATGACAACAGTACAGTAAAAATTAGTTATGAATAATCAAACTGTGTTCTGGGAGAAGTTTCTGTATATAAAGTGACTAACATGGACTAACAATGACTAGCACGAATTATAACAAGTGACTAACACGAGCTAACAAGTGACTAGCAAGTGACTAGAAAGTGACTAACAAGTGACTATCAAGTGACTAGCACGTGACTAACACGAGCTACATGGTTGGAAATTTGCCCGGAAATTTGCAATATGACTGCCGGAATTTCCAGAGACTGGGAAAGCTGGACTGTGGGGTACTTTGGGAAGGGGAAATACATCTCTCTAATAGGATACATGGTCCTGGGACTAGAGTAGATGTAAAGGGGATCCTGGGCAACTTTTGGGCCGGAGCATTATATACATTTCAAGGTAACTTTCATGTCAAATCTCATAACAGAATGTCATAAAACATATATCAATTTGTTGATCATCATTTGATTAATACAAATATATATTTACCTAACACCAATAGAGTCGAAATACTGCAAAATCGATCGAAACGCAGGAGATATATCCATTAGCAGCCTTACAGTTGAAATCTAAACAGAACACAAACCAAACTTCTCAACTGAGGAAAACCTTACGCCGAATACTAACTTAACAAACAAAAGTATTTCATACCTAATACTGATATCAAAATATGATGAACATAAATAAACATGTTTAAGAAGCTGTGATTAAAGTAAATTGCTTATAATTAATGCTAATTACTGGATCAAATCTTGGGACTATATTCTGCACTATTTGCAGTTAAATATCAATACGCCATCACTGAAAAGTATGTATTTGGAGATTGGCATTCTTCTTGAGAGTGAATATCAGCTGAATGCATATAAACGTACAACTTATAAACGATTAAAGTTAAAATCTGATTAAATATAGAGATAAATACAGTAACAGCACACCAAATAATAAGAGAAATTATGCTATAAGTGTATCTGAATTTGGTGGGTTGTTACACAGCTTCCCTCTTTAATAAGTGTTCGACCCGAACACGCTTTAAAAATAAAAAAAATGGAAGTCCTTAATTTGATAAACATGTAATGTCAGCACCTAAAATTATAGTAATTTCACACTGTCATTATTCTATCATATATCGCTACATTCTTCTCTGGAGCTGCAATATCAAAGTTCAACAGTTCATTCACTGCAGTTTATTATCTGACATCAATCTTGTCAATGCACCAAATGTTCAAACTTCATGCATTTGAGATTATTTCTCAGTGTTCTTTAATGGTCGGTAGATTCCCGTAAAAAATATATGAGAGGTTGACAGGTCTGTAAATTGTGTTGAATCTTCAGCTTGCATCTGGTTAAGTTGACATCTTCTGTTCTGCATCCCTGAAACATTGCTACACAGACATCCTATCGTGAAATAGCAATACACCAGAAAGTAAACCAATAACGGGCCAGGGTCACACCATCGGTACATAAGTCAATTTTTCATATTCTCACAAATAAGGGACATGGGACACATCTCCTACCCTGCGTGCAGAGTCTAGTTAAACTACACTCTGCCTAGTAGAGACCATATTACAGTTTAGTAGCCCCGCCCCAACGACGGGTACCGGTGACAGTTTGGGTAATAAATCACTTCTGACCTACGCGCTGACCTTTCTTCCACCAGTCAGCGAGCTTGAAGAAACATACGCCAAATGCGTTCTAGTTAAATATGCGCATGTCATTGGTCAATTCCGGGCTCAACGATGACGTTAGAAGGGATGACCATATATAGAACGTCGGTCAAATTTGGCCGACGAACACTGATTGGCGCGGTGAGTTCACAGGTTTATTCTAGTTTGAAAGAGTGAAGACGAAGCTCTCTTTTAAGAAGTGAAGTCAAACGAATGCAAAGGGTACACATCTCCTCATCTACAGGGGCAATTTGAATGATCAACTCATTTCTACGGGGATTAGGATACCTTAACAGGTCATCAATCTTGGATAATTCGTAACATTGAAATAAATACAATAGCATTCGTTTCCAGGTATCTCAGGACATTGGGATTTTCCTATGGGACATCCATTCTTATCGGGTCTAACTTGGACTTTTGGACTAATAATGACATACGGTTTCATAGAAACAATATGTATTCAAGTTTCATAAAAACCTTCCAATTTGAATTCTATTTGAATTCGTTCACCACGGGACCAATGGCTCCATCTTTTGGAACTATATGGAATAATGGGACAGCTTGGGACTATCAAGCACTAATTCAGTCTTTATTAAAACACTACTTGTCTGTAGTTGGTCTACTTGAACAACATCCACCTTGTTAATTCAATAAGAACAATGTCTGACTGTTCCGGGACTATTTATATTCTATAAGAATATAATATTTACATTATGTACACTGTCTAAGGGGCTATTCTAACCAGTCTCCAGCTGGCTGTACCTTAATCACTACTTTGAATTCTTTACCCAAGGCAGCAAAAGTTTTGGGAAAAGTATCCTTTCTACATCGTTGAAATTGCTGATTTGTAGAGACAATGGAATCCGACGGATTTATTATTTACAAAAGGGCTACAGCAATACATTCAATACTTGGGGCGAACTTGGATTTCCACTGTTTCAGGACATTCAACCCAGGCGGGGGCAATAACAATGCTTTAACGAAGTATGCTGGTCTTTTCTTTAAAGACAACAAGCTAGCTTTCACATCAACAACAGTCTCATGACTTTTCAGGAAGTCGCGACCCAGAATGCATGGATATTGAATTTCAGCAACATACATAGACTGTTGGAAATTAACCCCCTACTCAACAGATATTTAATAATCAATTTTCCGTGGGTGGGTAACTGACTACCATTGGCGACAGTTATGGCCGTAACTGCCTCGCTATCTGAAGGGACCTTATAAGACCACTTGGCCTAACTTATATGTACATGACTCTTTGCCAATACACTTACTTTAACCCCTATTTTCAAACCAAACAGTGGAGAACACTGCCTAATCATATAGACAATACTACCTAAACTTATAGGCAATAACACACCTGAATTTCGTATCATCGGCCCCTTGACTATTTACAAAGATCTCATGTGGGCTGGGATGAGATCTTACTTACTGGTATATACATTATATTTATCTAAATAAGAGCACCTGAATGCTCAACTTCTCGGGTTGGTCTGGTGTACGCACTGTGGTTAGGACATGTGCCATGTTCTGTTGGTGGAGAGACAACAGAATTAGTTATAATTGATGCCAGGGGTATTGACATCATGGACTATTGGAGATTTGGATACAGTGAGGAATATATCACATTTCATGACTGATATTATTGGACACAGTCTGTGAGGTGCTTGGACTTTAAGGTAACATTTACAGGGACGTTCATTGCCTCGTATGGGTGCGCGCGTACCCAAGCTATCTCTTAAATGCTCATCATGTCCAGCATGACAAACAAACAAAAAAGAAACTCACAAACAAGGGATGGACGGGGATATTAATATATCATGATAATTTGTTACAAGGGCCTTTATGGGCATCGTTCAAGTATCAATGGTTTCACTGTAATGGAATAAAATGGTATGCAAGGTGGGGAAAACATACCATAAAGGTGTATAATGGAGGTGGCCACTTTAACAGGAAGTAGATTTAGGGAAAACTACTGCATTAATCAAAAGGGGCAGTCCCTATGGTAGGCTATGGGGACTGGGTGGTCTGAATAGTTTCACTGTAGGTAACTAAAAACGGACATAGAATCACAAAAAACGTGGGTCTTGATAGGGCGGGACCTATCAAAATTCCACCGCTGCCAGCCAGTGTAACATTCCCTCAACTCATTGTGGTAGCGTGGTTAAAAGAGAGGGAGATGTTATTGGTTAAAATTATGAGCTTTATTCTAAGTTAATTATGGAGGGTGTAAAACATCGTCTTTACAATGAGTCTTATAGGAAATAAACTTTTATGTCGAAAGAAAGATGGCGCTCTGGCAAAAATCTCTACATCTTGATTATACTTGGAATTGTCTCATGAAGGGGGGAATAATATCACCTTAAGAAATATAACACGACAAAAGTTTTAAAGAAACATATTTACAGGTGTATATATTTTTAAGATATTTAAGATAACAATGACAACAGTACAGTAAAAATTAGTTATGAATAATCAAACTGTGTTCTGGGAGAAGTTTCTGTATATAAAGTGACTAACATGGACTAACAATGACTAGCACGAATTATAACAAGTGACTAACACGAGCTAACAAGTGACTAGCAAGTGACTAGAAAGTGACTAACAAGTGACTATCAAGTGACTAGCACGTGACTAACACGAGCTACATGGTTGGAAATTTGCCCGGAAATTTGCAATATGACTGCCGGAATTTCCAGAGACTGGGAAAGCTGGACTGTGGGGTACTTTGGGAAGGGGAAATACATCTCTCTAATAGGATACATGGTCCTGGGACTAGAGTAGATGTAAAGGGGATCCTGGGCAACTTTTGGGCCGGAGCATTATATACATTTCAAGGTAACTTTCATGTCAAATCTCATAACAGAATGTCATAAAACATATATCAATTTGTTGATCATCATTTGATTAATACAAATATATATTTACCTAACACCAATAGAGTCGAAATACTGCAAAATCGATCGAAACGCAGGAGATATATCCATTAGCAGCCTTACAGTTGAAATCTAAACAGAACACAAACCAAACTTCTCAACTGAGGAAAACCTTACGCCGAATACTAACTTAACAAACAAAAGTATTTCATACCTAATACTGATATCAAAATATGATGAACATAAATAAACATGTTTAAGAAGCTGTGATTAAAGTAAATTGCTTATAATTAATGCTAATTACTGGATCAAATCTTGGGACTATATTCTGCACTATTTGCAGTTAAATATCAATACGCCATCACTGAAAAGTATGTATTTGGAGATTGGCATTCTTCTTGAGAGTGAATATCAGCTGAATGCATATAAACGTACAACTTATAAACGATTAAAGTTAAAATCTGATTAAATATAGAGATAAATACAGTAACAGCACACCAAATAATAAGAGAAATTATGCTATAAGTGTATCTGAATTTGGTGGGTTGTTACAGTTTCATATATCACGATTTTTCCTTAACAAATAAAGATATACTTTTATTCAACAAATAACAATTTGTCAGTCAGTCACATTGATCATGTGTTACGATTGGGGTCTCTTTTTATACCAACGATAGCCATCAAGGAGCTGACCAACGTGCCTTAAAATTCATAAAAAGTTCTTGAAAATATTTGCTGTTCATTCACACATAGCTAGGCAAGGTGTGTTAAATTCAAGCCAATCAGAACACACAATTTCACGTAACTGCATTCCGTTATATAACCAATAACGCATTTGTTGTATGGTTGTCAAGGTGATATCTGGACTCACAGATTCAAATTGATGCTTTGTCAGCTTGACCCTTGCAAAAAGTTTCATTGAAAATGTGTTCTTTTAGGGGATTTTGTAAAAAATATTTTGCCATGTGTAAATAGAATTTCAGACCAAGACTCAATGCATTGTGGCTGATTCATTCCACCTAGGAATGCGCGGTCACGCAAAGATTTGGAAACAATATCTTCAATGGAATGATTCAGCATATAATGTACTGAGTCTAGGACTTAAATCCTTAATTCAAGCGTCAAAACACAATGAATCCACACTCTGTATTGATTTTGTCATGATGCAGTTCCCAAAGTTCATCAGCTATGCGAGGCAACGACTTTCTTTGCAAAAATTGACATATTTATTGAGGCTTTATTCACAGGCTGGTATCGAAAAATTTGTCCGCTGTGACGGAGCGTGCTATTTTGCATAGAATCACTAGGAAATCCACACAATTTATTTTTTTACTCATATGTTTTGCTATATCAAAGAAAATTACTGACTCCATGCAATGGATATATCATTTGCGGATAACTTTAAATTCTGTTTGAAGTCCAACAACGTTATGAGTAAAAGCTATTGAAAACGGCGTCGGAGTATCATACTCCAAAATGTACCATTTCTTTTTAATGGTACAATATAGCGACACGATAATATTTACATATGTTTTCAGCATAACTCTGAAGGTATTAATGAGATCTTTATGTATTGGGTATTTTTAATTTTTTTGATAAAAAATAATAATTAATTTTTTTGTCCGCTGTGACGGAGCAGTTTCAAATCTGAAATGCGTTAAGAATTTAGATTCATAATATATTTCTTTACAACTAAACTTTAGAGGAGCGAGCGTGTCAAATCTCTTTCGTAAAGTATTCTGAAAAATGAAACGTAATAAAAGTACACAATTCAAATTCTGAGATGTATATACGACCACTCTTTAAGCTTCTTTTCTCAGTTTGTACTGCAATCCAACTTATGCATGGTAACTCATGAAAATGATAGTCAACTTCCATTTGCCTTTCGTAGTGCCCTCTGTGGATCCATCGGCCTGACATGGTCATTTTTTACGGTAACTTAATTATTTGAAGTAAAATGATTTGCTGAAGATGAAGCTAAATACATATAATGGTATGGACTGTGGATTGTTCTACCCTCTTTAGTCGTTCCAAAAGGTAAGTTGAATGTATCTTGAAATACGAAAATGTAAAATTTGATTTTAAGATCGTTCTTTATTTGACTAAGAGTTATGGCTATCTGATGCAACTACAGTAAAATATGTGTACAGTGAACACATATGGAGCCCAAAAATGTGTTCCCAGTTGTCACTCCATAGAGGCAATTTCATACAGAAGTCAGAGGAATATTTGATAAGAAGAGGTGTTCACTAGAGAAAGATATTCATTGATACAGGTTTTACAGTGCAGCACGTTTACAAAGACTTTTTTTATAATTTTAGTCTATGCAAAACGATGAATTTCATGAATTTCAAATAATTGCAAATTATATCTGTATTGGGATCATCTTATATACAGTAATATAATATTATGTGGTAAAAGGTTATACATCTGTCGGCATGCATGATGTCTGTGCGCTATTTCGAATAAGTAAATTCATATTAGCCCTACTTACACTACACGTGACATTTCAAGACGTCTAGGCGAAAACGTATTAGAAATATTATGTTGAGTTTACATCATGTTGATTCATGTTGATTTCAGTACAAACCTCCGAATTATACTAAGAGTGGTCGTTTTTATATCTCAGATTTACATTACCCCATATCTCCAAGAGGCTGCTTGTCATTATTTAGGAAAGTGATTTGTGACGTTCTCTCTTCTAAGGGTACTTTTAAAAGATATAATTTTAATCTTAAATTCTTAACGTAGTTCACAGTTAAAACTGCTCCGTCACAGCTGACAAAAAATGTAAACATTATTTTTTATAAAAAATATTGAAAATACCCAATACATCAAGATATCATTAATACCTTCAGAGTTATGCTGAAAACATATGTAAATATTATCGTGTCACTATATTGTACCATTAAAAAGAAATAAAACAAATGGTACATTTTGGAGTATGATACCCTGGCGCCGTTTTCAATAGCTTTTACTCTTAGCGTTGTTGGACTTCAAACAAAAGTTAAAATTACCCGCAAATGATATACGCATTGCATGGAGTAAGAAAATTTCTTTGGTATAGCGAAACATATGAGTAAAAAAATAAATTGTGTGGGTTTCTTAGTGTTTCTATGCAAAATAGCACGCTCCGTCACAGCAGACAATTTTTTCGATACCAGCCTGTGTTATTAGGCTGCTTAATAATCTGTTGTAAACTGATGTAATGAGAAAAATTGGTTTCACATAGTTTTAGAGCAGGCGAGTAAGCTATGCCATAGAAGTCAAAGAATTACAGCAATTAACACTAATTAATAGCCCACTTACAATGTATCATACACGATAATTGGTATTCAAGTTTAGTTTCCAAACGTTAAATTTTAAATTTAACTACCTATTGCTTCCAGATATTTGACAAATCAATGCTGTTGATTCCATGGTACTTTACAATTGAACAATTTACTGTTAATTAATAAATTGGATAAAGCTATAAAATGATCGTAAAACTCGAATAGAATTTCAATAAATGTATTTGGAGTAATTTGAGGTGAACGTTCGAAGAAAATGGCGGTATGATCCCAACTGAGGTAAGTTAGTTTGATAATTATCAATCAACGGTTTTAAACCTAATATGCCAAATAACAGATTACGCGATATCCGATTATTCGAAAATAACTTTATTTCTTGTTTCCAGATAAGATTGAATTGATAATTGACGAAATTATTCGATAAACATGATAAATAAAGATGTTATTCAACCAACGATAGTCCAGCATCGAGTATGTATTTTGAGATTTTGTCAGTTCTGTTTCATCGTTTCTCTGATCTAAAAATATGATATGACATCTAGATTGGCAATATCAAAACGTAACAAAATACGATGACTTAATTAAAGATTACGTTGACAAAAAGTTGTAACTGAGATGATCTATTTTTTCACACAGGTCTCAGGGCTCAGATGACTTATGGCGAGAACGAGGCTGACACAGTTCATACTTTATGGAATTTTGTCTTCGTTGAGCATTACAAGTAAGTTTCAAGGTAGACAGAGTAGAATGAGTTATTAGGTCCACATGTACGTTATGTAGGCTTGCATTCCGACGTTGTGCAAATGCATGTCAGAAGTTGCTCAACTATGCTTACCTTAATTGATAACTTAATCAGGATCTAAGAATTTTAATTTTCAGCGTGGGTCTATCATTTTATTGAATAGATCGTTTATTACATCATGATCCAAAATCATTTAAATAAATTCGTATATACCCCAGTATATATCAGATCTGTTATACATGTTACAAATCACTATTATAACAAAAATATTTAATTAAAGGTGTAACATGTGAATCAAAGAACAATGAACACCTACAAACCGAGGTAGATGACAACAACAATGCTAATGTCCACGAAGATGTTCATTCTGACCCACATGCAATCTCTTCGTCATTCTTTGATAACGGTGATTTTCTCGGAAACGTCGTGAGTGCAGACGATGTAGATACAGTTATGGCTATGTCTGGGACCGGGGGTCCACCAGGATCCGTCGGTCCGACAGGAAACGTTGGTCCACCTGGACCAAGTGGACCGTTTGGCCCACAGGGTACTTTTGGAGCTATGGGAACAGGGGGTCCACCTGGCCCTAATGGACCAACAGGGTCGCAAGGACTAGATGGTCCACCAGGAACAGGGGGTCCTCCAGGAACTTTTGGTCCATCAGGTACAGGAGGTCCGCCTGGAACAAAAGGTCCCCCGGGTACTAAAGGTCCACCAGGAACGCTTGGTCCACCAGGGACCTTCGGACCGCCTGGAAGTGGAGGTCCTCCGGGAACATCGGGTCCTCCAGGTACAGTTGGTCCCCCGGGAACAATTGGTCCTCCTGGAACATTCGGGCCACCGGGTACATACGGACCCCCTGGAACTACAGGACCACCAGGAACGGCTGGTCCACCAGGAACAGGGGGACCACCAGGAACCTCTGGTCCACCAGGAACAAGTGGACCTCCGGGTACAATGGGCCCGCCAGGAACAATAGGACCACCAGGAACAGGAGGTCCACCTGGAACAGGAGGGCCTCCAGGAACGTCAGGTCCCCCGGGATCAGGAGGTCCGCCAGGGACATCTGGACCCCCAGGTACAGTTGGACCACCAGGTACAATTGGTCCACCAGGAACGGGCGGACCTCCAGGTACGAGTGGTCCACCAGGATCGGGAGGTCCACCAGGAACAGGAGGACCACCAGGAACAGTAGGTCCACCGGGGACTATAGGCCCACCAGGAACAGGGGGTCCGCCGGGAACAGGAGGTCCACCTGGAACAGGAGGCCCGCCAGGTAATACTATAATTTTCTTCAAATTAAATCTGTAATTCCTCCATGTTTCGTAAAGATGTCGACACTGTACTTTGTAGTTTGTCCTGAGACAACATTTATCCTTTTCAGGTACCGGAGGTCCTCCTGGAACAGGCGGTCCACCAGGAACAGGAGGTCCACCGGGAACTATAGGTCCACCGGGAACAGGAGGTCCACCAGGAACAGGAGGTCCACCCGGAACCGGTGGTCCGCCAGGTATAATCATATCACTTAAGATGTTCTTGAATGATCTGTTCGGGAATGTATCAATCGATTTACGACAAAAAAGATGCAAGCATACCACCTTAGGGAGATGAAAGAGTCACATTCGTTTGCTGTGCGTAAATGATTGCCCCTAATGTAATTAGAAGGGCCAGATACATGTTTTACAAATGTTTCATATATCAGTCGCTACCAATTCCTATAAAAAAAACTAATTGTTATATGTTATAATACAACACATAATTGCAATTTCCTCTTTTATTTAGAATATTGTCACAGTTTTGATTAATAATAGATATATTTTTATGATTTAGGCACAGGTGGACCACCTGGAACAGGAGGGCCACCCGGCACAGAAGGACCACCCGGTACTATAGGTCCACCAGGCACAGGAGGTCCGCCAGGAACAGGAGGGCCTCCAGGAACAGGAGGACCACCAGGTACAGGTGGGCCACCAGGTACTGGAGGTCCACCAGGAACGATAGGCCCACCTGGTACAGGAGGTCCTCCAGGAACAGTCGGCCCGCCAGGAACTGGAGGTCCACCAGGAACAGGTGGACCACCAGGAACAGGAGGCCCGCCAGGTACTGAAGGTCCGCCCGGAACTGAAGGTCCACCTGGAACAATAGGACCACCGGGCACACACGGACCGCCAGGTATGACATCATATTTAAAATTGATCCTTGGTCTTAAATGGCACAACAACATTTATGAAAAAACTAACACCCTGGCACCCTGTATTGCACACAGGGTGTCAACTACTTGCAGTGTGGAGAAATATTTTGTAAACCATATTTAAGATAATTTGATTTTCTTTGGGTACGAATATCGACTGATGAATTATTACTTCGAGGCACCATGTGCCTTATACACTTGATGATGTGTCAACCAAATCTATTTCATGATCTATAATACGTGATTATATATAGCTAGAAATGTATGATTGTATTGAGTGTTCTCTTCACATAGGTACTGGGGGACCACCCGGGACTGGCGGACCACCAGCCACTGGAGGCCCACCTGGAACTGTAGGTCCGCCCGGTACAATAGGTCCACCCGGGACTATTGGGCCACCGGGTAAGACATTCAAATACAAGTATTTTATATAAATTCAATCATGTTGCATTGATTAATGATCAATTCAAGGTCCTCTCCGTGATTTTGTTCTTCATCTTCATTTACATTTACAGACCAGTTCAGTGTGATTGTAGTCCATGTTGGGATGTAAATGCGGTACTGTGAATTATAAAATATGAAAATTTTATTTAAATGGGGTAAAAACAACTATATTGACCTTATGATCATGAATATTTCTTTATTAATATGTAGTACATGTATAGCAGTATGTAGGTATGATACTTTTATTGCTTTTATTGATTCAGGAACGCATGGTCCGCCTGGAACAGGAGGGCCTCCGGCAACAGGAGGACCCCCAGGTTCTGGAGGACCACCAGGATCAGTTGGACCGCCAGGAACAAAAGGCCCTCCAGGAACAATTGGTCCTCCGGGACTTGAAGGGACGCTAGGAATACCCGGTCCTCCGGGGACAGGGGGTCCTCCGGGAATGTTTGGAACTACAGGACCACCAGGAATCCTTGGAGAATTGGGGTCAGCGGGCCCCCCTGGCACAACGGCACCACCTGGGACGGAAGGGCCACCTGGAACACCAGGCGTACGAGGACCACCAGGGAAAAGAGGGGAAACTGGTAAGGTTGATAATTACATGTAAGCTACCTATACAAAAAGGGGAATTCTAAAAGTTCATTTGCCATGTTGGCTCTTGTATCCTAATCATAAATAAAATGTTCTCTAGGAAGCCTTGGTCCCCAAGGCTTGTTCGGGCCAATTGGCACCCCTGGTCCATCTGGAGTTACGGGAACGAAGGGGCAGGTAGGTCCACGTGGAACCCCAGGTCCTGGTACAGCCGGTCCCCCAGGATCAGTAGGGCCTAAAGGAGAGCGTGGAAATCAAGGTCCTCCTGGAGATGATGGCACAAAAGGAGGCCCTGGTCTCCCGGGCGTACGGGGAATGACAGGAAACATTGGTTCCCCGGGACAACTAGGACCAGCAGGTAGCTCCGGTGTTCCTGGACCGCCCGGGAATCAGGGCATCGCAGGTTCGTAATAACAAAAAATGTTAAGCTCTAGAAAAATCAATTCCATATGACATAAGTTGTCTTGCGGTAGAAAATAGTAAATCAAAACACCAGAAAAGTAGAAATAGAACAACACGTCAACGCATTAAATTCATGCCCATAAATTTTAGGATCTAATGGTGCCAAGGGCCGGACAGGGTTTGGTGGACCTCCCGGAGATTCTGGCGACACTGGCGTAAATGGCCCACCTGGAGCAATTGGTCCACCTGGAGCTGCCGGTGGACAAGGAGCAATGGGACCAGGAGGCATTTCTGGTAGGTTACTCTGTATCATTAAAAAGAATTGAACTTTTTGTAATACATATTTTTGGTTGAGTTCAAGGATAAAAAGACCGAGTATTAAATTCCAACTGTGGAAGGAAAGTTGTATACAGAAACTACTTTGCTTTTTCTATCTGTGTCCTATTTTATGTTTTCCCGTATTCCAGGCCCACCGGGTGGTCGAGGCATCGTTGGTCCACCTGGAAATACTGGATTCAGTGGATTAAATGGTCCACCAGGTGTCTCTGGGTTAAGGGGTCCTAATGGGCCAATAGGGCCACCGGGCCAGATGGGGGCAGTAGCTAAGGCGGTAGTTATGTTCTTACACCAAGAAGGTACTCAAGCAAATATGTTTATTTAATATTTATAAAATACTTGTCTAGAATCATATTGGTTCACAGGCTTTACTTGTGACTGTCTAATAATTCAGAAAGTTCAAAATGGCTTTACTTACAAAAAATACAAATCTCCCCTCCGAAAAAGCTTTTTAGAATTCAAAATTAAAGCTCTTGTTCTTCTTCTCATGCTTTGAAATATGGCCGAATTCCCATCTTAATGATCTCTTACGTTAGTCACACAATAATGAATATTGTGGTAAGTCGCAACTTTTCCAAATCGCTGTCCTTCTCGATGCAACATAGACTTTAGTCTAGGCAATCATATCATGATATATTTCAGTTGAAGACCTGATAAAAGAACATCAATTGTTTAATTTCAGATTTGGAAGAGGAACAAGCGGCTGGTGTCCAAGCATCTTTCTATCATATGTTGGGTGCCATTGGGGTCCTTTTCGTATTTTGCCTGCTGCTCGTGCTGACTGTACACTGCCGTTTCGTCAGGCGACAGTTTTTGATCAACAAAGCCAAACAAGACGACGTTGAGCGTAAACTGGAGTTACGGACATTCTCTGTAACATGACACGTGGATAAACCAGTTTCATTTTGAAATACTGTATATTTATTGAACTGTCTCATAAATCCAAATATAAAATAAAACATATTTATTCAAACTCAACAATTATGCATTGGGAAGATCATCGAGGCTCTGCGCCAACTTTGAATGACATTCCGTCCATATAATTATTGATAAGTATTCTTCCTTCTTTTCAATCTGAATGTCTTTTTTAATGTAATAATCGAATACTAGTAGTTAACTTTTCTATTTTGGATAATTTCATTAGAAGGCCCGGGTCTAAATTTTCGACTTTGATGCGAATCACACATGATGGCGGCCCTATGATCACTTCTACCTGTCTTTTTCTACGTAAGACAGATTTTGTAAATATCCCGGGTATATATACACTGGTGTAAAAGAGTAAAATGAATATTGTCCTAGTCTGTATTAAGTTCAAAGTAGAGTATCTACCTGACGCCCGACCATACCGCAACTGGGTGTGACTAATACGCCGAATAGTATAGTTTCTATTTCTGTTTCAAGGTTTTAAGGAATCTTAGCCTTGCATCAATGAGGATTTGGCCCAAATTCTTTTTAAAAAGTCATGGAAAATGATTTAAATGACATATGTAAATTAAAGTTATATTGTAGAAAACTTTACACAGAATTCGAATATGCTTTTAAAAATAGTCGTTAGAAGTAAAAAGTAAAATCTCATGAAAAAACGAGACTTATCGAGATTTCAAAGCTATATGGAAACTCCTCTTATTAGAACAGTATGCAGATGTAAGGGGGCATTAAACACTAAGACAATTATTCATCACTTTTACACAGGGGCTGATATCATAATAATGATTACTAAGCTTGTAGAATAAGCAGAGCAATTAATGAAAAAACACACATCCAAGAGTGATGGACTTCATTCGCCAAAGAGACTTCACAGTCTGGTGGAGGGCCGGCAGTTGGCCTCGTTTTGGCATTGCGGAAATCTTCTCCATCTATGTTTACACTTGAAAAATCATCGATTAATCCAGCTTCATGAGCAACGTTGAAAACAATTCGCCTTGTACATCCAAAACACTCCCCTGTGGATTGGGCCACAAACGCATGAGGCGCACCACTGGGGTAGAGATGGTATTCTTCGCAACCCTGTGTCATCACCAAAGTAGCTGTATTCGGATCAACTTTTATTTTAAACTTGGCACTTCGGTCTTCATATAACCCAGTGTAGGACTCAATGGAGAAGGTCGGATTTCTGGTCTTATTGATACGATGATCTGGATGTACGTTAAAAGGTCCACAATATGCGCCATGTTTTTCGGGAAGTGTGAAATCGCAAGCGTAACTGATATCATAGACGGGGGTGTTCCCACGGAGGACGTCAGCGATGTAAAACTGGATCAATGTAATTGTTGCGTGTGAATCGATTCCACGAGGTCCATTCATCGAAGTGTAGATGCCTAGATTCCATTGCTTGAACATTGTTAACAAACTATCATGATAACTATAGCCGCCATGCTGTATGAAGTCATTCTCTGAAATGCATCATTACAAAAATATTCGCATCCTGGGTATTTGTAATTTTATGGAAGGAACAGTATATATACAATCATCCTTTAAAGTTCAAGGAAATTTCATTTTTGTCATCGACGAAACAACGACTACCGATGGTAAAAAGGATGCAGATACAAATGCCCAAGAACTGATGAGTTAATTACATCCAAACACCCAGACATTAAGCAACGGAATCTGAATTTCAAATAATGAAAAGAGACAAACGACACATGATTATATGTGACAACGGACTATGGTGGATGTATTGCAATGGAACGTAGAAAAATGACAACGTGTACTAGACACATTAACTGTTGTCTTTTGAAATTCCGTTGTCATCCTGATTTTACAGCAAATTTGACCCACATTTACCATTGTCATTTATACGGTATCCGTTGTTTTGTGTCTGATTGGAACAATCAAAGGCTTTATTTTGATGGAATAACACATTTAACTATACGATGAGTAGAAAGACATTTTGCCACTTTGATTGTCGTACCAAAGGAATTTAATCTAGGTGCTCTATTAAACATGCAGTTAATGAAAATCGAATCGAATGCAAACCTTTGGCCACCATTTGTGACAACGGTATCTGACTTTACGATCAAAAATAGTCATACTAAGTTTGCTCCATGCACTCACCTCTGAAATTCCCACTCCAAAATCCCATCCCATAGTCATAGACTCTCCACGTTTCATCAATATTATCTAGGCCATCAATCTCAAGGAACGATGTGAAAAAATTTAAGGCTTGGTTTGGGTGGTACATTTCTCTTATTATCCCACCATCCACAACTGGATTTAAGGATCCGTCATTCCTATATGCCCCAAGGTGGAACGCCATATACTTCGCCATGTCTTCTGCAGTAGTCAATACCCCACTTGCTGCCGCTCTTAACGTTTCTCTAAAAACATGACATTATTACAAGGCATTAAAATACACGCTGAAACGGTAACATAAGTATTCACAATTTGCGACATACGCCGAACGCCGACGCTGGTCACAAAAATGAAGGCGATTGCGATATGTTACAATTTTTGCTAGTGATGGTGACATAAAAATTGTTATTTTGAAAACGTATGTTTAATATTTTGATTACCAAAGTATCGAAACAACAATATCAAATACAAATATACTCAAACATGCTTACGTGATTTCACCTTTCTTTCCAGGTATTCTGAAACTCACAAGCTCCCCGTTTGTTAAACTATAACCATAAGCCCATTTGCCTATGGACTCATTGAACCTTTGCGCGATGGAGGGCAGTGTCGAGTTCATCTGCAATGGGGTTAATATTCGATCTTGCATCAACTCGGAAAACGTTTGGTTCGTCAGATGTTCAAGTATCGCACCAGCAATGTAATAATTTTTGTCGACATAACAAAAACTCTCTCGCATACTCATCACTGGATCTTGACACTGTACCACGCTAAATCAAAATGACTTTAACATCTACATTTGTATACAACAAGGCATTAACATGGCAAAATGTCATCACCAGTTATTGGAAGTTGTAAGAAGACGCCGAACCCCGAACACCGTCAATAAAAAAGTTTAAGACTATGACAATATGTCATCTTTTCTGGTGGTGACATAAGTAATAAACTTCAAGTCTTTGAGACTGTGTATGTAATGTTGGAGCTGGAAAAGAGAAAGCACAGAATTCCATGAGACAACAATTCCTTTTCAGATACTGTCGCTCTGAAACATTGTACGTTTGTGAAAATAATCATTAATCTTAATTTATATTCATAAGACATAGTTACTACTTTAAGTTCGCCTTAAAATATGTCAAGTTCACATTGTATTTAAATGCCTGGCGTCCCTAGCATAAACAGTACCTCTCTGAAGGTGAGGTTGGACGGTGGTTTGGGCATCCTAATACTACTATAGCTGCTGAACAACAGTAAAACCCGATCTTGAAGGATGGGCCGATGGGTTTTCGGCTGCTTTTCTGATATTGTGTTTTGACTTACTCTAAGAATTGTGCTTTTGAATCGTAAGGAGCATCCAAGCCCTCGGGAATTCCAGTTACGTGACCCAGTAGGTCTTTCAACTTTAACCCTTTGTTCCTTTCTTCATCTCGAAATCGGAAGTTCGGCAACAGATCTGTGATCAACGAATCCCATGTTATTCTGAAATATATACGAATATTAAAGGTTCAATTTTAAACAGATTTTTTCTGTTAATTAATCGGTTAAACGATTGTTTTTTACCTAAATGCACCTACATAACATATTAAAATGTTGCTACAGTTGTGACGGACAACGACACCAAACCGATCAGAAAATGTGACCATAACAATATATCACCACTTCTTGGTGGTGGGGAGGCATAGAAAAAACGTTTTGATATGAGCCAATACATAAAAAACACAATTCGTGACAGAAACATTTTGCTTTTTTAACAAAATCTTACTCCGTTTCTTCTATCACAGTTGCAAACAATGTCACAACGAATGACTTTGAGATGGAAGATATTCCATGTATTGTGGCCCCATCGTCAGGCACTTCGTTCTCCAGGTCCGCGTAGCCATATCCAGTTGTGTACAAAGGTGTACCATCCTGCACAATCGCAAGATTCATCCCAACTTTTCCTCTGCATTGAATGATCTCTTCCACGAATGTGTCTATATCTTCTTTCTTTTGTGGGTCAATCTGCGCCTGGGCGATTCCCAGTAGCATAACTATGAGTAAAATCGGCATCACCCTTTTATGATTTACACAAATAGACTCCAATTTGTAGCTTACGACCTGAACAACAAAGTGAATGCGACAGGCTGGATGCGTTTACATGTATGTTACCAACGTTACGAATGCAGATCGACCAGAGAACCCTGTTTACCCTACTTACATATGAAAACAGTGCAATCATTCAATGCATTGTATTCATTTCTTCATCCAGATCTCTTATGCTCAATCTACATATAATGGTTTTGCTTTTAAAAAACGGACACTCAAAATGCAGAATGCTGTAAAATTAAAGATTTTAGATATTACATGCTCGAAAACGTAGCATTTTTAGGAGATATTAGGGGTGATGGGGGTTCGCCCCCCGATCCCCCGCCCCCTGGCTACAGGCCCGTATTATAATGTATGCGTGTTTTACATATTGAAGTTCAGGTACATTTAACATTTTAAGCAAAATAAAAAACACTTAAATAGTTAAAGCTCGATGGCGCCACCTGGGACAGACGGGCCACATAGAACACCAGAGGGTGCAGTGAGGAAGTTTTCACCACACTTTATAAGACACTGGTGATCCCTCACTTTGAAACTGGTATAAGTGCTATTGCTACAGCCACAGACAAAGCAGCAAAAGCTTACTCTTCAGTCCAACGTGCTGCTCTCCTAAAAACAACAGGATGTTTATCAACAGTGAGCACAGAATCACTGGAGGTGATGGCTGGAGTACTTCCCATAGACATACACCTGAGAGCCAGACAAGCTCAAGAGGCTGTCAGAATATTATCTCATAATATAACTGACCCTATTACTGAAGAATACCATCATTGGGCAGAATCTGGAAAACAAGAAAGAAAGCCTACCTGTTTTAACATCTTAGCAGCTAGACTCAGATTGCATAACTGTCCAACCAAACCAACCAACTACGTCAAACACAGCTACTACCAAGCAGATGCAGAGACCTTTTTACCAGCTGATGCCATCGTGCATACCGAGGATTTCAGCAGATCTAAATCCGAGCAATCTCATCGCATCAACAACTTGCTGAATGATCTTGATGGCTCGGAGACTGTTATCTTCACAGACGGATCCGCTGAGGGCAACCCAGGACCAAATGGTGCTTCAGCCATTATTTACATCAGTGGCTTAAAGAGCAATCCGGTATGCCTGGAGGAACCAGTAGCCAGTCAGGGCAACAACTATACTGGAGAGGTCACTGCACTCAAGCTGGCTGTGGAATTCATTATCAAAACAAGGACGTCAGATAAAGTTATCATACAATCTGACTGCCAACCAGCTATAACAACTGCCTTTCTGAACACTAAACTCAAAAATATGATGCCCGAAATTTTTAGCATAAGAAAAGCTTGCAAATCACTTTCCATGCTAAAGAAAAACTTAGAAATCTTCTGGGTACCTGGGCATCTAGGAATTGAGGGCAATGAGGTAGCTGATAAGATAGCCAAAAAAGCTGCTAAAACAGCCACAACCCTCCCACCCCCAAAAACAACAAAAACAATGGCTTACAAATCAATTAAAAATAAGTCTATTGATATATGGCAAACTAGGTATAGCTACTCTGATAAAGTCAACTTGATTCAAAACCTTATCCCACAAGTAAAAGTACAATCACAATCAGTAAAGTTGGGTAAAAGATACAGTCAGACAAAAGTCAGTCAAATTATATCTGGGCACACCCGTCTCAATGGCCACTACTACAAAATCAACCCTGATCTCCCCTCTCCTAACTGTGAACACTGTAATTCACCAGAAACTTTGCATCATTTCTTGTTTCAGTGCAGCAAATACAGTACACAAAGGGAGGTTATGCTAGCAGCTATAGACACTGTACTACTAGGAGCCAACCACAACCCAACCATAGACTTACAAACCATCACAGGTCTTAACAAGAACTTAGACCAGCAAATCAACATAAAAATAGTAGAACGACTACAACAGTTCATACTATCTTCTATTAGAATTTAACTACAGTACGTAAAACAACACTGAGATAGTGACTCTTAAACAAAAGTTTTTTAATATAACTGAGAAATTGACTCTTTTAGATGAAGAAAACGAATGTAAAATGCGCACTCTCAAAAAGTAAATCAAAACAAGTATTAGTGAAAAGCACAAGTGATAACATAGTACAAAGTGAAACCAATGTATCTAGTGACCAAAGGCAGCATTAAAGTGCCATCGTGTTAAGTACACTAACACGTAAATTGGATAAAGAAGAAGAAGAATCATTAACATTATAAGTTATTTCATGGCCGGTTAAGTAAATAAAAATCCAAACGTAAAGAGGCTTTAACACGTAGTTCAATGGGGAAAAAAGGTTGCCAAACTTATGGAGGGGAGTGTACATGTATATTACTCGAGTCTCTAGCCAATACGATACAGTGGCCTTAGAAGAAGGTAACATGTATACACCACGCATTCAACCAACTCAGTACACTAGGGGACTTTTAAAACATTTTAACGTATTCCTGGGCCTCAGCCCTCCCCCTTCTGACGCCAATGTGATGGCTTAATTTCAGTTGGAGTTATGATTCGGGGATAGTTGGGATTTGTTTTCCATGTGACTGGTGTACTCCTTTCTGTAATAAGTTTTGTCCCTTCCCCTTTTTCACCTAAGCATAAATAGTATTTAATATTCTTAGATTTGTAATTGTTAGAGGAGAGGCAGTGTCGATGATTGATTGGCATTCAAAATTAATTGTCGTAAAATACTTTAGTAGATCAAAGTATTCATTTTCGATACATGCCGAAATCTATTATCGCCCACTAAGAAATACTTTCAAAAATTTCAAGAGTTTTAGTTGACGTATTCGCAGAAAAGAAAGGGTCTGTGTTCATAATGAATGTTCGAAATGCAAGGGTAAGTAATTACTGACATGTTTTATATGAAGGGAGATATAAAATATTATTTCTTGTTATAGATTCCGACCTGATTTCATTATCCGTTTCAATGTTTTATTTTCGTCAACGAACTCCCTAGTCCAACAACATTAGACCTAGCCTGGGCCTCGTTTCTTATCTGACATGTCTTATGGCCCCGGCTAGGTCTAACCTCCATGACCATTTTGCCCTTGATGCGTTAATTTAATCGTTCTGCAGGTTCCAATAAGCGGAACTAATTAAGGTACAGCTGGAAAGTAACATTTTGGTAAAAAATTGCTATACCTGCACATGTTATTTTCTGGTACAAAATAAAGTATGAAGGCATGTGTCAATTTCCTTGCTTTTTTCAGGAAAGTATCATTACATTGTCTTCTTTTAGAATATCTAGTAGGGGTTCAATGGAAACTCCAGGAAATTCTGATATTTCACACTTTCTATTTTTCCAAATTTTCTTTCCAAATTTCCAGACAACACAGGAGCTACCATTGACCTGTTTCCAGATATTATAAAAGTAAACAGTGTAATGATACTTTGCTGAAAAAAGCAAGGAAATACACACATGACTTCATACTTAATTCTGTACCAGAAAATAACATGTGCAGGTATAGCAATTTTTTACCAAAATGTCACTTTCCAGCTGAACCTTAAACTCCGAAAACATTGCAATATTACATAAAGAATGTGATTCAAGCATGCATACATACCTTATAAATACATACACACCATCCCGTATCCCCCTTAGACCATATTGATGCATAATTACGAAAATATTGGAGACAGGTTTGGAATTTTACGAAAATATATCGGTCAGCTCCGGTAACATCGAAATTGCAAATCGTATCAGGAATTAACCGTCATTGCGACACTGCATCAACGAACAGTAGGTTTGCAATTAATAACTATTTTGTGTGTATACAAGTGCTATATAAATCAATCAAAGATACCTGCATGCTATCCTCAAAAATGGTTATTTTATCCCGAGTAATCGCGTGATAATTATCAATCTTTTTGACAACAATTTCGTTTCAATAGTTTAAATTTTAACCCGGGACGAACAGACACAACGACGGAAATGTCATTTTAGAGATTGGTAAGTTTAACCTCATTTTACTCGTATAAATGACCATTTAATACAATAATATTGTGTTGAATCGCTTGATGTTATGTGTTTTTATATTGTTGTCAAGTATCAGTTGCATGTTATCGCGGAAAAATGGTTTCGGTGGATCCAAAACTTGCATCAATGGAAAGAATAGTAAAGAGGTTAAACTCAATAACGGCCCCAAGAAAATTCTTAATAATAAATAACGCCGTTATTGAGTTTAACGACGTTGAACTACGAACTCCCGTGCAGTGATATATCACTGCGGCGGGCAGGTATCTCACCGTAAGCATGGTAACATTGTAATAAACAACTGACGTGATTGGTTCTAGTCCCATGCTCAGGTCGCGTGATTGTAAAATTTAGACAATTTCATTGGTTGAATTGCGCGTATTAACTAATAAACAACACGTGCGGTAAACTTTTATCAATACAACTTTTACTCAGAATTCCTTCCGCGGGGATTTCCTCTTATATTTCATTGATTTTGGAATATTTTGACAAAATAATTATTGGTGAACATAAAAGAACATATATTTTATAAGTTGTGTGAAAAACAAGTACATCTGTGAGAAAAAAGGGGACTATCTTCCCCAAATTTTGGGGATTCCATAATCTGCCCGCCGCAGTGTCTATACCGAGACACTGCATAGGAGTTTGTTTCGTCAACCTAAAAAACATCAAAGACCATGGTGCCGTGATATATGGAAAAATACATTCAAATAATACACGAATAACATTCGTATATTTAGGATTAATTAGCCCGATTCCATGTGCAGAAACCTCTGGCCTCTTGTCTCAAAAGTGACAAAACAGAAAGTCAGAAAAAATGAGTTCACTTCAACATTTGAATCATGATTTTTGGCACAGATCCGGAGCCAGATCCAGCCCCTATTGGTAGTAGGCTCAAAGGATTATGGGAAGAGACTCGAGCCAAAAATGCTACATCAAAAAAATGACCACCCAAAAATATGACCCTCGTACTGACCTTTAATTTTTCCATCTGTCAGACATTGATTGACCAATATTTACCCTGTTATCTCTTCTTTATGTATTAGTTTGAATGGTTGCATGATATCCATTATTGAAGCAGTAATTCAACTTTTTTCATCACATTTATTTCAAATTTTCAGAGCGTAAAGATAATGGAGCGCTTTGGTAATTTCCGGCAGTGTCCGATTTTGTTCGTCTCTCAAATTATGTCACATCGCAACAAACAGCCAATGAAAGTAAAGAATTGCGTAGCCTAACAAACCAATGTTATTGTTTCTACAGGAGTTTAAAGAAACGTCATTGGACTTCTCGGTAATCTCTGATGTGACATCATCCTGAGTGGCGTCACATTCTCAGAAAAGGCATTTGACTTTGGGAATAATCATTTGAACAACGGAGTTAGCTGAAGCGCTCCATTAAATATATGCTCGCTTATTTTATACTTTTATCAACAGACGCTTACTTCGATATGTGGCTTTAGTGATTGGAGTTGAAGCTAACAACAGTACGCATCATTTGAGGTATGACATGTGATATTTATTGAAAAACTGTCTCCAAAATCAAGGAAAAATAAATTTTCCGAAGATCGCATGTCTTTTTCTGGCAAAGGTCGGTGATATTTGGTCTTATTTTCTCACGAAAAGTTCCAAAACTCACAAGATCAAGACATTGGTTCTAATCTTTTGAACTGTTTATTTTGAATTATAATCGGTTATAATTTCTTAAAATAATGACATTTTGACGTTTTTATTGTTGAAAAATATAGAGTTTCAATCCTGAGAGCCAATCCTCCTTTAATTTTTTTTAACTAAGAATATAGACCGCTTCAAAATTCTATTGAGTATTTTGAATCTAAAAAATAAGCAAATCATAGCACATGCTATCTATTCACTGCTACCCACCTAGTTACACAGACGTATCGTCAGTGTATCATGGCGGAACTACTTCCGGGACTAGGTTTCGGTAAGATTTTTTTATTTCCCGATTTACACCTACTTCTAAGTCACATTGTGGATAATAATTTGGCCCGAAGTTAAGGAAGATAGTCTAGTTTGAGAATGTGTCGATGGTTTTAGGTTTTATATGTTAACGAAGACACAATTCACGTATTTAGTCCCTCGCTTTTGTTACACTGAGGAACGACCAATATCAGTGTAATATTGGCAATATTAATGCCGATCGTCAGTGTAACAAAAGCGAGGGACTAAATATGTGAAATGCGTCTTCGTTAACATACCAAACCTAATACCATAGACACATTATACATCTCAAAATTTGAATTGTGTACTATTATTACGTTTCATTTTCAGAATATTTTACGAAAGAGATTTGACACGTTCGCTCCTCCACAGTGTAGTATAAGATATTATAAATCTTGAATTCTTAACGTATTTGGAAACTGCTCCGTCACAGCGGACAAAAAATTTAAACATTATTTTTTATAAAACAAATCAAAAATACCCAATACATCAATATCTCATTAATACCTTCAGAGTTATGCTGAAAACATATGTAAATATTATCGTGTCACTATATTGTACCATTTAAAAGAAATAAAACAAAAGGTACATTTTGGAGTATGATACTCCGGCGCCGATTTCAATAGCTTTAACTCTTACCGTTGTTGGACTTCAAACAGAAGTTAAGGTTAACCGCAAATGATATATCCATTGCATGGAGAAGGTAATTTTCTTTGATATAGCGAAACATATGAGTAAAAAAATAAATTGCCTGGATTTCCTTGTGTTTCTATGCAAAATAACACGCTCCGTCACAGCGGACAAATTTTTCGATACCAGCCTGTGTAAGCATGATGAAATAGCTTTTATAGCCTTCTGAAAATGTGACTGAAAAATAGTTAAAAACTGTGCTTTCGGATAGGTTAGCAAACAGAAAATTTTGAATTTTTCAGAAAATGTACCCAACATATGGCTCCAAATAATACAAGCTTTGAAAATGTGAACATTTGGAATCATTGCCAGAAATAGAAAAATCAAAGAATACTGATTTGAAAAGTGATCTTAGCTTGGAGGAAATGTCAAATATAACTCGACGTTTTGATGATTTTGAAGTCATGTCTGCACTCCACGGTCAAAATCAACTTCTCTAGAGTAATTTGACATGACCTTCTAATTTAGCTCACTGACTTTTTATTGTTCCTCAAAATGTTACAAGCTTCAAATAAAAGCATTTTAAGGCTCTTTTCTTCCTCTATCATCATGGTCATATTTTCATTGGTTATGGGGGTGGGGGTGCGATCACACCAGCGAACACCCTCCTGGCTATGCCTATGACATTGTAAGACATAACAATTTACACTTCAGTGGTCGTTTTCAATTTTGAAGGAAGTTACATACATTTTTGTAAATTCAAAACAAATCTTACACGTTTTCTAATGATCTAATTATTATGTTATATTCGTATTTTTCGTTTTTTGGGTACCCGTTTTTTAGACCGGGTACCAAGTTTGAACCCAGCTTGGTGGATTTACTACCCGGCACCCGTTTTTTTCTACAAACTCAAATTAGGGTGAAGAGCAGAGAAATTTTATAAGGAATTTCAGTCACAAAAATAATGTGTGACAACTTACACTTCCTCCGAGTATAGTTTCCTTTTTATGACCACCATTTTTGTTTCTGACAATTTTTCAAATTTGGAGATGAGACACATGTATGGGCTGTTTTAGACAACAGAGGGGTCATTCATCAAGTTATCCCAAGCATGTCACAAGCCTGCAATGTAGCAAGGGCCCTTTTAGCGATTACATCCTACTCATCATTCTTGTGCGACCGTCATTGGTAGGAATCTGTGCGATGTCGCAGTGAAGGACAACTAAAATTGAGATAGTTTGATGGATGACCCCCCTGGATATTAGAAACCTTGGTACCTACAAGTACACATGTCAATTGTAGTCAATACTTGTAACGCTCTAATGTTTAAACATCCATTAATTTCCTACTCGAATATTCATTGTTTAATGTTTATTTGTACAATTTCAGCCTGAGGACCTGATGAACATGCAGCATTGCAACCTACTGTGTCTACCTGAGAACTATCAGATGAAATACTATTTCTACCATGGACTCTCTTGGCCACAGGTAACTAATATAAGCCGCATTTTAAAAAAAACTCCACATTTATGATGACACTTTTTTGACTATATGCATAACAAGTTGTCTTGAGTTCTTATTTTACATGGAACCTACTACATGTATATAACACCTCCAAAGTGGAACACTCTTTAGAGGTGTCAAAGGTGCTCCACAGGTTTAACTTTATTTGTCAAGTTTGTTTCTTATTTTGATTCCAGTTGTCATATGTAGCTGAGGATGAGAATGGAAAGATAGTCGGCTATGTACTTGCTAAAATGTAAGTTATATTGTGCTTGAACACTAAAAAATTATGCATAACTGCCCATAACTGCCCATAGCATTGTAAAGGTTTGTTGTATGTCAAATGTTGTTGTAAAATGAAATTTTAATGTCAGTAAGGAACACAACACATGAGCATTAACAACACTTAAGGATTGAACTGTCAATGACAGCAAAAATCCATCATTTCATAATTCATGATTTTCTTATTCTGAAAATGAGTTAGTATTAACTCAGTGTTTCATTTGAATTCTTACACCATGCAAAATGATGGAAAGAATTGTAAAATCCCTCAAAACATCAGACAATTTTTGTAAAATAGCCAGAGAAATTTGCCTGTTGTCTACTGCTAAAAACTGTAACTGCAGCTCATTTTAAAAATAGAAGTAGACTCATACATTTGATTATGTTATGTTGATTTTTTGTTGATTGCTGTACACAGGGAAGAAGACCCAGAGGATTCTGTGCAGCATGGTCATATTACATCATTGGTAAGTTCACTTCAAAATATATGTGATAAGAATGGACATTATACCATATGACATTTGGCTTATATGGTTGGCCTATTGTATCACCCATTTGTGTGTCCTTCTGTCTGTCCATCCTTCCATCCATCTACAATATTCAGACAAAAAAGCATTCATATGCCCATGTGCCCATGTTATAAAATGACGAAAGTCAAAAGAAGTTTTCTAAAGGTATACCAAATTATTGGTAAATTGGAATAACAGAATTGGTATGAAGAATCACTATGAATGAATGGTGTCATTTTTATGTCACCACAACAAATTTTGACATATTGTTATAATCTCCAAATTTTTGTGGTGGCAGTTGGTGTTCGAAGGACAGTGTTTGGTATTTGCCGTCTGTAACAATTGGGAGGTGGTACTCTAGCTTTTCTGCTAGAGACAATTATCCATCCAAGGATAAAAACCTATTGCTCACAAATCATGTCACATCATGTGGACCATATGTTATTATAGCACAAACAAGCTTGTAATTGTATGATTGGCTAAAATTGTCTGGGTCTATGGGGAAATGATTGTCTTCAATTGGTTTAAAGGAATTATTTTTCAAATGAATACATACTCATTTTTTAAATTTCCACACACTTCCATCAACTGAGATTGAGAAATCACTTCACTTTTTAAAACTGAGATGTTTGAATTCAGCTACTATTTTTGACTGGTGTTGATTGTCAGTGTTTGGTCAGCATTTGTTACACTGTTCCAGGTGATGTCATTTTGTCATATTAATGCCTTCCTAACATTTGTTGTAGGCTGTGAAGAGATCACACAGGAGGTTGGGTCTGGCCCAGAAGTTGATGGATCAGGCTAGTCGTGCCATGGTAGAGAGCTTCCAGGCTAAATATGTCTCTCTCCATGTGAGGAAGAGCAATAGAGCTGCCCTTCATCTATACACACAGTCATTAAAATTCCAGTAGGTTGTCTCTTTTATTATGAATATCACCATGATGTATACTAAATTGTTTTTAAAGGATTTAGAGGTTTTCATGCTCCCTCAGAGCTTCTAACTAGCTCTGGTTAATATTTTTAAGCTGGGTTTCAGCAAAGTATATTTGTATTATAGTCAATATTATAGTCAATATTATATTATATTGATTATCAATATTATGTAAATTAAGTAGCCATGACCTTTTGATTCTCTTGGTGAGTTTGGGACCTGGGATTGATTAATGGAAACTTTGTCAAAGATTAGAATTCTAATGGTTGCTTTAGTATGTAGATGAGCTTGTATACATCTGTAAAATTATTAGACTCCAGATTGAAAATCTGGAGTCTATTGCTTTTGCCTGTTTTCTTCTTATTCTTATTAGACTCCAGATGTCAATCTGGAGTCTATTGTTTTTGCCAGTATTCTTCTTCTTTATTCTTATTCTTATTAGACTCCAGATGTCAATCTGGAGTCTATTGTTTTCGTCAGTATTCTTTATTATTCTTTATTATTATTATTCTTTATTATTCTTTCCCAGTTTTCTCGATAACCATAAGGCTTCCAATAAAGATCATTATTCAGTCAATTTATGTCCAGTATCTAGTTCCTCGGAAATTGGGTCAAATTTTTATCTAGGTCAAAGGTCAAGAACTAGGTCAAATTCAGTACTTTGTCACTTTTTTCGATTTTCTCGGTCGTCCTTCAATATTTTCGATCCGGGTTTTTTTCATTGTGCTCCTTATAAAAAAGTAGAAAACCTAGGGTCGATTTAGTTTTTTGATATCTCAAACCGATTTCGAGATATCAGTGTCCGAAAACGAGGTCCAAAAAAAAGTTCTTCGAATCAAATGTCCAGGATATTAGTCTTATAGGAAATTTTCTCAGGATTCCGAATCTGAAAACGAAATTTGGATCTGACTTCCAGTTCGGAAGTTATGGCGTTTTGAAAACTCAAAAATCGCTAAATTTGGTGCCCATGTTAAGTCAATGGGAAAAAATATTTTTTTGAAGTGAAAAATACGGAATATAGACTGAGTTCAGCTTCATATAATCAAAGCCTTTAAAAGAAGGGGACCTCAAAAGCCATCTAGCTTCACAATTTGGACACCGAAATGCCTAGGTCAAAATCTAGGTCAAATTCATAGGTTTTCCTTATTTTTTCGATTCTGACACTACACTTTAATTATATTCTTCGAAATTGTGTATACATGTAGCCAAGAATATGCTAATAGTGTTAGCCTTTTGCCGTCAGAAAGTATTTTGACCCACTTTTGAGATATGGTGTCCGAAAAGTAGGTCAAAATAAAAAGTTCTCCAAATTGAATATATGAGTTATGAATTAAGGGTAGAATTTTGTCAGGAATCCGAATCTGCAAACCAAATATCGATCCGATATCCGGTTCGGAAGTTATAGCGTGTCCGAAAAGTGGGTCAAAATAAAAATTCGCCAAATTTAACGTATGAGTTATGAACTAGGGGTAGAATTTTGTCAGGAATCCGAATCTGCAAACCAAATTTCGATCCGACTTCCGGTTCGGAAGTGATAGCGTTTTGAAATTTCGAGAAAAATCGATCTGATGGTATCCTGATAGAAAGTCAAGAGTAGAGAAGAAAATATTGAAAAATTCATCCATCCTCCTATCTCATCCTACCCTATCCTTCCTATCTATCCTTCCTTCATATCTTTTCCTTCCTATCCTTCCTATCCTATCCTATCCTATCCTTTCTTCCTATTCTATTCTATCCTATCCTTCTTTCTTATTCTATCCTATCGTTCTTTCCTATTCTATCCTACCTTCCTATTTTATTTATCCATCTCTTTCTAGATGACTCAGCTTATTCTGGATGACTCGGCTTATTCTGGATGACTCGGCTAAAAAAAGTCTAGATCTGGAGTCTGAAATTGAACTTCGTTCAATTTCCAAAATCTAGTTATTCTTCTACCTACGTTTTCTCAGTAACTAGAAGACATTGAGTCAAGATCTGTATATGGTCAATTTAGGTCCAGTATCTAGTTTCTCGGAAATTGGGTCAATTTTTTATCTAGGTCAAAGGTCAAGAACTAGGTCAAATCTTACATTTTCCATATTCTATCAATTATCTTCTTCATTATTTATCGAAACATCTTTGTCTTTTTTTCATCATGTAGCTAAGAAACAGCCCTTTCATAAGTGTGCCATCCGTTTTTTGATTGCTCTTACCGATTTTGAGATATGGCGTCCAGAAAGTAGGTCACTACAAAACGTGCTCCAAATTCAATGTTTGAGTTATGAATTAGGTGTAGAATTTTGTCAGGAATCCGAATCTGCAAACCAAATATCGATCCGACTTCTGGTGTGGAAGTTATGGCGTTTTGAAAACTCAAAAATCGCTAAATTTGGTGCCCATGTTAAGTCAATGGGAAAAAAGATTTTTTTGAAGTGAAAAGTACGGAATATAGACTGAGTTCAGCTTCACATAATCAAAGCCTTTAAAGGGAATGCGAAGTTTTGTCCCTTAAACTTGATAATAAGTTAGAATAAAGATATATCTTTCAATTCAGCTTAGTTTTATTGTTCTATCATTATCCTTATAATTGTTATTGAGCCCCGGGTTTTGCATATGAACTGGACCACGGAGCTGCCATTTCAACCGTAAAGTGGTTCTTTACGACATTGTTATGACGTCATTGATGCCAGATTGATGCCTTGGCATTCAAAAAGTTTTGTGGCGCCATTTTTGAATCCAAAAATGAATGCCGAGTTGTTGCCATTCCAAAACCAAAGAAATCATTTCAAAGGAACTAAAAGAATACGTATATACCACCCATAATAAAGAACGATTTCAATAGAATATTAACGCCGGCATTTTCGGAATTGCTTTTTACCTATCTAGACATGGAATGCAGGTTAGATTTATTCTTTATTTACACTTGAAACAATCTGGGATTCGTGACTTTTTAACTTTTATTAGGTCTAGCGCTAAATGCGAACAGAGAATGCTAATTCTATGAGGCGAATGCAAACTATTTGAATAAAACATGATAAAATTAATTCAACCAACCCATCTTGAATTTCCAAGAATGCAATGGTTCAATTTGCTAGTCTCATTACAAAAATACGTGTTCGTACTTTAATATTCATTGCATTTATGTTTATCTTTAACACAGATATTCAAAGAAATTAAAATTTTAAAATTAAATTTTAAAACCGTATTCATTTACTATCATGGATTCTTAGCCTCACGTAACATTTTTGGATTTCTACGGTTGCCTAAGTATTTCTGGCAGTCAGATAAATTAGCAGTCACATTTGCTAAGATAGCCGTACAGCGTATCTTGATTATGAGGAAAAACTACGATTCCCGTACGGCTGATAAATGATGACGCCCGATCAGTGTAGGGTGGCCCTACGACGTGCATAGTTTTTCTTCAATTGTAACCTATAAAATCCAAGCGCAGCCGCAAGTCGACCGTGAACCCGACGTACGGCCGTCGTGAGACCTACGGTTTGGCTGCTGCTTGTTGATATCTATGGTGACCAAAGGAAAGAAAAAGTTATAACTCCGACTCTACGCCTTGTAAAAATTGGATATGTCGTGTACGTAGACAGCAAGGTGACCTAAGTCGACTGTAGTTTTCCTATGTTTTTTTTACTGATTTTAGGGAAATACGATCGACGTGTGGTCGCATTGAACAAATGTGACTGAAGCTTTTAAAGTTCCACTTATTTTCCGATATAGAAAAACAAAAGGTTGTATGCCACTAAATTGAAAATCATTATTCCGAAAATACTATAGAACTGTACTTACCACGGATGTTATATAATTAAATTCGAGCTCGAAATCAGGAATTGTTTTTAAAAATAAATATATAATAAAATAAATATTAAACTATTGGCGTACTATCAATACGGCAATTCCCTTATCGTCGTTGAATTGAAATATCATACTACAATCGACCCCGTCGTCTCCCCACATCACTGAATGTTATGAGCCTTCTCTTGTCATGATCCAAGGTGAAATACCATTGAATTTTGAAAAGCTTTTTTTGTCATATTGAATGTCGCTACGGTGATATGATGATTGAAATTGTTCGTTTAACAACTGAGAAAAATTAAACATTACGTATTATTCTTTGAAAATATGACAGTGGCATGTCCTTGTAAAGCAATTGCCAATCTTAATATTTAGGAGATTGACATTAACATACGTATCATTTAGACGACATCGATTTTTCGTTTTTCTGTTTGCGTTTTTCATCAGCATTTAAATGGCTAAACACTTTAGGGAGTTACTGTTTCATTGGATTACTACTTTTTGTTTTATTTCTTTCATTCTCCAATATGCATCTATTCATATTTGAATAGAATACTACAGATTGAAGAAATCTACCATTTATGATTAGGTAAGAAAGCAATTGCGGCAGTATGCCTATTTGCCGACGTAAACCTTAAGGTTGATAATGATGTGCCGTAAATGCATTAATGAACATTAGCATAGATTTTTATATTTTAAATGGTATGTAGTGTATTTACATAAATATGGTAAATGCAACTATTTGTTGGATGCGTTCAGCTGATGATATAACTTACTTATTTTCACCATAAATACGCCAACACATTAGCCACATTAATCTTAGTTAAATAAATCCCCATTGATGCACAGTAATGCATTTATGTGTAAATGCCATTTTGTATATTTTAATGCATTTACCTCATTTATTGGTTAAATATACAAGAAAGCATTTAAGGATTCGAACAGATTTATCCTTTTTGACCCAGTGTTATCATTATATAAAATAATTCTAGTGGAATATAATGCGATGACTTCCGAATCGCGCAGCCGATATCTCATAAGTTTAGTGATTTTTCTACCTAGCCTATAAACTTACTATATCACATTGGAGAAAATAAATACAAACATTTGAAAAAAGACATTGCAACAATTCAATTTCTATGAAGAATATACTGAAACAACTTTTTCAAATATATGATATGATATGGACATGAACATGCGGCAACAATGTTAAGCGGACAGAAATAGTTATAAAATATCAGTGAAATGTGTTCTATTTCTGCGATCCGAGTATGACGTGATTATATAGCGACATTTCCGAGGCATCAATTTTAAGGCATCAATGACGTCATTGATACATAACAATGGCGGCATCCGCCGCGATCCAGATATGGGTACTTTGAACTTGAATTATATGTTAGTTCAAACACGATATGTCCCATGAGTGAGCTGAAGTGATAGATGATGGTTATAAGTAGCCAGCGTGTAAATTAGAACATGAAACTTCGCATTCCCTTTAAGAGAAGGGGATCTCAAAAGCCATCTAGCTTCAAAATTTGGACACCAAAATGCCTAGGTCAAAATCTAGGTTAAATTCATAGGTTTTCCTTATTTTTTCGATTCTGACACTACACTTTAATTATATTCTTCGAAATTGTGTATACATGTAGCCAAGAATATGCTAATAGTGTTAGCCTTTTGCCGTCAGAAAGTATTTTGACCCACTTTTGAGATATGGTGTCCGAAAAGTAGGTCAAAATAAAAAGTTCTCCAAATTTAACATTTGAGTTATGAATTAAGGGAAGAATTTTCTCAGAAATCCGAATCTGCAAACCAAATTTCGATCCGACTTCCGGTTCCAAAGTTATGGCGTCTCCAAAAAGTAGGTCAAAATAAAAATTCGCCAAATTTAGCGTATGAGTTATGAATTAGGGGTAGAATTTTGTCAGGAATCCGAATCTTTAAATCAAATTTCGATCCGACTTCCGGTTCGGAAGTTATGGCGTTTTGAAATTTCAGAAAATTGATCTGATGGTATCCTGATAGAAAGTCAAGAGTAGAGAAGAAAATATTGAAAAATTCATCCATCCATCCTTCCTATCTGATCCTATCCTTCCTATCTATCCTTCCTTCGTATCCTTTCCTTCCTATCCTTCCTATCCTCTCCTATCATATCCTTTCTTCCTATTCTGTTCTATCCTATCCTTCTTTCTTATTCTATCCTATCGTTCCTTCCCATTCTATCCTATCCTACCTTCCTATTTTATCCATCCATCTTATTCTGGATGGCTCAGCTTATTCTGGATGACTCGGCTTATTTTAGATGACTGGGCTTAAAAAAGTCTAGATCTGGAGTCTGAAATTGAACTTCGTTCAATTTCCAAAGTCTAGTTATTATTATTCTTCCTCTACCCACTATTTCTCGCTAACTAGAAGAGCTTACTTTAATCTGCCTACATGGCTAACAATGCTCAGTAACCTAGTTTCTCGGAAATTAGGTCAAATTTTTATCTAGGTCAAAGGTCAAGAACTAGGTCACGTCCTACATTCTAAACATTCTGACATTTATCTTCCTACATCTTTCATCTAACTCCATCATCTTACTTTCATCATATATCTTAGAAAAAGATCTTTCATAAGTGTGCTATCAGATTTTTGATTACTCTTACCGATTTTGAGATATGGCGTCCGGAAAGTAGGTCAGAACAAAAAGTTCTCCAAATTCAACATGTGAGTTATGAAATAAGTGTAGAATGATCTCAGGAATCCGAATCTGCAAATCTGCAGATCGGACTTCCGGTTCGGAAGTTATGGCGTTTTGAAAGCTCAAAAATCGCTAAATTTGGTGCCTATGTTAAGTCAATGGGAAAAAAAAGACTTTTTTGAAGTGTAAAATACAAGACATAGACTGAGTACAGCTTAACATAATGAATGCTGATAAAAGAAGGGGACCTCAAAAGCTACATAGCTTCAAAATTTGGACACCAAAATGCCTAGGTCAAAATCTAGGTCAAACTCATAGTTTTTCCTTATTTTTACGATTCTGACACTACACTTCAATAATTTACTTCAAAATTTTGTATACAGGTAGCAAAGAGTGTGCTAATAGTGTTAGCCTTTTGCCGTCAGAGAGTATTTTGACCCACTTTTGAGATATGGTGTCCGAAAAGTAGGTCAAAATAAAAAGTTCTCCAAATTTAACATATGAGCTATGAATTAATGGTAGAATTTTCCCAGGAATCCGAGTCTGCAAACCAAATTTCAATCCGACTTTCGGTTCGGAAGTTATGGCGTTTTGAAAGCTCAAAAATCGCTAAATTTGGTGCTCCATGTTATGTCAATTAGAAAAAAGATTTTTTTTAAGTGTAAAATACCAGATATAAACTGAGTACAGCTTAACATTCTGAAAGCCTATAAAAGAAGGGGACCTCGAAGGCTATCTAGCTTTAAAATTTGGACACTAAAATGCCTAGGTCAAAATCTAGGTCAAATTCATAGTTTTTTCTTATTTTTGCGATTCTGACATTACACTTTAATGATTTGCTTCGAAATTTTGTATACAGGTAGCAAAGAGTGTGCTTATAGTGTTAGCCTTCTGCCGTCAGAAAATATTTTGACCCACTTTTGAGATATGGTGTCTGAAAAGTAGGTCAAAATAAAAAGTTCTCCAAATCTTACGTATGAGTTATGAATTAAGGGTAGAATTTTCTCAGGAATCAGAATCTTTAAACCAAATTTCGATCCAACTTCTGATTAGATAGTTAAAGCGGTTTGAAGTCTCGAAAAGTCGATATGATGATATCCCCATGTTAAGCCAATGGAGTCAAAGATAACATTCTTAAGAGTTGTCTAAATGTCTATATTCTAGCTGACTCAGCTTATTCTGAATGGCTCAGCTTACAAGTATTTGGATGACTCAGCTTTTTCTTTTTTTTTTTTTTTATTATTAAGAAATATTTATTGCTTTATTGATGACTCAGCTTAAAAAAAGTCTGAAATCTGGAGTCTTAAATTGAACTTGTTCAATTTACATGTCTAGTTATTCCTTTGATTATAGAATTAGTGAAATAGAGCCTAAATACTATGCAGATGGTGAGGATGCTTATGCTATGAGACGAGATCTATCCAAGGAGTTCCCAAAGTCAGATGTAAGTATGACCATCTGGGTTTTTGATCATACAAACTGGTCTATGGCACTGTTGTTTGACTTCAGTGTAATAGATTGAAATACAAAATTCTCCATTCAAATATTTCAGTCATACTTTATGTTTAAACCATCTCAGAAAAAGTATCTCGTGGCACCATTGAAACATTATTTGTGAGATGATTTAACAAATGAAAACCAGGGTATTTCCTAAGCACCGGACCGTTGGACAAGACCGACCAATTATCGTACGGTCCTGTAAAAATTTTAAATTACCGGAGTGAGTGTCCCATGGCTTGAATGAACACTAGACATACCTTCCAAGTCAGGTCTGACAATTGGAAGCTGACTTTTCTGTAGTATAAGCTGACGGCAACTTTAGTTAATGCAAAAAAAAGTAAATAAATGCTTTAAACTTTGCAAATATATTTTGTTTTCTGAATGCGACAAGAGGTAAATTTCGGATCATTGTTTTATAAAATCGACAATCAGCGTGTCAAGCCATGCAAGTGGAATTCCCTATGATCTTTGACCTACTTTCATTCTATTTTTTATTCTGATTGATTTCGTAAACCTAGACACTTGTGGGTTCCCAGGGAAGCTCAAACTCTGCTTATAATCATATCTACGACCATAAAAATTTAATACTAGCCATAGTTTACTGGCTCAAAGACACCTAGTTATGAAGATTCTAATGAAATTTCATTTCCGATTTTCACTTCCAGTTTATCAGCAAGGATAATGTACACAATATAATTCAAATACTGGTGATTATCTGTCAATTTCACTTCATATGCACCTTCTCCGAGGTACATGTAGGTGACTTCATGTTCTTTTATTCTGTTTACATTTTGAGTAAAATAAATTAGCATTATCATGTTTATGTATATGTAAAGGATTCTTAATTGTTATGGGCTGAGATTTTTCTTCCAAAAATGTTTTCAACCAAACACAAAACTCCATCTAGTTTGTGGTTGGGATCTGCAACAAATGGCAGGTGGTGACATTTTTGCATGTTAATGCCTTGTTTGATTAAGTGATGATTTATATATACTCAAGGAAGTCAAGAAGTGACATTATGAGAAAGCCAATGATATTACTTTTTGTGTTTATTTATTTCCAGGAAAAGGCTATTACTCAATTAACAGAATCAGTTGTCAAGTCATGATACCCATACTTCTAAAATTGGAGCATACAGGAACTCAATATATAGAACAATAATGTTAGGGCAACGATTGATGAAAATGGAGAAATGGACATTACATCTTCAATCTCAATTGTTTCTGGCTTATGTAAAGTCAAAGAAAAAATGTTTTTCATAATCATGTCATGCTTTAGTACTTTTGAGTAGTTCAATCAGCTAATCCCCTGTGTTCCATTTCGTTCTTAATACATTGTCATGGAAACAATTGGCTTTCTCTAGAAGATACATGTAGAAACTGACTGAATTGTTACATGTCCATCTCATGGTTTCTGGCCAGATTCATGCCTGTGTATTTAAATCTAAGATTCCTTGGGATCTAACATTTCTATATCCATTACTAAGTGTATTCCAAATACTATGTACCTGTATAATAACTTAATGTGTATTTGTCAATAAATAACAGCACAGTATATAAAATAATGGCATTAGTTTTATTTTATTTATTTATCTGACCAGCAGTTAACACAATAGAAATATGTACTGTAATGTTATTAGTTACTACATACAGTTAAGGCATCGATTACGCTTATTCAACCTAAAACTCAGCAATATACAGTATATAAATAAATTAAAGAAAAGGCCCAGTCTTAGATGAAGCCCTTGTGCCCCCCCCCCTTTATATTAAGGCATTATGATTTATTTCATATAACCTGTAAAAGCAGCAGTATAATTTGCATTATGATTAGCAATTTTATTGATGTTCCATTCATGTAAAAAAATGTCCCTTTAATACCAGAAGCAGTTATTTAATGAACATGTAAAATTAATAAACATGTACATTTAATGTGAAAGGAAACAAGTACACAAATGAATGTACTGACTGCATTGGACAAAAAGACAATGCTTAATATATACGCTGGAATCTGAAGCATAAAACAAACATATTGGCTTTAATATCTGCTTCAAAATGATAACAATTACAGAAAATGATGTTTGATGGATCAGACTGGTGTCTCATCACCTATTTTACCAAATTCATAATTTGGCAAAATTACTGCATACAATACTAGCTTACCCGCCAGAATTAAACATAATATTGAGTAAAAAATTCCAATTTTTACATGTCAGAAACATTGGTACAAAAAGGTTTAAATCCGGTTTAAAAAAGGTTTCAATTAGATTCCTTAAAAACACTTAAAACAGCAATTATATTTGGAAAATTTTTTCTTAAATGGATGACTCGTGTAAGATGTAAATAGAAAATCTGTAAGCTGAATACACTAAAATTTGACAACTTTGATTCAAAAATGCTAATTCTGTCGGTTTTGTTACATGTATATATTGGTTTAAAAAAGCACTGAATATGTTTACGTTATCAAAAATATTAACATATTCTTAACACTTTAGATAGCTAATACTAAACTGATAGTTCTCATATATCTGTTATTGATATATGGTTTCATGTGTTACATTAATAACAACTGTTTGTAAGTTAAGCTCAGGCCCGTAGCCAGAATTTTCCAAGGGGGGGTTCGTTTTTCTAAAAATTCTAGGGGGGGTTCACTTTGGCAAAATTGGCCAAAAATCACTCAAAAATTAGTCAGAATGGTGAAAAACTGCATGATTTTGAAAGAAATTTTGGCCAGGGGGGGTTCACCCGAACCCCCCGAACCCCCCCTGGCTTAGGGCCTGTAAGCTTATGCGAAAAAGGGGTTTATATGAATGCATATTTTGGAGTTTTCTTGGTGAAATATATTGCACAATTATACACACAAATTGTGAAGTATCGCTTCAGATACAACAATAGGCAAATACGATGGCATTGAAGCAATATATGATGGAATTTTGCAAAATAATTTTCTAATAGTGTATTTACGTTCCATTTTTATGTTACGCAAATCGGGATCAAACAGAATTTTGATCCTTGTTTTACATTCATTTGTTCCTAACAAACAACTGTATGTGTATACAGAATGTGGTTGAGAAAATACATAGCAAGAACCCTTACAATTTGTAGAGCCAAGTATCCATTGTCTGTCTCTTATAATGTTTACAGGGAGGTTTCCACACTGGTCTCCCACAAATGTCTGGTTCTTGTTTCAACTTGGGTCTACAAACAAATGGCTGCTGCTAATATTTCCTCTGGTATGGATCCACTGTACCATACTGTACAAATCCTTCATCATTAACTGGCCAAGTTAAGAGATTGTTGTTATAGCCACTGTTAGATGGCGCCTTCTCTGTGATTGTCCTGAATAATGAGTTGGTTCCAACAGTACTCTCTGCCCCCGGCATGTGCAGTCTCAATTTGTCCAATAGATGGCCTGGCCAGAAGACATTTTCTTGGACTCTCCCATGAAGCTGCTGGTAGCGAATGGCAAGATGCCTGGAAAGAAACAAATGAAAAAAGACATTATGATGGGCTGTATCAAACATTTTGATTTTATATTACAACTATTGTTTCATGTACATGTAATTAGAACCTACACATACAAATACTTCATTCCAAGTGTAGCAGAACATAGTTATTAATTTATTTTGAGTAGGGGGTATATGATTTTTTGGTCATTATAATGTCAACTGAGTATTAAGCTTTTCATTCAGTGGTTAGAGGAAATTACAACTGCAATAAACACCAGTTTGATATCTTTGGGATAATTCTGCATCTAAAATGTCATGTTTAGTATTCATAAACGTTATCACATATTCAATAATTATGAAAAAATCATGCAAGCAGCAAATCAATATTTTCAAATTTTGTTATTGGGAGGAGGGACAGAAATATCACTGAATTAAAATTCTAAGTTAGCCAGTCAAAGAGACGGTAAACAAAGATTTTACAAGGCATGAACATGCAAAATGTCACCACCTGTCATTTGTTACAGACACTGAATACTGACTGCTAAATGCATCATCCACAAAAAATTGGAGATTATAACAATATGTCACCACTTCTGGTGGTGACATAATTAAAAGCTGGTTACAAGTTATATTATAGTCTATGTATCATGTTATTTCTGAGTTTGAAGTCCTCTCAAATTATTTTTGATTTGTGATGCATGAGTTGGGAAATGATTTTTGATTGAAAACACAAGATGTCAGGATGTGCACACATCAAAATTCCCAAAACTTGCTCAGTTGACAAAAATTTTACAAAATCAGTTTGAATTCTTACTTTGTGAGTCTATCATATTCCTCAAAGGTCATCCAGCAATCTGTCTTACGTCTTATGACAACCTTCCCATGGGGCAATGTCACCTTTGTACCATGGTTTGCTATAGAGTGTTGCTGAGGATATGCGTATCTCGTGTCCATTAATAGTTTACCCGTTTTGGATCGCTTGACTTTGTCTTTATGACGGATTTCTATTGGCGTTTTTGGCTTTTTAGGCGGGTCTGCAAACTTTGATGATAACAGCTCATCCCCTGGCTGCTTGATCCTCTTCTTCAGTTCTTTATGGGTCAACTCAGGGGGGTATAGTAGAACTATAGAGGTAAAAAATACAGATGATTTATGGAGAAGAATATGACCATGGAGAAAATTAAGTTCTAAAGTTCTCTGAAAAATATTTATTACAAGAGGAGCAGGTATTAAAAGGTAATGATAAAAAACATCTTTTTTAACACATGGTAGTGTAAATATGGAGCACTGTATTTGATACTCTGTTTTGAGTTTCATATCTGATTCTTTGTTTGTTGCTTTTTATATATCTATTTCACAAACCCTGATATCTAGTTTGTTCTTTCCAAACATACCATACTATTGTAAAGTATGATGGATTTCTCACCTTTTTGTAATAGTTGTTCACTCAGCTCAATATGGCTGTCCTGGCAGAGTTTTGTGATAGCGTGATATTCCTTAAGTTTCAGCTGTCTGAATTCATCAATGAGTGATGCGGTGTCCCCCTCTAATGTACTTGGCATGGAATGGTCATCAATCCCCTTGATACCAGTTTTGATAACCTTTGAAACCTCCTTTTTCTTCACAATTCGCTGAGCTTTTGGCTGCAAAAATATGTATTAAATGAAAAGTAATGCGTACTATATTAAGGATTAGAATTAATATGGAATAATTAGAATTAATATGGAATAAATAGAATTAGTATGGAATAAATTTCAAATTAAGATCGTCATTCAGCCTCAAAATAAGATTATGAATATATTACAAAGTTCCTGACTGAAGCAAAGTTATTTTCACAGTTTTTTTGTATACAACAACACTTTATATTTATATTCCAATATGATAAATTCCTTGATTTTCTAATATAAAAGTATCATGTAATGGCTAATATATAACCTCAGATTTTATCCTGCATTGTATGATAAATTTTATATCAGTTTTTATCCCATGGTTGCAAGAATATATTTCAATATCATGTGATCATATATTTGATGTGTGGATTAAGGTATCGTCTTTTAGCAAAAACAAAAAATCCCCATACCATCGACCATCGACTTTTCAATGTTCACTGGGTAATAATTTCACATGGGATAAACAGAAAATCCTATAAGTTTTGAAAAAATATCAATCATATTCACTCATGGATATCAATATGTTCACTCCTTCACTGCATTCACTCATGAAGATATTAATATCCACTCATGGATATAAATGATATTTTTTTCAAAACTATAGGATTTTCCTTTATTATTCCTTAAATATAATTAATAATAAATAAACACACATAATATATAAATATATATACATCTGTACACTACACTTTTATAATTTACTTTTTGTTGCAAATCATTTGAGACTTTGAGTTACCCATCTGATTACCTTTACCTTGTTACATGAGGCTTGAGGGGATTTTAAGCTGGCCCCACCAAACTGTAAAATGGACAGTTTTATATTAACAACTCTCATTTGGTTTTCATGCTGTTCAGCTTACTTGGGTTTTGCCTTATATAAGCTTTATACAGTATGATAAGCATTACTTCACACCCTGTATGTTACACATTCTACCAAGTTAATAACATTACACATTAACACACTTTGTTAGTAATTACACACAAATAAAAACACAATCAAGTATGTATATTGTAAGGGGTTATCTCATAAGTTTAACTCTGAATTCTACAATATAAACAGTATAATTGTTTTTATTTAAAAACTTATTCTTTAAAAACCCTGTAAAGTTGACACTAAATGGGGGAGGGGAGTCTTGTAACTATCAGAATGATTACATGTAGAATTTAGTGTTTGGAAACATTTGAGATAGCCCTTATTGCCAACAGAAAGTTGTCACACAAAAAATTCTCCAAAAAGTGTCACTCATTTACAAAGCACTACTAGTCACAAAGTCTAATACTCCGTTACAAAGTGTTACTCTGTCACAAACTGTTGCTATGTTGTTGGATGGAAGACATGGACAGTAGCAAAAAGTCACTCTGTCTTATATGTATACACTTAATAAAGCATCACTCTGACACACAAATTTTGATATATACCTCAAATGTTGAAGAACTATTAGGTCTTGAATCCTGGTTAGAAATATTCAAAATCATGACTTAAAATAAACACAACTTTCTAATGTAGTTCTGTTATGTGTTGAATACATGCTACAAAATAAGTAGCCATAATAAAATACAAGATTCTTTGTGTTGTTAAAATACAGGGTGTCCCAAAAGTGGCTATTTATTACTGTAAGAAGTAGTTTTAGATGGAGAATGCAAAATGTTGGAAGCAATCTTTTCAAAAAGCATACCAATGGTCATACATTTTTAAAACTATTGCCAAATAAGGTTACCTTAAAAATCAAAAGATCATTCTGAAATTAAATCAGAAGTTTAGCACTTTTTAGAAAATAGGCGAGACATCAAATGATGAAAGCAAAAAAAAAGAGTTAAATTGTGACAGTTTTTTAAAACTTATTTTCAACTCTTCTCTCCCTTCTTCTTCACTTAAATAGCATTTGGGACATCCTGTAGATTTGGTAATTTTAGGTTGAGACAGAACACATTGATTTCAATCAAAAGGAAGGTGATTACATGCAGTTGATGTTAGACACATATTGTCACCCATTTCTGTAACTAGGTGAGGATCAGCAATTATTTAAAACAAATCATTTTTAGAATCATTCTATGATTATGATCACTCTTGAACAACAATTAATTATTAGCACAAATATATATTATAATTAGATAATACATGCTGATTTTTACAAATTCATGCAAAAAGAAGAAAGAAACTTGGAACAAGATTAACATTGAACATATTTATAGCATAGTGCAAAATATTATAGAATGCAGTTTCACATGAAAATATTGTTTCAATCTAACAATTCTTACCACTTTCTTGCCCATCAACCTAGCTAAGGCAGCCTTGTCTCTCTTTCTTAGATCTAACATTGCCTCTTCTGATGATAAGACCATTTGTTCAGCTCTTGTATCAGGAGGGGGAGTGGACAGTAGGGATCGATCCAAACCAGACTTATCACTGATGGTGCTGAGCCCAGATTTTGGACGCACCTTATCAACACTCTTTGATATGTTGACTATGGTAGGAGGCTTTGAACCATTATGTCCACCTGAAATACATGTTATTTTGTGAATGGTCGAATGATATAGATGGTGATATGGAAAATATAGACACAACTCAGTTGGTATGTAGCCTTTAGTAATTAATACACTGCATATTGACAGGTCTATTGATTTACAATTCTTAATGACTCAAGACAATTTTCATTTGCAGATGATTTCTAATGCACTATACATGTTGCACTAGTGAATTTTAAAGCTAATATCTAAACTTTTAAAGTAAACATTAAAATGCCTAGTAATTCCGATCAAACATATGTTTCACATAAAAAAATAAATCAAATGTAACACAAGCTTGCCATAAACTATTTTACATGTAAACAAAATGCAAATATGCAATAAAGCTCACCACTGGCATTAGCAACCATATTTTTCTTCTTTGTTTCCTTCTTTTCTTTCTTCCATTGCTCCATTCCCATATTCAACTCTTTAAATTCAATTTCATCATCAAAATTATAATCCAGAGCAATGATGAGATCCTCCAGAAGCAGATCAGATATTGGTATTCCAACCTAAATAAAAAGATCATTTGTTGATGAGCAAAAAGAAAGAATAAATGTACATTTATCGATTTTGAACCATTTACACTCTTCGTACAGTATTGGTGTTCATGATATCCTAGTGATATAAATTATTTGTTCATCTTTTCATCATAAAGTTTATGGGCTACCCCTAAATACTCATTGCGGTTAAATGTCTTCATTTGATGATATCAATAATGTTTTGTGTCACAGCAAAATGTGTCAACAAATAAATCTAAAATCCTTGGACATGTTTTACTATTTTCATATATGAAAAAAGTGGTGGTGAAGGTTAAATGCCTACTGTGTCACTAAAAATGAAGTAAACAACTATTTAATATTCCTTTTTATTCTAAAGGTAATGTATATGAATATAATCCATAAATTATAATGAATTCAAATTCAAAAATGACCTTTGGTTTTGCATGGCACGGTTATGATTCTAGGGTGGAAGAAAACATGTAGTCAACTTACATTCCTGATCCCATTCCTAAATTCTTCTCGAGTGAGTTTTCCCCCACCATCCTTGTCCATACGTCGGAACAAATCATATAGTCTCATCTTTTTCTGATGCAAGAACTCTTCAATTATTTGAAGAGCTAATGGTGATGGCATATGAACAATTGGAAGTTCCTCAGTAATCTCAGGTTCTTTTCCTGTATCTTCTTCCTCCTTTGGAGTCTCTGGTTTTGGCAATCTTTCGGCAATCATTCTTCTAAGTACTCTTTTTTCTAATGCAGTTTTATTGGGTTTGTTGACTAGCCATTCTTCACGAAGTCCCATTTGATCAATATCTTTCCTGAACTTCTTTCTTTTGGTAATCCAGTCCTTGTAGTCATTAATCTCATCTTGACTAACTTTAGTATTGTCTGTGCTTGAGGTATTAGCAGATGTCATGGAAGTTGGAAATCTAGGTTGACGTACATCCAAGTCAGGATCATTGTCAATGAGTGGTTTAAATGATTCATCATCATCTACCTGCAATCTGGCAAACCTAACAGGTTTCTCCATAGGAGGAGCAATGATGACACGTTTTCGAGACTTAGGAGGACCAAAAATTTTAGCAGCAGTTTTATAAAAATGAGTTTTATGAAGATCTCGCTGCTGAAACTGATCAAGGCGTTTATCTTCAGGAATATGGTCCATATTGTCTACATCATACAATCGTTCTAGTCCCATCTCTGAATCTGGCCATGTATACCATGGTGGGTTAGTAGGAGGTGGCTTCCTCTTCTTCACCACAGGTTGTTGGATGGTAACTGTTCTGTGTCTTGAAGACACCCTACTTTTACTTGGCACGCTAAACTTGATCATTGTTGTTGGTTTAATTGCTTTCACTGCAGTTTCATATAATATTCATTCAGCACTTCTGATCTGAAAAAGATATACATGTATGTAGAGTAGAGGAAGGTCTTAGGCCTAAGCAAATCCAAAATTAATTTAAAATTTTTTTAAAAAATCATGAAAATCGATGGAATCGATTTTTTAATTATTATTTGAGCTGAATCTGACCATACTTTGGCGAGTTTTCATTTTGATCTAAAACAAATCATTACTTTCCACTATACATAAAAAGCAAATTGTGCTAAATCGTACATCAAACATGGAAATATATAAAAATAAACCTGAAATATTCTCACCAAATTTCGAAGTCAATCCGCCATCTTGGTTACTAATCACGTCGCTAGGGGAATTCCCTGGTATTTTCTCAAGTGACGTCACCCAAACCAAATTCTCTTGAATCACGTTTAGATATTTTTTGTCACGTTTTGTCGATATTCTTAGGATCTAGACAAGGTTGGAGACTGTTATTATTCACAAAGGACCACTTTAGAATAGAGCGAAGATGTGCTTTCCAGCTAAATGTGACAAATGTGGTAAAACCACTTGGCAAGGTAAGTGGTCTAGAAAAAACATTGACTCCTGAACTTCCAGAGCCATGTTAGATTTTGAAACTTATATCAAAATCACAGTCAGAGAGAATGTTTCTGGCGGAAATTCTGGATTTCAAACACTTTGCTGGTATAGATATAGTTCCAGGGCAGTTCGAAGAACTGCGTATTAGATGTCCGTGATCAAAATCCACATAACTTTCGCAGGAAGTAATCCACGGCTAATTCAAGTTTATTTTGCAGAATTGAGGCCTTATTCACAAAGCATCACAATTTTTAGCGATTGCAATATGCAGGTAAGTACCCTGTCGCTAAATATTTGCGATTTTATAGCAATTACTCAGATGCGAGTAGGTAGTTACCAGTTACGCCACCAGGTGGCTGATTCGGGGGAATTAACATGGCAGGGTATTACAAAATTACCTTAAAATTGAATATGCATCAGATTTAGTGGTTCACTTTTCATATTACCCTTATGTATCTGATAGTTATACAAATTAAAATATTTCCAGTAAAAGAAAATATTATCTGCCCAACACATGAAAAGATATTTCACTTTTTGTGGTTTTCCAACATGGGGTCTATGGGGAATCTCCCCGACCTCGAAGTCATATTTTCAAAGAAAATTAAATTTTCAAAGTTGATTAACTCTTTTCAAAACCACATTTCTGAATGTAATTTTACATGTAGATTCCAAATATGATATCAGTTTGACTGAATTGTGAATTTTTAAAGACGTAAATCAAGATTCTGTCTACTCGCATCTGGGATATTGCCACAGTTTATCCCGTTCCAGACTATAGTCCTGTACTGAGCGCATACATTTGCCTGTACGATTACAACTTGGGAGAATTATCTACACCCCTTCCACTTAAGAAACCTACCTTAATGCATTCTAGAACTCAAAATGTAACTTCTAATATATTGGAACCGCCGATTGTCTGGGTTAGTTGGCATAACGAGGTCTTTTTGTTTCTTATGGCTCTTTTGGTCGAAGCAAGGGAAAGATCAATACCCGGTGATTTCAGCGGGAAGTGGCATTTCGTTCGTTCAGTGGATGAGCTGCGCGCGCACGCATGAATGTGATTATCCAATATATTTAGGGGAGGGCTATTTGAAATAGTTTTTGGTCTCAGGCGCGACCCAGGGCTGTTGTCTTAAGGACATTTCGTTGAAAATGAGCCATTCGGCTGATAATTGGTAAGAGTTTGCGATCTTATAATGTATAACTGTTACTCAGACACATATTTTGACACGATTCTGTTGGAAATAAGCTTTGAACCGAGAGATATTCATGATTGATATGCACATTTTTGATTGTGCCATTGCTTTTCCATTGCACAATCCATGTATTGATAGAAGTAACATTAATAATGCAGATTGTTTACCTTCAATACATGGCAGACACTACTTATCGGTCTATTAAATACCAGTTTGTGCCTTAAATAGTTTTATATTTCCATCCACGGCCTGTGTTTGTCTCTTATGTGTATGCTTGTGTATGGACTTCTAATCACTAGCAGAATTTAACATGATGCAAACTCGACATTATAACTCATGCTGTAACATTTTGACTTCGCTGGAAAACAATACTGAGGAATTATTTTTCTCGCCAATCAATCATGAATCACAATCAAAATTTTAGAATGATCAATCAGGCAATGGTCCAAATCAAGTTATAACATTATATGATATTCAGCAAGAAGTCCGGTAGAAATACAGAATATTTAACATCAAAAGCTGAAAGTTAAAAGCTAATCTGTCAATTTTCTGTCTGCAAAAGAGCGTTTACATTTGACACAATAACAGACTGAGGCTTTGAAATCTAGGATTCCCCAGGAAAATATGACGTCATACTAATTAGCATAAGGATTTCCCTATTGGTCTGGGTCGAGCCTTGTTCGAAAACACAATCCATAAATACATGCTAATTTCTAAGGAGATAGGAAGTGTATAACGCGTTTATCGATTTTGTTTAAAGATTTAATCAATTATCAAATTGTTTAAGTGGATAAAGTGGTCACACTTGCTTCAATTCATAGCGTAATCGACGGATAGAAACTGACCGAATTCCCGATATCCTACCCCGTATTACTGTAGGCTATTAAGCACAGTGACCTACAGAGGGCGCTATCACAAACAAGTACTGCACGAACCGATAAATTCCCGGGTATTGTAACGCCCTTGGTCGAAGTTCGATTAAGATGGTGGTTATAACGGAATTCCCTGAACTTTTCCGTAATAGCACGAACTTGGTATTTCGTTACGTCACTTCCGTGTAAAATGGATTTGTTTCAGGTAAGAGGGAATTTCGAAAATTTCGGACAATATTTTCAATATTTACTGCTATGTCGACATCCTATGCTCTTAACTGTATACCAAATGGTTAAACAATGTTTCTTACTGGAAACGAATCCATTTAAACACGGAAGTGACGTAACGAAATACCAAGTTCGTGCTATTACAGAAAAGTTCGGGAAATTCCGTTATAACCGCCATCTTAATCGAACTTCGACCAAAGGAGCCATAAGAAACAAAAAGACCTCGTTCTGCCAACTAACCCAGACAATCGGCGGTTCCAATATATTAGAAGTTACATTTTGAGTTCTAGAATGCTTTGAGGTAGGTTTCTTAAGTGGAAGGGACGTAGATAATTCTCCCAAGTTGTAATCGTACAGGCAAATGTATGCGCTCAGTACAGGACTATAGTCTTGGAACGGGATAAGCCACAGTAAAATAGCGATATAGCAATTGCTAAATTTAAAACGTCATTTTGAATAGGAAAAATCACTAAATTTTGCTTTGCGATTACAATAGTGCCATAGCGAAATTGTGATGCTTTGTGAATAAGGCCTCAGGTTTGTATATTTCAGATAAATAAGTTAAGGCCTTGTTTTATATGCAGTAAACTAGTGGCTCTAGGGGTGTCTTAAATTTGGGGTTTTAGCCAACAAATATCAGCCTCAAAGCATCAAAAAATACTAGGGAACAGGGAATCAGGCCTGTGGCCAGGATGTCCAAAGTGGAGTTCTACTTTTTGCAAACCAATGAAATTGCACCATCCACGCTACCTAGTTCATTACAAAGAACATAATTTGGGAGTTTGGCAGGGAGTTTGGATTAGACTCTCAATGGTCTGAATCAATAAAATTCAATTTCTAATTCAGATACGAGAATTGGTAGCTAGAGTTTGGGTGTAATGGTCTTTTCATATTGCGATTTTAATGTGACATCATGCATGCATCATTGCAGAATACGAATGGGATGTCAGTTTAGGCAGAGATATAAATAAATGATTAATTAGGTCATGGTTTGAAATGATGAATATTCTACCAAAGGTCACCTGTGAGAAATATCTCTTTCCCCAGAAATTATCCACAGGTCATAGAATTATGCAGGCAAGAAATTGGATTTATGCAGCAAAAAATGATAGTGGGGAAAAATGTAAATTATGCAACCCTGTAATGGCAAAAATTCCCAAAAATCCACATTTGAAGGAAATAAAAAGACTGGACTTAAATCTCAAGGATTAAATAATGAGGTCTTTTGTTTACTTATTTTTTTTAGGTTTGATTGACAGACACACACAACCCATTTTTATGTTGAAATCCAACAAAATATGGTTTTATTGTTAGAAAATACAGATATAATGATAGGTAAAATACAAGTATAAAACAAACTCCATCAAAAGTTCTAATGAAAGATACTGCAAGCAGAGTGGGTCTTTTCAAAATTATCACTTTCATAAGGTCAGACTATATGTACATATATATAAATATTAGCGTAGAAAAGAAGCATATAAACAGCTATGCTTGTTTCTTGAATAGTAATAATAATGCCTTGGAATTAGGTCAAAATGTTTTTTTTACATACTGTTCATCAAATTTTTTGGTCAATATCATCTACTTTTTTCTTCGAAATAACAGAAACATATTTTTCACAAATTCAGTAATAGGCAATGTGTTATGATAGTGTAGATGTGCAGTTCAAAACCTCTATGGGGGGGGGGGGGGGCTCTATGCCTAGAAAAAAGAACTGTCATGTCAAGCATTTATAAGAGAATATAATATCCTGTCAGTAAGTTAGCTGAATTTCTGAATATGTTTTGAATATTTGTATATATTCTCTAAGTTTCTGAATATACTGTACAATAAACATATATGTCACATGACCATATTTTCCTGGTTTAATTGGTCATTTATATTCCTGTGTTTCTTTGATTATTCAATGTATTAACTAGAAGTCTAATATTCCTAGCACCCTTATCTAATTAATTGTCTTATCACGGTCTCCTTGGAATCCAAAAGCAAGATTACCAATCATCAGCTCAAAATGCTTATACTGACATATTACAAAATATCTGAATTTTGAATGTCATCTGTCATCATTTATTTATCCTATAGCTAGTAACTAGAAACCTCCATAATAAAAAAATTTGAACTCCATTTTTACCAGTCCTCATTTGTCCACAGAGTCAGTCTGTGAACAACTTAAAATCTCTGAAGCTTGTCATCTTGTTTTTCTTGTTGAGGTTTAGGCTGCATAGTAGCTGTGTCATAACTTGGTGGAGGGTCCTGGTTTGGAGTAAAACCATGGGAATCAAGTCCATATTGAGTTTGATATTGAAAAGGAGAATTATGTATGCTATGTAAAGGCACTGGGTTGTTACTTTGAGGATTTTGGTCACCAGTTTGGATTTGGTTTCTCTCAGCTGGTGTGCATTTCTGTAGTCGATATCCCCTTCTGTGCATTGTTTGATATTTGACACACTTGTATCGTCCCGATTTGACCAGCCAACAGCAAACAATTGCAATAATTACACCAGTCAGAAGCAGAACTCCGAATACCCCTCCAAGGATTCCAGCTAACCTAAAAATTTAGTAGAAGAGGGTAGTA